CTGGTCCCTTAAGTGGACCCTTAGGAAATTCACTCAAGGGATTTCTTCTTTATGTGGCTGGAAAGTACTCACCATCAGAAGGGTCAAGACCTCTCGGATTTTGAAAGTTCTGAATATTTCAAGACTCTTAAGTAACTCCTTGGAGGAGGCTCTTTGGACTGTCTGCTCCGCCCTCCGAGATTGGCCTGATCTCTCGTCTCGATGGTTCTTTTTCCTATTCCCTGATTTTTTGTTGGAGCTTTCACTAAGGGGCTTGATAGACTAAAATTTTTGGGCCCTTAAGTGGGTCCTCTTAATAATTACTTAAGTGAACCCTCAATCAAAACATTAGACAGTTACAATAAGGAGGTTTTTTCGAGCTGTAGACTGCACTAGGAAGGTTTGGAAACCCTTAAGTAGCCTCTCCAGTTATTTGAGATAGTTCAGAACTTCCTGGGAACTTTATTATAGGTCAGAAAATTCTTAAGCAGCCCCTTGGATTTATTTCCTTTAAGAAAATCGCATTAAGGGACTATAAAATTTTTATTCAGATGTTCCAGCATCAAATTTGAAGTTTTTATGATTAGTAGCAAATTGGAAAGCGCTGAAATTATCACTTCAGAGATGTAAAAGCTTTGAAAAACCCATATCAGCTTTTTTTTTAAATAATGAAAATTTTTGAAATACTAAAATAGTCGTTCTAGGAATGAAAAACCTTGACTCATCTCATTAAGTTGCCAGAAAATTTCGAATCTCATGTTTTCTAACCAAAAATCCGCATTTATAACGCTCGGCTGCACTTGGAAAGGTTGAAAAAAGCATTGGAGCGCTTTCAAAATTTTTGTTTTCCGATTTTCTGCGTTTTGAAATATTCGAAAAGAGTTAGAAATAGCAGCAAAATGACTGGGAAAATTTTGAGGGGCCACTCTAGGGTTTTGACGTTTTAGTGGCCACTTAAGGGGTTAAAAATTAGTGCCCACTATAGAGGTCTGAGTGCTACTACTGGACCACTGAAAAGTTTAGTGGCCACTTTAGGGGTCAATGGATCAACATAACTGGTCCAATCTGTTTGTTTTAAAATTATCAGAGATATAGCCTGTGTACCACGACTTGGAATTTCACCAAACGACATTCCGCTGTGCCGCTGCGCGCCTTTGCGAATCTTGGTAGCGCCTTTTAATCATTTTTCTTTTATTAAGGTATTCTGATTTGATGTGCTCCAATAGCAACTACGATCAATGGAAAGTGTGACCTAGATTCGATAGACGCTTCGCTAACACACGCAGCGAAACAGCGGAATGTCGTTCCGTGAAATTTCAAGTCGTGGCATACAGACTATACCGGAAGGATGAAAAACTGGATGAAAAACTACTGAAGTGGCCACTAAATAGAGAACCTCTATAGTGGCCACTAAAACGGAAGTAGTGGCCACTATAGAGGTGGTTTTAGTGGCCACTTTAGTGTCCTCTCCAAGTAGTCCTTCGCGAACCTTATAGTGGCCATAAAAATTTTCCCAGGACGGGCAAAAAAAAACTAGCAAAATTGACACTTCCAGGGTGGTCCGTGTAGTGTTTGCTTCAGAGTATCGGGTTTCCATAAAATGCTTTTTTTTAAACTTTTTTCAGGCTGGAACCAAACTTTCATTTTGGAATTAATTCAGAAACTAATCAGCAAGATTTAAGCTGAATTCCGACGCAAAAACTAGGAGAATTTGAAGAATTCATCAATTTTTTACGACCGCGCTCTCATTTGCAAGTTTTGCGTTAATTATTCTGCTAGAAGACGAAAACTAATCGGAAAACTTCACGGCGATTGGAAAAATGGAGAAAAAAGATTACGGTATCATGAAATGTTCATTAGGGGTGTGTATGCACCGAATGCGCGTGGGTTTATTATTTTTGTGGATTTTTTTGAAAAATCAGCGTTTTCAATTGTGTAAATTCCTCGTAAAGAATGTTACGTTTGCTTCAAAACAATTACAATACATGTTTTCTGTTTCGACACGTTTTTATTTTGTTTTGGATAATTTTTTTGTTCAATCATCTTGCAAAAATGGCTTTTCTTGAAAATGAGAAAAAGTAGAATTTTTAAAATTTTTGAAAAATAAAAAAATCATTAAATCTCATTCACTTCACCGTTCTCCGTGTTATTTGAGTACTTTTTATGTAACATGTTTGTTTAATCCTTAACTTAAGTAGAATAGTTACAATTTTTTTTTCTTGAATTTATTTCAAACTTCACTGATCACTTTTGTGAAAATTCAGGTTTATTTTTGGGAAAGTGCTTTTTATGTCATCCGATTCACTGATATCTGCGTTTCCTTGCAATTTTATCAAAATTTCTATTTCTCGAATTTTTTTCCTTTTTTCATTCACCCGGTTGTCTTAAAACTAGAGCAGATCTTTAGCTTTTGAATAATTTTCTTTTTATAAAATCAACTTTATGGTTCCAAGCTTCACTGATCACTCCCCTGAAAAAGACATTGAGCGTCCGATTTTTTAGAAAAATGACACTTTTTTCTCGGGAGAGAAGCTATCAGGAAATGGTCAGAACCAAAAAAAAACTCATGGAGAACGAAAATAAAAAATTTGAAACCCATTGCGCGGTTAATGTCACCCAATCCATTGATTTTTTTAGTCCTGGAAAATTTTTTTCTGAAAAATCTGAAATTTTTATTATATTTTGTCAGTTTTATTCACCTCTTCATGTTGAGAAGGTATAATAGGTTTTTGAATAGTTCAATCTCTATAAACTGATTTTTATTTTTCTCACTACTAAGCTTCACTGATAACTTTCTCGAAAATTCATTGAGCGTCCGATTTTTTAGAAAAATGACACTTTTTCTCGAGAAACAAGCCATCGGGACAGGCTCAAAATCAAAAAGAGTTCATTAAGAAATGAACGAACAAAAAATAAAAGAAAAATCTGAATTTCGTTGCGCTTCTACTGTCACCCAATCCATTGATATCTGTTAGGTCTTGGAAAAATTTTCTTAAGATTTTTACTTTTTTTGGAATTTTGATCTTCTCTTTTCAGTGTCATATTCTCTATTATGCTGGAATTGAAGCAGACGGGGGGTTTGAAATGAATTCAGTTTTTAAACTCATTTTCATGCTTCTCAGCGAATTTTCAACCAACCTTCACTGATCACTCTCCTGAAAAATTCATTGAGCGTCCGATTTTTAAGAAAAATGACACTTTTTCTCGGGAAACAAGCCATCAGGACAGGCTCGAAATCAAAAAGAACTCATTGAGCGAACAATTTCGGGAAAAAAAATGAATGTTGTAAAGCAGAGAAGCGTCATCGAGCGATCAGAACCGACCACGTGGGGGCCGGCCTCTCACCCCTTGCCACAGTCTCTTGATCGTTTTCCCTCCTCTCTATGATTCTCTATGATTTCTCGTCCCAGTAGCTCCCCCCTTTTTTCTCGGTTCACTTCAGTTTCGGTTCGCAACAGCCCCGGTCGCTCCTCTTTTTACTCTTTTTCCTCGGAATTTTTTGATTTTTTCAAATCATGGCTTCATTTGGAAGGATCTTTCTTCTACAATTTTTCGGTTAGCTTCAATTTTCGTTCAAAACAACCCCCCTCAATGCGAAAAATCTTCTGTTTTACTGGTTGTATTGAGAAGCTTCAACCTAGTTTTTAATGAAAAAATCGGTCTTAGGGCGAAATTTGAACTTTTTATTGAAAGATTAGCCCAATTTTTAGAACTCCTATGCTTTTCGTACAGGAATAAAGTACTAATCTTCACTAGACTTTTTCAGCAACTAAAAAAATTTTCGAGTATTTTTTTATTTTTTTCAAAAAGTAACTCGGTCGCATTTGCTTTTCTAGTCTTTTTGTCTCTTGAAAAATCCCCCGTTTTTTTATGGTTGAATTGAAAAGGAAAATGAGGGGTTTCAACCTAGTTTTTCATTGAAAAAAATTGGTCAAAAAAACATATTTTTGATCTTTTTGGCTCAATTTCAAGACCTTTTTCATACCAATATCTCAAAAACTGAGTTTTTTTCCAGTTCTTTTAACTTTGAAAAAGTTCAGTTTTAAAGGAGAATGACTGTGATTTTTAAAAGGGAAAAAAATCAGGATTTCAAGGACTTTGACACGAAATTCCAGCTGTTGATTTTCACTTTGACAAAAAAATTTAGGGTTTAATAAAATATAATATATATTATAGAGTACTTGAAACGGTTTTGAAAGTAAAAAGTTTTTAGAAGATTCTTTGTAATAAAATGAAAAGGTTCACGTATAAGATCTGGAAAAGGACGTGAAAAAGTCCGACGCATAATTCAAACTGTTGATTTGCATTTTGATAAAAATGCTGGGATTTAAAACTTGTTGTAATCACGTATTACAATTTTCTAGCTCCGAAATTTTGATTATACGGCTCTTTTTGTCATATAATAGGTTAAACTTGAGTTTTTGCAATGGTAGTTTGACCGAAAAACCCGTTTTTCTTATCACTTTTTTGTTTTTCTTTTCGCGCCCCTGTCAATTATTTTCGATCCTGGTCAATGGTTGTTTTTAGCTCGCGTTTTTCGATTGATCTCCAGTTTTTCTAGTGTTTTATTTGATTTTTTGTGAATTTCAACGAACTAACGGAACCAGGCGAGTTAGACGATGAGAGTTTAATAATTGGTCATGAAACATGAAAAATAACTTTTTTTATATATTTTTTTAATATAAAATAACTTTTCGAAAGCCTTGAAATATTATAAATATCTTCATTTTTAATCAATTTTGAGCTTGATTCGATTTTTTTCATAACAAAATTTATGGTAAAAGGCGCGAGTTTCAGCTTTTTTTAATGCTTGAAATCAATTTATCTATATCATTTTTCGAAAAAGTTTCCCACCTATTCCGACTGTGATGATTTTTAAAAAATCCTCTTCTTTATTTTTAACTGTTCCTGATAACTTATCTTAATTTTTTTCCCTCCGCCTCTGATGTTCTCCGATCTTTTACTGATAACTGAAAGGTACAGAAAAATATATTTACCTTTTTTCAGGCCCTGCATAAAAAATGACAATTTTATCGAAAGTCTGTCGTCCAGCGAACAATGGTTTCAACAAGGTTAGTTTCTGGAAAAAAAAAATCAAGATTATTCGAAAATTTTCAAGGAGCGTGGTCAAATTTCATATAGGTCTTGAGGTGAAGAGCCATTTTTGGGGTATTTTGTGTCATTTGCGCTCAAAAAAAGCACAGAGAAAAAGCAATATTTTTTTTGATTTTTAAGCGAATTTTTCAATAAAAATATTTGGGAATTTAATCGTTTTAATGGTATTTTTTTATGTAGTTTTATGTCTTTTTGCGTTAAAAAGAACGGAAAAAAAGTTGAATTTTTTTCAAAAAAATTTCAGGTATAAATTATGATTATTGATTATATTCATCTTCAGATACGTTTAATGAACGCTTATCGATTGATTATGATTTATTATGTTTTTTTTGGCGGAAAAAGCCGTTTTTTAAGGTTTTCCGTGATTCCTGCGCTATTAAAAAACCGGAAAAGTCCAGATTTTGAGTAATTTTTGAACATAAAATAGTAAAATCGCATTGCTTTTTTGGAATTTCATGACTCTTTCTCTTGAAAAAAATACGAAAAAGATGAATTTTTTTAGAAAAAAATGGTTCAAAAAAAGAAAAACAGAAAAAACGATTATTTTCGTCTTTATTTGATTGGAATATATCTTATCGATCGATTATTGATTGATTTTCATGGATTTTCTGTGGTTAAAGGCGTTTTTTTAAGGTTTTCCGTGATTTCTGCGGCTTTAAAAAAACCGGAAAAAAAGCCACGATTTGAGCATTTTTTTGAACATAAAAATAATAAAAATCGCACTGTTTTCGTGGAATTTTTATGCTTCTGCGCTTAAAAAAATTCAAAAAAAGATGGAATTCTATAAGCAATCTCAAAAAAATAAGATATAAAAAAATCGATTATTTTTCGTCTTTATTTGATTGGAATATATCTTATCGATCGATTATTGATTGATTTATTGAATTTCTCTAGGCGAGAACCAGTTTTTGAGCTAATTTATCCCCTTTGCACTCAAAAGTATCAAAAAAAGGTAGAATTTTTTTCATGAAATCGCAAATTTAAAATATAAAAATTTTTTTGCAGATCAACAAATTGAATGCTTATCGGTCGATCGCCACCACTTCCCAATGCCAAGCCAAAATTTTCGAAAAATGCCAAGGAAGCCGTCAAAGACATTCCCGACAATGCAAAGTTGCTCGTTGGAGGTGAAAAATCAGGAAAAAAATTTTTTTAATCGATTTTTTTGGGATTTTTTTCAAGCTACGAAAGTATACAAAAATCTTCAATTTCTCTTTTTTTTTCTTGACTTTTTTTATGGAATTTCTTTCTTTTTATAGCTTTCTTTTTTTCAAAAAAATACTGGATTTTTTTAAAAATAATCAGTCTTGCAATTGACATAACTTCACATGAAAAATACCATCATTTTTTTATATTTTTTTAAGCATATTTTTTTCTCAGGATTCGGTCTTTGTGGAATCCCCGAGAATCTGATCCAAGCCCTGTCGGAAACCGGCCAAAAAGGCCTCACTTGTGTTTCAAACAACGCCGGTGTTGATAACTGGGGCCTGGGAATTCTGCTCAAAAACTAGACAGGTTCGTTGGAAAAAAATAAAGTTTTTAAATCACATACCTGTTTCAGATTTTTTTATTAAAAATTTTTAAGATTCCTTCAAGTTAATATTAATTTTACTACCCTTGTGAAAAAAATCACTGAATTTGAATATTTTTTTCTCGTTTTTTTCGGGAATTTTTTTCGATTTCAGATCAAGAAGATGATCTCGTCCTACGTCGGTGAGAACGGAGAATTCGCCCGACAATATTTGAGTGGAGAATTGAGTTGGAATTCACGCCACAGGTGAATTTTATCGAAAAAAATGTAGTTTGGGCTATTAAAATTTAAAAAAATATGTGTTGGAAACTTTTTTTCTGAAGCTTGGGATTTTTTTTTCAAAGTTGATTTATTCGAATTTCGAAAAAAAGAAAAATCTTGAAAAACGGTTTTTTTGTTTTTGTTTGATGAAGGTGATGATGTTATTTAACCAATGGCGCTTGCAAAAATTGCATTTTGTGAGGGAGATATAACGGGAAAGTCAGTTAATCTCGACAAAAAAACCGTTCTTATTGATTTTTTTGAATAGAGGGACTTTCACAAGAAAAAAATGAGGTGTTCTGTTTTTTTAAAGACTTTTTTTCAGTTGAAATTTTGGGTTTATTTATCTGGGAAAAAAAGGATTTTTAGAGAAATATATACTTGTGATGGAATGTAATTTTTGTGGGAAAAAAATTTTTTGAAGTTTTTTTATTTTTTTCTATATATTTTAAAGCTATGAGGAAAAAAATTCAGAAATTTTTCATAAATAACGGCCTTTTTTTCAAAAGAAAAAAACGGCTTTTTTTCTGGAAAAAGGATTTTTTTAGAGAAGTATTTACTTGTTTTTTTGAAAGTAATTTTGTGTGAAGAAAAATTAAAAAAATTTTTTTTTGAAGTTTTTTTGATTTTTTTCTATATACCTTAAAGCTCGTGGTTAATATAGCTATTTTTAAAAAGTTCAAAAACGCTCGAATTTTCTAAGTATTCTCAAAAATATTAATTATAAGAAAAAAATCCATAGATTTTTCATGAAAAAAACGGCCTTTTTGAATTAAAAAAATACTAACTTTTTCTAGTCAGGCAAGAAAGGTTGTATTTGTTCAAATTTCTTAAAAATTTTAAATTCGATTTTTTTCTTTTGACCTTTTTTTCAAACGATATCATAGGTTTAATCTCAAAAATTTCACTTTAGGGAACCCTGGCGGAACGGATCCGGGCGGCCGGCGCCGGCGTCCCGGCCTTCTACACTCCCACCGGTTACGGTACTCAGATACAGGAAGGCGGAGCCCCAATCAAGTACAGTAAGACGGAAAAGAACAAGATCGAGATCGCCAGCCAGGCCAAGGAGGTATTATTTAAAGAGAAAAATCGGTTTTTTTCATGATTATCGCCTGGAAAAAAACATTCTTTTTTACTGTCAAAAATATGAAGAAATTAGAAATTTTGAGTGAATTTTTCAGAATTTGTAGCTTTAAAAATCAGTATTAAAGCCGTTTTATTTTTGAGAAAAATTGTAAATTTTTCGAAAAGAAAATCGATTTTTTTCATGATTTCGCCTAGAAAAAAACCTTTTTATTCTGTCAAAATATGAAGAAACTAGAAATTTTTGGGTGAATTTTCAGAATTTGTAGCACTATAAAGCCTTTTTATTTTGAGAAATAACGTATTTTTTTGAAAAAAAGATTTTTGCCTTTTGGCCGTTTTTTTACAATAAGTTTTATATAAGAAACTCTAAAAAAATGTGAAATTTACAGCTGAATTATTTAAATATTCCTTGATTTTAAAGACATACAAAAATAATTTCAGTTGATTCTAATTGAATTATTTAGTACAAATTTATTTATTTCGAGTTAAAAAAATTATTAATTGTTTGATTTTTCGTGACCGTTCTCTGAGTGTTGATAAATATGAAAGCTTGAGACTTTTCCTGATAAAAATTTTTGATAAAAAGTGATAATTTCGTTCGTCGCCTCCTTTTTATAGCTTTCCTGATAAGGAAATGGTTGTTAATTAGTGATTTGTGGACTTTTTGGGCTCTTGAATTTTGATTTGATGGAAAAATGTTTTTTTGAAAGGGGTATTATTCAAAAAGTCCTCAATGAAAAAGCTCAAAAAAATCAAAATGGGGGACTTTCAAATTTTTGAACTTTTTTTCGGTTTAAATTAGAGAAAAAATTGTTCCATTTTTTTTCATTATAATCGCCTTGGGACCGCTAAAAAGTTAATGAGATCCATAAAAATTGTTGATTCCTGATTGAAAAAAATTTTCTCTTGATATTTAGTTTTTTTTTTTTTGAAAAAACGGAACTTTTTTGAATTTTTTCGCATCAAAATGGAGAAAATCGTTACATTTTATCATTAGAATCGGCTTGGGACTTCTAAAAAATATATTAGATCATTAAAAAAATGTGTTGATTTCTGATTGAAAAAAATATTTTTCTCTTTTTGATTTTTGATTTTTGAAAAAAACGAGACTTTTTTTGAATTTTTTTCGTTTTAAAAATAGAGACGATTGTTCACATTTTCATCATTAAAAATCGGCTTAGGGACTTCTAAAAAAATATATTAGATCACAAAAGATTTGTTGATTTTCTGATTGAAAAAAATTTTTTCTCTGATTTTTGATGACAAAAACGGAGACTTTTTTTCGAATTTTTCGCTTTTACAAATAGAGAAAAATTGTTACATTTTTATCATTCAGAATCGGCTTGGGACTTCTAAAAAAATATATTAGATCATTAAAAAAATGTGTTGATTTTCTGGTTGAAAAAAATTTTTCTCTCTCTGATTTTTAGTTTTTTTTGAAAAAAACGCAGCTATTTTTGAATTTTTTTTCTCTTCAAAAAGAGAAAAATTGTTTCATTTTATCATTAAAATCGGCTTGGGACCTCTAAAAAAAGTATATTAAAGATCACTAAAAATTTGTTGATTTCTGATTGAAAAAAATATTTTTCTCTCTGATTTTTTTTACTATTTTTCAAATTAAAAAGCATTTCAGACTTATAAAAATATTTTTTTGAATTTTCGCGCTTCAAAATAGAGAAAAAATCGTTACATTTTATCATTAGAAATCGGCTTGGGACCGCTAAAAAAAGTATATGAGATCATTAAAAAATTTGTTGATTTTCTGATTGAAAAAAATTTTTCTCTCTGATATTTAGTTTTTTTGAAAAAAACGGAACTTTTTTTGAATTTTTTTCGTTAGAAATAGAGAAAAATCGTTACATTTTATCATTAGAAATCGGCTTGGGACCTCTAAAGAAAAATATATTAGATCATTAAAAAAATGTGTTGATTTCTGATTTTGAAAAAAATTTTCTTTCGATTCTCATTCTATTTTTCAAGTTAGAAGCTTTTTCGAACTCATAAATAACATTTTTTTGTACCTTTTTATTGAAATTATTATTGAAAAAAATGAAAAATTGAAACAATAAATTGAAAAAAATCGTAGACCCGAGTGTTTAACGGCGTCAATTATGTGATGGAAGAGGCGATTTGGGGCGATTTTGCGTTGATCAAAGCCTGGAGAGCCGACAAATTGGGTAATATTCAGTTCAGGTAATCAATTAACCTGGAAAATGAAAAGAAATCAGGGAAACTCCAGACAATCCGCTGGAAATTTCAACAATCCCATGTGCAAGGCCAGCAAATGCACCATAGTGGAAGTCGAGGAAATCGTCGAGGCCGGCGAAATTGCCCCGAATGATGTGATTTTCATTGAAAAGTTCCCTGAAACGGAAAAATTGTCTTTCAGATCCATATCCCCTCGATTTATTGCCACAGACTGGTCCTCGGTAAGAACTACAAGAAACCGATTGAACGGCCCATGTTCGCCCAGGTTTTTTTGATTTTTGATTTTTTTCCTGGTGATTTTTCTGATAAAAAAAAGACTCCATACTGGTTCATAAAAAATTCATCGAAAAAAGTAGTTTACATCAAAAAAATTCCGAAAAGAAGGGCCAAAATTGACTATTTTTTTGTACAGAAAAAAATTTTTATTTCTTGGAAAAATTTTAGAAATTTATTTTAGTATTCAAAAATGTGGTGGGAATGGTCTTTCAATGTACTGTGAATATTTCTAAAAAAACCAATTTTTTTCCAGAAAAATTTTTTTAAAAATAAAGTTTGTCGAATTTTTTTACTAATTTTTTTGAGATTTTTTTATGAGATTTGTAATCTTCAAACATATTTTTTTGGAAATCAGCCATTTTTTTCAAAAAAATAAAAAAAGATTATTTTTTTCATTAGGAAGGTCCTGTGAAGGCCTCGACGTCGGCTGAAGGAAAAATCCAGGGAAATTATTGCCTCCAGAGCGGCTTTGGAGTTCCGCGACGGGATGTATGGTGGGTTTTTGTTTCTTTTTAGAGAATCAATAAAAAAATCGAAAAAAATTGGTTTCAAAGAAAAAAAAAGTGATTCATTTGAGACAGAGAAAGTTTCGATTTTGGCAGTCCCAAACAAGTTTTTGAAAAAGTTTGGCAGTCCCAAGACATTTTTAAAAATTTTGCAGTTCCAAGGAAATTTCAATAGATAGGCAATCATTGATTATAAAAAATTGACAGTCCTAAAAAAATCCAAATTTAGGAGTCTTGAAATAATTTCCATATTTGGCAGTACCGAGAAAAATTTATAAAAAAATTGGCAATCATCTGGGAAATTTTTTTAGTGGCCCTTATAGAGTTTTTGACGTTTTAAGTGGCCACTATAGTAGTCAAATAAGTGGCCACTTGAGGGGTTAAAAATAAGTGGCCATTATAGAGGTCTAAGTGCTACTACTAGACCACTTTAGTAACCACTTTAGGGACCAATGGATCAACATAACTGGTCCAATTTGTTTGTTTTAAAATTATCAGAGTTACTGGAAGGAATACTGGATGAAAAACTATTAAAGGGGACACTAAAACGGAAAATAGTGGCCACTATAGAGGTGCGTTGAGTGGCCACTTTAGTGTCCTCTCCGAGCAGTTCTTGGCGAGCCTCTATAGTAATTTTTCCCAGAAATGGGTAGTCCCAAAAAAACTCTAAATATAGGGAATAACTTCCAAATTTGGCAGTCCCATGAAAAATTTCTAAAATAGAAAAATTATTGATTCGAAAAATTCAGTAGTCCCAAGTAGTTTTTGTAACCTGTTCAATAGAAAGAACAGGTGGTTCCTGAAAAAAATGCGTTTAAAAATTTTTTTTCAGAATTTTTTTCTGATAAATAAACATGCAGAATTTTTTTCAATTTTTTTCTAGCCTTTTTGAAAAAAATTTTGCTGATATTCAGAATAAAAACCTTTTTTTCAGTGAACCTCGGTATCGGAATCCCGACCTTGGCCCCGAATTACATCCCCAAAGGCGTCACGGTTCATTTGCAGAGTGAGAATGGGATCATTGGAGTGGTGAGTGGAAAAAAATATGCTATATTGAAAAAAATATCGAAAAAAAGGTTTATTTTTTTCATGACCCTCATTATTTGAAAGCATTACGGTTTGAAAAAAAGTGAGGAAAAATGTCATAAAAATTCCCAGATTTTTTTCCAAATTTTGATTTTCTAGGAGAAAAAGGTACTTTTCAGGGCCCCTATCCACGAAAAAGGCCAAGAAGATCCGGACTTGATCAACGCCGGCAAGGAGCCAATCACCTTGAGGCCAGGCGCCGCTATTTTCGGCAGCGATGAATCTTTTGCCATGATCCGGGGGTTTATTTTAGGGCTTTGGAAAAAAATCGAGAAATGGAGAAAAAAATGACCCAGAAGTTGAAAAAAATCGATATTTTTTTCTTTTATTGAAGTAATCAGCATTGATTTCAAGGTTTTGATTTTTTTAAAAAATTTTCAATTTTTCGATTTTTGAAAATATGATTAAAGGCTTTTTTTCAAGTCAAAAGACTGCACTGAAAAACTTTTTCCAAAAGTCAATAATCCACTAGAAAAGTGACTTTTAAGATAATAAATGCGATTTTTTTCAGCTCCCACATGGATATTACCGTCCTTGGAGCCCTCCAAGTTTCGCAATATGGTGATTTGGCCAATTGGATGATCCCTGTGGGTTTTTTGAAATGAATTTTTGCTGTTTTAAAGATTTTGAAAATATTAAGAAATGATAGGTTTAACTTGTAATGGTTGGGTTTCAAAATAGCTTCATAACTTTTAAAGATTTCTAGTTTTCAATCTTGTTCGATCATTCGTCTGAAAATTACATTCTGAAACTTGAAAAATCAAGAAAGTCGAGAAATATGAAGAATTATGATTCATTTTTTTCCTAAAAAAATAACAGTTTTCCAGGCGGCTAGTTCTTAATTTCCATTTGAAAGAAATGAAAAAAATGCGTGAATTATCGATTTTTGGTAGTTAAATATTGAAAACTTGAAACAGTGAAAAAAAAAAATCCGAAAGTCGAGTTTTTTGGTCACGAATTTTGAAAAAATCCCTTTTTCCTCATTTTAAAATTGTTCCTCCATAATTAGCCAGTTCATGGCTAGCTGGAACCATCGAAAAAATGGTCCTGACACGATAAAAAGGAGATAGTGCTTGGTTAGAGGAGAGCGAAGACAATGGCCCTCGCATTTTTAGAAGATGACGTGGAAAAGTGAGAAGAAATATTCAAAAATCGATTTTCTTTAATGACGAATTTTGAAAAGACCAATTTTTTTCTTGATTTCAAAAAATTTTCAACTAAGATGCAGCCAATTCACATCTGGCTTAAGGAAAAAAAAAATGGTCCTGACACGAAAAAGTGAGATAGTGCTTGGTTAGAGGAGAGTGCAGACAGCGTTTCAAGCTGGCCTTAAATCGGCTATAGTATCGTTTCAATTTATTTAAGTAACGGAAAATTTCCAGGGCAAGCTTGTCAAGGGAATGGGCGGAGCCATGGACCTCGTCTCGGCTCCTGGAGCTCGTGTCATTGTCGTCATGGAACATACTTCCAAAAATGGAGCCCCGAAAATTTTGCCCCAATGTGAACTCCCTCTGACCGGAAAGAATGTCATCTCCAGGCTGATCACTGATTTGGTCAGTTTATTGAAGAAATTCAACAGATTTTTCTAGTTTTAGGCCAGATGAAATTGTGGTTTTGAAACGGGTGTGAAAAATGGTTTTAGTTTAAAATTTTTTCAAGGGTGAACTCTGGGGGGAGGGGTCTTGAAACGAATATAGAAAAGAGCATTAGATTTGTGGAAACGCAGACTAATTGAAGAAAATGTGTCATTTCAGAGATTTACTGTATGGAAAAAGTTTGAAAGTTTTATAGTTCACCGGAAACTTTTCGAGTGTCTGCGTCTCTCTGTTCCCTCGCCGGCGAGTTCAGAGAAACGTTAAAATAGCACGTAAACATGAGAGAGTCGAGGACGATACAGAGAAAAACAGCAGTTTTAGTCGCCAAAAACGGACCTACTCAAAAATTTTGGTGGCATTTAGAAAGGCTAACCGCGTTGCGGTCGCGATGCGTTTTGAGAAAATATTTCGAAGCTTAAACGGGTAAAGTCGATGAAGAGGCTGCGCCCGACTCGAAATGACTTGCGTTCGATGAATTTCTGAAGTTTCATAAAAAGTTGCTAAAATTTTAACTGACTATGGACAACTCGGGCAAAGTCGGAATGGTGAATAATAGAGGCTCAAAAAAGCCGCATAAAGGCAGGAAAAAGGCCGCGAGAAGGTCGCAGAAAGGCCGCGAAAAGGCCGGGAAAAGGTAGCAAAAAGGCCGCAGAAAGGCAGGAAAATGACAGCAAAGAGAGTCCCTTTATCGAGCCTTCCATTTTTTCTAAAACATAAAAAGCTCAAGAAAATGGTGGAAAAAGGGAGAGGCAGCAAAAATGGTGCATAAAAGTCGATGAAGTGGCCCAAAAGAGGCTGCAAAAAAGGAACCTATTTCACCCCAAAAGAAACATTTTTATGGAGCCTCCTTCCATGAAGATTTTGACCGCTATGATGAAGGACCATCTCTAAGGAAAATTAATTGATTGATTTTTTTTTGCAGTGGACTCGTACAAAACATTAAGATCAATATGAAACATCCCTTAAAGTTCTGTAGAAACGTATCAAAATCAGGAATTTTTCATGAATCGATCTCTTTTTTAGGCCGTTTTCGACGTTTGCAAAACCGAAGGATTGACACTGATCGAAGTTCGTGAAGGATTGACCGTCGAGGACATCAAAAAAGTCACCCCGGCTGCTTTCAAAGTAATTTTACCCTCAAAACAAAAAAAATAAAATTTTTCAGGTCTCCGACAAGTTGACCACAATGAAAGCAGGCGCCATTGAATCAATAAAAAAATTATTTTTTTAGGCTTTTTAAGATTCTCGACACTCTAGGGTATACTTACTTGATTTTTTGTGTGTATAACTGCATAAATGGTCACATGTACTTGCTCAATTTAGAAAAATCATGTATTGCACTGTTCTTTGTTTTTTTTTCGTCTTTTGTTCACGATATAATCAGGTTGTACAAAGGGTTTAGTTCGTGCTTTGTCTGTTGTTTAAAAAATGAAGATTTATAAATAAAGATTTGATTGATAAAAATTGATCAAGTGAAGAGATTGATGTTATTCCTCCTGTCGTACATTTTGATGCATGATCTGCAGACACAATTACACCAAAAACTCGGAACTTACGACAGTTGGTTTTTTTCTTTTTTTGCAGTATTTTCTTGTTTTAATTGCTCTTTCATCTGTTATTTTACTTTCTTGTTTATTAAATACTTCTAAAAAAGTCTTGTCCAAAGTTTTGAAAGAGTTAGAAGTTGCGACTGAGTCAAAATTATATTTATGAGACAGATATTCGCCTGGATAACTTTTAAACGTCTTTTTGTGTTCTTCGAGCTCCCAAGAATGATTTTGTACAGAAGTAAATTGATGAAATGAATAGAAAAAAATCAATGTCAATAAGATATATTTGGTAGAAAAAAATGAAATTTATTTCACGTATTTTTATTTAATTTTTTTGATGGAAAAAAACGTTTCTACGAGTTTTTGTAATAATATTATCTAAAATTTTTTTAGAAATGTCGGTTTATTTCTTTTCGATTTTTCTTTCAGATCAATCAAAGTATATTTTTTTCTAATTCGTCAAATTATTTAAATATTGAATAAATTGATTCGAATATCATATAAAATGTCAAATAATGGCAGTAAGTCTGAATGGGAATTGATATTCTTGCGTTCTTCGCTTCACTTATTTATCCCAAAAGGGCAGAGAGTCAGAAACAACTCGAAAAAGTCGAGGGAAGCGACGAAAATAGGTGAAGAACCCGGAGAATAGCGCAGGAAGCGCGGAGGGCGACAGACGGCCCGACGTTTCGGGCGCGAAAACTCGACTGCCCGAATCCAAAGTCTTCTTTTTTATTATATCTCCTCACAAACTCCTTCAAACGCCCGTTTTCGACGTTTTTTCTGCGTTTTTCGACTTTGTGAACCTATACGATGGTTCAAAGTCTTCAAATGTCTTCTTAAACCCTCCGAAATTCGATTTATCAGTAGAAAATACTCGCATATATTGGCCTCTTTCTTTTTCTGCAAATGTTGACAATGAAAATGTGTGTTCAAATCGATTCGTCCTTTGCGGCCCCTCGTTTTCTCGCCTTTTATTTCAGATTTCCCAATCAAACTTTTATATTTTTCATATTTCTACGTGTTTGTAGATCAATTGGAAGCCTTGTAGATGATTGGATCGGAATTTTTTATTAAAACTTGGCCTAAAAAAATTCTTTTTTTTCTTGTTGTTCTTCGATTTTATTGGCTGAAAAAAAGAAAAGTTTAATTTAAGATTTATAGTTATTATTTTGAATTTTAAAGATTTTTATCTGCTTGAGAAGCTTCCTCAGAAAGTTTTCTTCAATTTTTTCGTATTTCGCGTCATTTTTTCCGCACTTTGAAGTGTTTGCATCATAAAAATACATTTCAGGCTTCTCGGGTCTCAGAAAAAAATGCCACTCAAGAATAAAAAGCCGTTTGAACCGGCTCAGGCGCCGCCGGGCCTAAAACCGGAAACCAAAGTTTTCTTCCTGCAGGCCACTAAAGAGGTCTTCCTGACTCATGAGTGGGTTTTTGTCCAACTTTAAAAATATGAAAAAGGATTTTTAAATTGACTTATAGTGAGAAAAATTAATTTTTCGCGGGAAAAATTTTTTTTTATAAAAAAATGATCATATTTTCTTCTGGGGATAATTATTAAAAAGGTCATAAATATTTTATTCATTTTTTTGAAAGATCCTAAAAAGTTTATTAGTTTCGAAACTATCAAAAAAATACAATTTTTAAAGGATTTCAGAAATTTATGATGATGTAATTTTTTTTCGATTTCGGCATATCATGATTTTTTTGAAATTTGACCTCAGTTTAAATAAAAAAAGGATTATTCTGTTTGTAATAAGATCATGAAAGCCAATTAGGTTCAAAAGTTTGATTTCTTCATAACTTTTTCCAAATTTCGAAATATTCGAAATTTCTAATTAAATATGACCTTTTTCCAGCTTAAAAATTGTCCTTATTTTAAAAGTTCGTCCAAAAAGTCTTGTTTTTTTGAAGGTGTAAAAGTGTTAAAAAGTACGAAATATCAAAAAAGGCTTTTCTCCTCGAGACCTTCTCTATGCTCCTTTAAAAGTTCAGCATGCCTTTTTTGAAAGATTTTTTTCAGGCCTTAAATTGACCTGAGACAGTGAAAATTACCTTTTATGAAGAGAATAAGACCTGAATCGTTTGAAATAACGCCTAAAAGGGATTTCGCCTCGAGACCTTCTCTAGGTTCCTTTAAACAACTCAGCAAGACTTTTTCAACGAACTCTAACAGGAAGAAAAATTTCAGCCTCAAAATTGACCATAAGTTTTGAAAGTTGCTTCTTATAAGGATTAGGTGTTTTGGAACACCCAAAATTAAATTTAAAAGAGCTGTTCGCCTCGAGACCTTCTGTATGCTCCTTTAAACAAATCAGCAAGGTTTTTCAATAGATTTCATGGAAAAGAACTTGTTTAAAACCGCAAACAAACATGAATAACTGAAATTAAATATTTATCCATTGAAAACTCTTCAGGGAATACTACAACCGGATGATTGAACTGAACGCGACGATTTGGTCCTGCGAATTTACGGGAAAAACGGCGTTGACCTTTTTCGAAGCACAGCAATCTGAACAGGAAGCCATGGTAAGAAAAATGCCCGAAAAAGTGGCCACTTGAGAGGTTCTTTGAGGACACTAAAGTGGCCACTGAAGCCGCTATAGAAGGCACTACTTTGCGTTTTAGTGGCCACTATAGTAGTTTTAGTGGCTTAGTAGTACCATGAGTCTTCTAAAGAGGCCACTAGAATTTAGTCACTTAAATGGTGATTAAAACGTCAAAACCCTGGAGTGGCCACTGAAACCGCCTCTATAGAAGCCACTGCTTTGCCTCTGAGGGACCACTATAGTGATTTTTGTGGTGTAGAAGTTCCACTTAGACTTCTAGAGAGGCCATTAAATTTTAGTCCCTTAAGTGGCCACCAAAATGTTAAAACCCTGGAGTGGCCACTAAAACCCTCTCTATGGAAGCCACTATTTTTCGTCCTAGTGGCCACTATAGTAGTACCATGAGACCTCTGAAGAGGCCCCTTAAGTGGCCACTAATTCGACTTGACCACTGAAACGTCAAAGCCCTTAAGTGGCCACTAAAATTTTTCCCCCAGTAAAAAACTTTCCTAGCCCTTTTCAAAGTCGCTCAAAAAATCTACAAATTTCCTTTTAAAGACTCAAAAAAGCCCCCCTGACCCTGAAACAAGGACCCTTTTAAAAACGAACACTTTTTTCCAGAAATCCCTCGACAAGTTCCCGGAATACCTGGAAAGGCCGATCCTGTTTGTTGTTCACGAATATACGTGTCGAGGACGGTTCGAAGAACTCGTCAATGATATTTATTCTGTTATGAAGGTTCTTAATTTGTTTTTATTTGGATTTATTTACAGATTATTTCAGAAAAAAATTCAAGAAAAACCGCTCTTTTTGGTCAAATTTTTGAGCAAGAATTTCAATTGTGAAGTTTGAAAATTTTAAAAAAACTGTAAAAAAATTGTAAAAAGAGCAAAAAAATTGAGCTAGTTTTAAAAGCTTAAGGATACGGATTCTGTTATGAAGGTTCTTAATTTGTTTACAGATTATTCCAGAAAAATTCAAGAAAATCGGTCTTTTTGGTCAAATTTTGAGCAAGAATTTCAATTGTGAAGCTTGAAAATTTAAAAAAATTGTAAAAAACTGAAGAAAAGAGCAAAATTTGGGCTAGTTTCAAAGCCTTAAGCATATTTATTATATTTGTATGTCCCTTGTTCACAGTTCAGCAGAAAAAAACTCAAGAAAATCGCTCATTACGTCAAATTTTTGAAGAGAAACTTTACTTTACAAGATTTGAAAATTCTTTGAGAAAAAAATTAGAAAAAAATCGGAAAAATCGGACCAGTTTTCAATACTATCATGAAAAAGTAAAGTGAATAAAAAAAAAGGAGGAAAAATGTTCTAGCTTTCTCGGGAAAAAAATCGTATTTTATACATACCTCTAAGATTATTTCGTTAATTTGATTCTTGCGTCTAAAAAAAGGAACTTCTTGGTTTGAAAAAAATTTTTTTTTATAAATTATTGATTTTTTTAGCATAAAAGAAGCCGTTAAAACGAAAAAAATACACTTTGAAGCTTCAATAAAAATCGATTCCAGGACCGATTCTTCATCGGAGAGGAGATTGTCTACGTCGAACGGAATAAAAAATGCCGGGCGAAAATTGTCGCTTCCTATGTTTTGCCGCCCATTGGAGAGAGTGAAATCAAGAAGGAAGTGTTCGTTTTTTAGTTTTTTTTTGATGGAAAAAGATCAATTTGAACTTGAAAAATCGATTTGGAGCTTCTACCAAATATTTTTTTATCGAAAAAAATTGCCTTAAAAAGTAGAAAAAAAGCCTTTTTTTATGAAAATAAATCCTGTGAAGAATATTTTCCTCTGTTTCAAAATTCAAAGAATCCACAGAAGCTTCAATTTTAAGTTTTAGAGCCAAAAGTCCGATCATTTTTCTTTTTTCAAGCTTTTAACAATGACTTGGAGGTTCACTTTTTGATTCTATCAGATGATTTTATTCCTTTTTTAATCATTTTTTTGCAGGGAAAAAAAGAGTGAAGTATTTTAGAACTGAAAAATATTGAGATGAATCATTTTTTTCTTGTTTTTAAACTTCTAATAAAGGTCGAGAGCTTCATTTTTTTGATTTATACGAAATATTTTACGGATTTTTTTTAAAAATTTCATTTATTAGAGCCTAAAAAAACAGGTATACGTATTTCATAGCCGAAAAAGACTGTTTTGAATCATTTTTTTCGGTTTTTTTAAGAATCTTTAAAAATGACCAAGGGTTTTTTTAAAAAATTTTTTTGATTAAATCAGAAAAATTTAACTTCTTCTTGCAGGGGAAAAAGAACAAAAAAATACGTGTTTCAAAGCCGAAAAAAATTGAGTCCAATAATTTTTCCCTGTTTCTCTAAGATTTCAAAAAAAGGCGAAAGCCCTTCTCTTTTTGATTCTATCAATTTATTTTTACGGATTTTTTTATTTATTTCATTTTTTTAGGAGATAAGCACAGAAATACTTATTTTGAAGCCGAAAAAAGTTAGTTGATTCATTTTTCGATTTTTAAAAATTCAACGATGAGGGGCATACTTGGGCAACCCATTTTTAAGCCCTTTTCCCAAGTTTTCCTAAATTTAAGTTGATACTACCTTCCGGATGGTGAAACTTGTATTATTGTGGCCAAAACTAGCTTTCTGAGATTGAAACTCGATTTTTTTCCGATTTTTCTGAAAATATTTTAATCCAACCTATTCTCCCGGGCTGAAGGAGTTTTGTACTTGCCCATCAATGCTAATGGGTTTTATTTTTCGATTAAATCAGAAAATTATACTTCTTTTTTGATCTCTAGTCTTTTTCTTTGCAGTGGAAAAGAACAGAAAGACGTCGTGATGCCGGCGGCCGAGTACTATCGCTACGCGTTGCAGATCATCGACGGCGTCCGGGAAACCGACGACGGAATGAGGGAGAATGTCTCCAACGACAAGATGCAGTTGGAAAACCCGAAAAGAGATTCGAAACTCGAAAAATGAACTTTCAGCCGACCGAAATCCGTCGGATCACGCCAAAATTTGAAATTGTTCCTGAAGAATTCATGCATCATGCAGTTCCCCGGCGATCATTATACCGTTCGGGTTGGTTTTTGGGAGATTTAGGGGTCCTCAAAGTTTTAAGTGATCCCTATAGAGGCTGAGGAGAAAAACAGCCCCTAGAGAGGCCGAAAAAAGTGGTCCCTATAGTGGTAAAATCAAGGTCGTCTCTATAGGGATTAAGGGCCTGACCACTTAGCCTCTAAAGTTTGAGGGGTCCCTATAGGGATAAAATTGAGGTGGTCCCTATAGGGGATAAGGGTCTGACCACTTAGCCCCTAAAGATTAAGTGGTCTCTTTAGAGATATAATCAAGGTGGTCCCTATAGGGGTTTTTCAAGTTTATTCAAAAACGCTGATTTTTTCGGTGTTTCGTATGGAAACGCTTCTTTGCGTAGAGCTCATAACAGTTATCGACTAGCATGTCCCCTATAGGGACCACTTTTGCAAGCGTTAGTGACCCCTATAAGGATTGGTGAAGAGGTCCCTAGTACGGACTCTCCGAGGGCCCTATGGTTGCCCCTTTAGGGACCACTCTGGAGTTCCTAAGTCACTTGAGGTTTGAAAAAAATGACTGGAAATAGAAATGAAAAATTATTTTCATCCAAAAATTTTTAGAAGCTATACTTTCTGTATTGATATGAAGTAAGTACAGGAAGGTTCGAAAATAATTTTTGGTTCAAAAAAAAAAAGAATTTTGGATTTTTTTTCGGATTTCGAAGCTTTTCGTTTCTTTTTTTCAATAGCTGAAGGTGTTCTTAATAAACCAAAAAAAAAATTCAAATAAAATTTTAGAAAAAGAAATGATGAAAACTGGAAGGTTTGGATTTTTTCAAACGGTTGAAATAGTTTCAAAAAAATCGGTTGGATACCTGAAAAATGAGAAAAAATAGAAATTTTTTGTGATTCTCCAGAAAAACTACATGGAAGACGGGATCGTGGAGGGCCTCCGCTGGAACCTGATAATGGGCGGCGCCGAGCCGAACTGCCCGAAGACGCCCGTCCTGCAACGGGGAAGGACGCCCAAGGCGTTGAAGGAGTCGAACAACGTCGCCCGGACGCCCGTTTCGACCACGCCCAAAGTGGCCAACGGCAGTATTTCGACGCCTTCTTGTGAGGGTTTGGGCTCTTGGGAAGAATAAAATAAACAGATAGATAGAGATGAGGGATTGAAAGTCCTTATAAGTGCTTTCTTAATAAATGACCTAGCCTGAAAAAAAGGTTTGGTACCAATTCTTGACCTTTTTTGCATAGGAGACGCGAAAATTAGGATTTCTCATTTTCATGGGCAGCATTTTATCAATTTTTTTTATTCGGATTACGTTTTTCTAAGAATAAAATAAACAGATGGTTAAAGAATTGAAATAATGAGAAAAAAATTGAAATAAAAGTGGCCGAAAATTTTAGAAAAAGGATCCTTTTTTGCTTTTTTTTCTACTTTTTTGCATAGGAGATGCGAAAATTAGGATTTCTCATTTTCATGGGCAGAATTTTATCAATTTTCTTAGTCGGATCACGTTTTTCAAAGAATAAAATAAACAGATGGGTGAAGAATTCAAAATCATGAGAAAAAAATTGAAATAAAGGTGGCCGAAATTTTTTTAGAAAAAAAGGATCCTTTTTTTGCTTTTTTTCTACTTTTTTTGCATAGGAGATGCGAAAAAAATAATTTTAAATAATTCTTTTTTTGTTAAAAGTGATTCTTAAAAAGTGTAGGTGAGCCACATAAATAAATATTTCTAACAAAAAGTCAATGTTGAGTAATCGAAAAAGCCCATTTTTTTCGACTAAAAATTGTTTTTGTAATCACAAGAAATCAAAAAAATCACGTAATTTTTTTCAAAAAAAGTGTCTAAGATAGAAAAACTAAAGCTAGAAGATGGAAATGAGCTTGAAATTATCGATTATTTTTCGAACAAATTTGCTTAAAAAAATAAAGCAAAAATCTTATCGATTTTTCAGATAAAAATGAAATAAACTTGTGATTGAATTGTAAAAAAATACGAAATTCTCTCATTTTATTGATCCAATTATCTTAAATTTTTTTTAAAACCTGTTCTAGTTGTAGTTGATTTTCAAAAAAGAGTCTTGAAACTGTAATCCTTCATTCAAACTAATGTAATTCAGCTTCGAAAAACACGCCCTCCAAAACGACGCCCAGCAAGAAGACGCCCAAAATGACGGCCAAGAAGCGACAAATGGTATTTTTTCTTTTTAGCGAGATTTTTTAGCCCACTGGTTTAACTTTTGGTGAAGCTTGGTTGGAACGTACTTTAGGGCGTTCTATGTTCAGAACAGTTTTTTAGGGTTCAAAATCTTCAAAATTTTCCAAAAAACAGTTTTTCTCCATTTTTTGTGTTTTTTTGCGAGCTTTGAAGCATCCTCCCTACTAATCAGACATACGTAAAGCGAATCGGACATGTCATGGCATTTCTAGTGACCACTTTAGTAGCGTCAGCCCTCTTAAGTGATCCCTAGAACTAGTAAGAAACGTCCGGAGCGGGTCCGATTATCGTTACTGAAATCCGAATCATAATTCGAAAAAAAAATGTGTTGCTAGAATTTTCTCGAATAAAGCTTCATCAAGAATTCAACCAGAGTTTAAAAAACCCCCTCGTTCCATTTTCAGTGAATTGAAGGAGGTTTTCAGATCCAAGATCAACAACAAGAACTGTCGTTCTACTTCGAAACGGCGGCCCAATTGAAAGTCGACGTCTCCAAGTACCAACAGGAAGAACGGATGCTGACCCCAAAAAATATCGCCGCCTTGAAGGCTCTCGTCAAAGAGGCCCAGGCTGTGGTGAGTTCGGATCCGGCTCAGGATTTGGGCTTTTTGAAAAAAATGCTTTCCATTTTCTTTATGAATAGTTTAGATGAATATTGATTTTTCTTCATTTTTTGAACATGGGCAAGTGGGTAATTCCATCATTTTCCTGAAAATAGAGAAGGCCTGAAACTTGCCTTATAATTCGTTAATTTCGACGTTTTCTGATGTCTTAAGGTTCTATAGGAAGTTTCAGATAAGAACGGATAAATTTAGAAATTCAAATTTGAAGTCATTTTCAGGAAAATAATAAAAATTTGTTTTTCAATTTTTTTTTTGTATACAGCTTTAGACAGTGGCCCGGTTTGATTTTTAAAAATTGTCTCAGGATTTTAAAGTTTTCAGAGTCTTTTTTCAAGGTTCTGCATTTTTCGCAGAACTTATGAATACCCGGAAAAAAAAACAGTCTAAAAAAAGGAGAGCGAAAAAATGGACGAAAAGGAAAAACTGCAGAGAGTTTTTCTAATAAAAGTCAGAAAAAATAATTTTCCAGTTACCTTCCTCGGAAAATTTTGAAAACCCTGCTTATATTCTTTATTTCGCAAGAAATAACCCTCCAAAATGCGGATCTTGCTTCCGTTTTTGCTAATCGAACCTATGAGAAAAGAAAAAAAAGATAGGTTTTTTTGGATTTTTTTCTTTAAAAATTTCATAGTCGAAGATATCTTTTTTTAGAAAAATATCATCTTTTTTTCTGTCTACAAATTTCAATTTTCTCATCAAAAAATAATAAGAATAACGATTCCGAAAATTTCCAGGAACGACAAAGAGTGAAAGAAGAACGGAAAAAGAAGCACCGGCAAAAGATTGACTACAATAAAAAGCGCGACGATCTTCTTTGTGACGATTTGAAGGTTTTTTCCTCGAAATTCCCGTAAAAACGGTCATTTTTCAAGCCGATGCCCGTTTTCCCGAAGCTCGAACTACCGGAATGGATGACCGAGGAGGATTTCGCAGAATATTTGAACATTTTGCAGTTTTTCGTTGCCTATAAGGTGAGATTTGAACAGTTTAAAGAATTGGTCCAGGTTTCTTGCTAGATTCCGCGAAGGGTTCAAACTGTGTTTCAATTCTTTTCAATTAGGCAAGCTGTAGTGATCCCTATAGGGGTATTGAGTCCCTCTATGGGGCAAAATAGTGTCCCTTCTAGGAGGTGGAGGGATCCCTATAGGGGCGAAAAAGTGTCCCCTGTAGAAGGCGGTAAAGAGGTCCCTCTAGGGGGCAAAATAGTGTCCCCTGCAGGATGTGGTAAAGTGGTCCTTCTAGAAGACAAAAGTACGTCCCTTGTATGAGGTGGAGGGGTCCCTACAGGGGCGTCTATTCTCCCTGGAGAAAGTGGTAAAGCGGTCCCTATAGGGTATGGGGAAAAATAGTCCCTTTAGGGAGCAAAAAAAGGGTTTTCTGTAGGGGGTGATGAAGGGGTCCCTATAGGGGGTAAAAAAGAACCTTCAAGGGCCCTAAGGTCACCCCTATAGCTACCAAGTTCTTAGGTCTGCTTCAGAGATTTAAAAACATCAGTAGAATGAACTGATCTTTTTCCAGGAACTCTTACCCCTAAAAGATATCCGCGGCAGCAAAGACATCTCCTTCGCCGACATCGTGACGGCCGTCCGATGCAACGACCCGCAGAACAGCCCTTTTGCCGACCTGATGCGGGTTTTGCTCACGGCGAGAACCGACACGGCCGATGAGGAAGACGGCGACGAGGGTACGTACAAGGCCTCTGTAGGATTTTTAATAGCTTCTGCTTTACTTTGTTCGAAAAAATCTTTGCTCGGGCTGTTAAAGGCGTATAAATAGATTTATAAGGGTCTTGAATAAAAGCCGCTTTTTTTCATAAAGTCTTTTAAACATTTTTTTGAGGATTTTTACACCACTGACTTGCCAAATTTTGAAACTGTTCGGCTTCCTTGCGCGCTCTCATCTCTCGGGCTCATTCTGTGTCTTATATGGTGAGAGAGAAGAGAGACGCAGACCCAAGATAATTTGAAAAATGGCAGTCCCAAGATATTTTTAATAATTTGGCAGTCCCAAGACATTTTTAAAAATTTGGCAGTCCCAAGATATTTTGAAAATTTTGGCAGTCCCAAGATATTTTGAAAATTTGGCAGTCCCAAGATATTTTGCAGAAAATGGCAGTCCCAGGATATTTTGAAAATTTGGCAGTCCCAAGATATTTTGAAAATTTGGCAGTCCCAAGATATTTTGCAGAAAATGGCAGTCCGAGGATATTATGAAAATTTGGCAGTCCCATGATATTTTGAGAATTTGGCAGTCCCAAGATATTTTGAAAAATTTGGCAGTCCCAAATAAATTTGGAGAAAATTGGCAGTCCCAAAAAAATTTGAAGAAATTGGCAGTCCCAAGATATTTTGAAAAGTTGGCAGTCCCAAGATATTTTGAAAAATTGGCACAGTCCCAAGATATTTTGAGAAATTGGCAGTCCCAAGATATTTTGAAAAATTGGCACAGTCCCAAGATATTTTGAGAAATTGGGAGTCCCAAGATATTTTGAAAAATTGGCAGTCCATAACTTCTAAATTTAGCTGTTTCGAAGAAATGTATGCCCTGTTCAGAATGTTTCCGCAAAAATTAAAATATTCAGCTGATATCGAGTTATCAAAAGAGTCAGAAATGATTGCTTTGAACAAGAATTCTATTAACAACGACAGTATCGACTCTTAAATTTGAAAGTTATAAAAATTTTTTTTCAAAAACTCTGTAGTCCCCTTTTTACTAGATTAGCTATAATAACACTATTTGCATGTTTCGAAATTAGATCAAAAACATTTTCGTAACAGACAGGGTTTTAAAAGCTATATTGAATCGATAAATGCATTGAGCTAAAAAGTTTATATTTGAAGTTACTTGAAAACGGGATTCTTGATTTTTCAAAATGATTTCCTGACAAAGTTTTTTTGAAATCGTATAGTTTTGTAACGGTATTTTATGAATTTATAACAGCGTTTTTTTTCCAGTTTTGAAACTAATTTTCTCGATTTCAGCGGATTTATCCAGTCGCGACGAGCAGGCGCTGATCAACATGCAAAACTGCGACCCGAGTCATCCCGTCTATGGGGAAAAGATACGGGAAACCAACTATCTGCATGAGACTGTCCGGCGGATACATGGTAAATAATAAGCAGAAAGAAAAAAATAGAAAAAAATATTCGAAAAAGTTTTTTTTCTGGCTTTTTAACACTCATTAGAGGTCTTTAAGGTGTAAATTTTTTTTTAATTGATATTTTTCAAAAATTTAAAGATATTTTTTTGAAGCTTGATAGTTTTTTTCATAGATCAAATTGAATCTGGAAAAAAAAAACTGTAAAATTTTAAATTATTCCAGGCCAATCGGTCCGAAACCTTCCCGTTGATTGGATGACCCTGACGGAAGCCCTGCGATTGATTCTACTAACCTCTGGCTATTATACCGGATTATCCACCCATCGACATCGATTATTCCCCAGAGGCAGTTACAAAGGGTCGGTAGAGTTTGTTCGAAGGAAAAACTACCTTGAAAGAAGAAAAAAACAACATCGCAATCGAACTACAAATAAAAATCCTCAAAACCGCCTCGAATCCTCTCCAGCTCCGACCTTGCCGGCCCAAGCAGACCGAACCCGATTTCAACACACGCACAAATAGATACATACATAAAAGTGGTCTCACTCCCACTTTTATAAATGTTCTGTGTGCGTGTAGGGAAAACGGGCCCAGAACTGTAGTCCTTGGAAAGGCGCTGATCAGTCCTCAGAGTAGAACGTCGGTGGCGGCGTCCTGTCGAGGAGGCGAGGTCGCAGTGTGGGAGTCGGGCCATTCAATGAAAATCTGTGGAATCAGACCCTTACATACTGGTCTAATCTTCCACGTGATCTATTTCTTACGCCGTGTTCAAAGTAATTTCCGCGAAATGATCTCTGACTCTCCAAAATTCAGTTATCTTTTCCTTTCTCTAACGGGAATTTCGCATTTAAACACGGCATTAATTATTCATTTCTACATACTTATCATATCCAAATCCTGAAAAAATCGTGATTTTCATTTTCATTTCCAGATAATTATTCCATTAAAGTTACACATGATTCAAGTTGGAGAATTTTATTCATTAAGAAAAGGCTTTCATTTTTGATGAATATTTGACAATTTTATCATTTTCGAACGCATTTTATGGTACAGAACTTCATAGGAACGACAGAAATATTGGAATCGTGGAAAAATAAAAATAAATAAATTATTTAGCGGAAATAAAATGGAAAAAATGTAAGATATGGATATTTTAAAAAGTTCACGTTCAATTTGTCCGCAATTTTTCGATTTTTCATCATTTTTCATAAAGAAGTGTACCTTATTGGGAAAATTTTCAGTGGCCACTGTAGGGTATTGACGTTTTAGTGACCACTATAGTAGTCACTTAAGGGGTTAAAAGTTAGTGGCCCCATAGAGGTGATTTTAGTGTTCTCTCCAAGTAGTCCTTGAGGAAAAAGCCAACAAAAACTTTCCCAAGAGAATTGCAAAAAAAAATGCCGGCGTTTTAATCAAATCAGTGGCCGCTTAAGGGGCAGTCAATTAGTGGCCACTTCAGTGTCATCTCCAAGTAGTCTTTGAGGAACCACTATAGTGGCCACTTCACAAATTTGACCAAAAAAATCAAAAAATAATTGTATTGATTCAAAGTTTGCTGTTTCGAACTAATCTACGTGGTTTTTTTTTAGATATGAAGACCCCGGTTTTATTTTCTGCCAGGAGTTCCCCGAAACCATGGAGAAGATGAAAACGGTTGGAATTTGTCATTTCAAAATTCAATATTTCAAAAATATTTCTTTTCAGATGACCGTTTTTTTGACCTCGACCCTCCGGAACGCCTCGAAATCATTAAAAACTATCATCCAGCAGCTCTTAACTTATCACAGGGTATTTTAGGTCGATAAATAAAAATTAATATGACAAAAAAATTTTCAGTTCCGAGTGTTCCCGGAAGACAAGCTAGCCGAATTGAAAGAAACCCGGCAGGATTTGAAAAAGTTGAGGTCTTGGGACACGACTCAGGAGCAGGTAATGGCTCGAGAAAAATTAGAGAAGTTGAAAAAAAAAAACGAAAAATGAGAATAATAATGAGCAAATAGTTGAAATTTGAACAGGAGAGGTGTACATCAATTTTGAAAAAGCTTGAAAATGGGTCGGAGGAAAAAAAGTTATCAAAATACATGGGAAGTAGCAAAAAAATGTGAAATGGCAATGCTTGAAATTCATGAATAAATTTTTTTTTTGGACTTTTTGTGGAAAGGTATTTGAAATACAGGTGAAGTTTCAACATGAAAAGCTAAAAATTGATGTTTTTTTCAGCTCTCTAGACACAGTGCTTGTTTTTTTTATTCAATAGGACGGCTTTCATGAAATTCATCTCTATTTAATGATTTTCCTCGGTTTATCCTATGGATTTTCAAAAAGAGAAGTTTTTTTGCAGGGCATTATACGCTCTAAAAAAATTCGAGATTTTACCTCCATTTTTAGATTTTCGCAGTTAATTTTATTAAATTTTAAGAGCTGAGTTTTTTTTTCATGGCAAATTTTCACGGAGTTGATCCAAAAAAAAGTTTTAATAATTTTCACTTGATTTTTTTCCAGGAAGCCCGAGAAGCTCGCCTCGCTCTGGAGTATGAGATGGAGAACAAGGATTCCGAAGCTTCAAAAGTATTTTCCAAAAATCAATCAATATTCATTCCAAAAACTGTTCAGAGGACAACGCCTGGAAAAGTCGCCCTTCGACTGAAAGCCCATCTCAAGGCGGTTAGAGAGAATCGACGGACGGATCGGGAAGATTTGGAAACGGTTAGGAAGTCCTGAAGCGTTTTTGTATGGGGATATTGTGCTCCAGGGCTAAATTGGTGAAAAAGATGGTTGGATGAGAAAAGGAATTTTTTTTTAGAGAAGCAAGGTTGCGTTCTGAACTTGAGTTTTAGCTTAAAAAGTCCTCAGAAAAATTTAGAATTTTTGGTGGTAGATTATACATGTAAATTTGTTCAAAGGTCAGTGGGAAGCTCACAAAAGTTTTTCTAAAAACGAAATTTTCGAAATTTGAGACAATCTCTATGGGTTTCTCTGCGTTACAGATTGATTTTCTCAGTTTTATGTGTCTCAACGAAAGATTAAGCCATGCATGTTGGTTCATCGTTGGAAAACTTCCGAACGGCTCATTTGGGGAAAATATTAAGCCATGCATGTTGGTTCATCGTTGGCAAACTTGCGAACGGCTCATTTGAGGAAAATATCAAGCCATGCATGTTGGTTCTTCATTGGCGAAACTGCGAACGGCTCATTAGAATAACAAATTGAGTCATTTACGGAGTTTTCCAGTTGAAAAAACCAAGAATCCCTCATTACGGCCACTGATAAAGAATGGTTAAGATCCTTCTCGATTCGGTGCCCTACGGCGAACTTGAGCTGGACGAGATCGTCGAGGCTCGTTCCCTGCAGAAGGAGGGCGGCGACGACGTCGCCAACAATCTCATCGAGAAGATCTTCGAGATTTATTGTTGGTTTTTTTTGCTATTTTCGAATTTCTATAATTTTTAAAACTTTTCTTGAATTAGTTAGAAAATATTTTATTATTGCAAAAAAGCCTTTTTCACTTTTTTCACTATGATTTTTCACAAAATTACTTTTTTTTTCAATTTATTTTCTAATTGTTGCAGCCCGAATCGGCGATTTGCACTTGGGCCGCGACCGCGCCTTCCGCAATTATTTTGTCATCGACAATTTGCCGGTTATTTTGGTCGAAAACCCGAGGGAAGAAGATCGAATCGGCGTTTGTACCGAGACGGAAGTTCTGATGGTGAGAAATAAGAGTGAAAATATATTACGAATTTGGAAATCAATAAATTTCATTTCCATATGACAGTCATGTCTAACCTCAGACTGAGAATGAAAAAAATAAAAAAATAGTGCTCGATTGGAAAAAGCGACATGGGTAGGCTGGCAAGGGTGAGGCGTTGCGTACGCGTCGCGGCTTTTGGGGAAAATCGAGCTCAAATTTTTTTCTTTGACAGTTTATCAATAAGCTTTTTATTTTTTTATTTTTTTCATGGTCTATTTGGACGAACAGAAGTATAAAAGTGATAAAAAAATACCTTTTTTTGCTATTTTTTTGTGGTTCAAAAAAGCCGCGTCGCTCTTGCCAATGACTCGTCTCTCACGTCGGGAAAGAGTGATTGATTATCTAGAATCTTCAATTTGACGCTTTTTATCGGTATCATATATTAAGATATCAAAATTAAGACAAAATCATGTTGGATTTTGTAACTATACGTCGGCTGGGTCCCACCCCGAGGTGCGCCCCCCTTCTCAAACTGCCTACCCTCCAAAAAGTGCGGCTTACCCCCCGAAAAGTGCGGCCTACCTCAGTAAATTTTCAAATTTTTTTTTTCGCGCGCAAAAGTCTGAGGTGATATCCAGCCGGTGTATGGTTAAAACTTGAAAATTACTATCTGATTCCTTAATTTCCAGACGGAAGTTGACGAGGAAACCCGAAATAATATCATTCTGACGTGTAGCTGTGACCTGGCAACGTGCCACGTTCACGGCGAAAAGAGGAATTCGAGGCCGAGATTCAGCTTCATCCCTTCGACGGCCGTTTTCGAAGAGGTTTTCTTGGAAAATCACGAAAAAATTACCTTTTTTCCCCAGTTCATCCAATCGTTGAACCCACGCGGCTTCCGGGAAATCGCCCTCGCCGAGGAGTTCAATTATTTCAAGCCCTGTCTTCTGGATGTCGTCGGAACAACGGTGAATCTCAGTTTCAGAAGTTTTAGAAGAATAGGGAAAAAAACTATTTAGGGATTTTCAATTCGATAGAACTTTTGAATATGATCTATAGCCCATTCCGCGTCAGCTTATTTTTCTGCCAAAAGTACCGTATCCCAAATTTGAACCAGTTCGCTTCAAGACCCATCTTTTTGCAGTTTTGTAGTAAAAGTTACGAAAAAAAAGCCGAGTTTATGGTAGAATTTTTTTGCCGATTTTTTGAAATATGAACGTTTCACTGTACTTGAAAAATGCAGAAAAAAATGTACTTTTTTTCAAGAAAAATATGGTTTTTACTCTGAGATTTTTTTCAAGGCTCTAGATCATTTTTTTGTCAATATTGCACAGTATTCAAATTTTTCTTGAAGCTTATTATTTTCAACAAACTTTTCCACAAAAAATTGGCGGAAATATTTTTTTTTCATCCCTTTATTGTTTTCAAAAGGCGATCTATACAAACCAGAGTATCTAATTTTCGAAAATTCGTGATTTTTGAGGACTTTGAGGAAAGAAATTTTTGTGGAGTTTTGGCAATTTTTTGTGTTTTTGTTTAAGGATTTTTTTTTTGCCTTACAAGGGAAGTTATTAAACTTTTCGGTTAGGAATTTCCAGGAAGTTGGCCAAAAAACTTCAAATTTTGAGCTTTTGTAGTTTTTTTTTTGAAAAAAAGGAAGTTTTGTGGAATTTCGCGCAGATTTTTGGGACTCTATTTGAAGATTTGTTACCTTACAAGGGAGTTAATTTCACTATCAAGTTGAAAATTGGCCAAAATACTAAAAAATTCTAAAAGTATCAAACCCTGACAACGTCCTACTTTCCGGGAAATAAAGACTCAAATCTTTAAAAAAATTGTTTTGATGGATTTTACGGCTTTATTTTGACTTTGAGGTGTCTTTTTTTAAAAACTAGAAAGTTGGGCAGGTTAAGACTTCCAAGATGTTCATCTTGTACATCAAGAAATATCCTAGAAGGAAAAAATTTTCTAAAAATTCCCCTCCAAAAATCCAAATGACCTTCCTGGATAAATGCGGTTTCGAAAACTTATTCTAGTCTTTCAAAAAACCTTTTTTTTCTCAGGAAAAGGCGATCGAAAGCGGAGAATGGAAGGAGACTCTGATGCTGACCGACACGGACCCCTATCAAACCGGAAATATCGATTGGGACGCCGAATTGAGGGATTTGTTCCTGGACCTGGAGGAGAAGATCGAGCAGGGGATGCTCGGCTCCCTGGCCGCTTGCCATGGAGTCGACAGAGCCGAGTGGCGACGTCTTCTCGCCGAGACTGGTGACGTCACCGGATTGACTCAGAAAGGACGTGGTCATTGGAGAGGAAGTCATCTTCACCAATGAGGAGCTGACCCGGCTGGGCCCTTGCCAGAAGTGAGTTGGGAGGAGAAAGGCTTGGACTACTCTGACCTGCCTGCGCTCTCTTCTCTCTCACCGAGGAGACCTGAAAATAGCACGGTAACATGAGAGGAGGAGAGAAAGCGCGTCATACTTTCAATCGACCTTTAGAAACTGCATATTATTCGAATTTCTGAGAAATTGAAGCTTTTCCAATAAAAGCTCTAAACCGCTTTTCAGCTTTTCAACTCCCTTCAAATGATTCATTTTCTTAGGAAGTCCAAAGTGGTCCCAGGCCCTTGAAGTGAACACTTTACCAGCCCCTATAAGGGCCACTAAAGCTTGCAAAAGTGGCCCGATTTTAGTTAGTGGCATACTAGTCGATTATTGTTATGAGCACCATGAGAAGAAGCATTTTCATGCGAAAAACAAAAAAAATTAGCGTTTTTGAATGAAAACGTTTACATAGAAAAAAATGTATCAAGTTTTTTTTTCGTTTGAAAGACCCTTATAGGGGCCACTTGAGTTTTAGTAAATAAGTGTCAAACCCTAAACCCCTATAGGGACCACTCTGGCGCTTCTAAGTTCTTTGAGCTTCATTTCTCAATTTTCTCAGATGAGTGTAGTTATTTTAAAATTTCGAGGAAACCAAAAATAAATTTTGGCAGGAAAGGAAAAGTTTTGCAAACGTTACGTCTGTACTTACCACGGAATGGTCTGACTTCACAGTGAGACTTCTGAATGAGACTAGTCTCACAGGCCTATAGGGCAACTTTTGAGGAGAGATTTGGAATCAGCGTAAAAATCTCTATCTAATGAACCTAGTCTCATTTAGAAGTCTCACAGTAAGACCATTCCCTGGTTAGTTAGATGTGCAGGCTGGCGTATTTTCAATGGATCCACAAGTTTTAGTAACTTCTTCTTCTTAAGCTTTTGTACCGCTTGATCAGCAAGTCGATCAGTGATAATCAGTGGACTGGCTTAAGTGGCCTCGGATCACGAAGTCGTAATTTTTTTTTTCCCACTACCAAATTTTCTTAAACCCCTTGGTTGGGCCATAGTGGGGTCGAACTTGTGACCCATTGAACCTCAAACAGACACGCAACCAGTTGCACTACGACGCTTATAAAGAATCATGAACCTAATCTTTTCGATATCTTATAAGTTGAATTTTCCCAGACTCGCGTTCGCCTTCCTCCAACTGATCCAGTGTATTAGCCTCAAGTTCTTCCGACATCCGTTTGTGGTCAACGTCAAGGATGAACGTAATCAAATCGCAATGATTTATCATTATTTTCACTGTTCTCACTTGAAGATGGGTCATCGAACCTACGACAAGCCGCGATTTTCCTCCGTTGGCAGACGGCTCTCATCGAAGCTGAATCGATCTCGGCCCTTTCCTTGTTCCTCTCCACGTTGGAACCCGTCATCTTGTGGGACAAGAGTCGATTGCAGGTGATTTATAGGTGGAATGGGGGATTATTGTCGATTTTTGAATAAAATGCTGAAAAATTTTGGAGCAGAACGGAAAAAGGACCGAATTTAAAAAAATCGAAAAAAATTGAAAAAAATACCGAAGCTGAAGAACAAAATTAGAAAAAAAGGACCCGGGCTTAAAAAAAGAAAAAGTAGGATAGTGAAATCTGAAATAGTACTTTTTGAACTATTGAATTAATCGTGATCTACTAAATCTTCCCAAAAACTTGAAAAATTTCAGTAGAATCCTGAAAAAATGGTCATGAAGTTTTTCTGAGTCGAATGAAGCTTTTAAAAACTTGATAGTTCAAAAAAATCAAGTTTTTTTCTACCTTGAATTTGAAAAAAAGATTACTAAGAGTTATTCCTATTTCTGTAAGACAGCTCTTGGGAAAAAAAGAAAAAAATAACTATTTTGGAAAGGATTTACATGAAGAAAAAAATACATAGGATACTGCATTTTTGAACCAGTAGTGGTTTATTTTGAGAAAGAATTCTTAAAAATTTTTAGAAATTTCCAATCAAAAAGTTCAGTTAAATGGGGAGAAATTTTGAGTTTAGCAACATTTTATATAACAAGAAAAACAGGAAGAAAAACATTCAGAGAACTGGGCAATTTTTGAAAAATTGTCTTTTCCTGAGAAAAAAATCGTTTTAAAAAAGCATATAAGGAGTGAAAAAAAGCATTTCTGCAAATTCTCAAGATTCCGAATACCTACTTGAAAAATCCACAAAATTTTTCAATTTTTCGAGAAAAAAATTTATCATATAAAAATATGATCTTTCTGGCTAGAACTTTTTAAGATTTTTTTCTTCATACGCCTTTGTATTTTCTTAAACCCCTGAGGGGGAGGGTTAGGGTCGAAGCGGGGATCGAAACTGGTGACCCTGTGGACTGTAGACAGGCACACAACCTGTTGCGCAACGGAGCGCCTCTTGATTTTTACAAGCTTTCATTTATATATCAATTCATTACTTTCATAAATTTCAGGGAAAATGCCGTCTGTGCCGACGAAAAGGCGCCGCCGACGACTTGGTTCTCTGCGCGACCTGCGACAAATGCTTCCACATCCACTGTGTCCGGATCGAACGGCCGCCGCCGGTCGACTGGCAATGCTCCGTCTGTGCTGCGGAGAAACGCAAGAACGCCGCAGCCGAGAAGAGAAGCGCCGCCAGGGGTTCTCAAAATCATAAAGTGGTGAATAACTGAAGAGATTCGCTTCAGAAGCGGCTTTGAAGGAAGAGCTGCAAGATGGGGACCACGACAACAGCGCCGATGAGAGTAATATCGCGTCCGAGGCGGAGGAAAGGTGGGTTATATCAATGTAAGGTTGAGAGAAACTTTAAATTTCGACTGTTTTAAATGGGAAAAAAATTGAAAAAAAAAAACCTACATGAAATTATGAAAATTATTGTTTTTTTGAGGATCTTAAGGTAGTCATTTTTTTTTGAGGAACTGGTTGAAATTAAAAAAATATTTTTTTCCCAAAGAAGATGAAAGTTCGAGGCTTGGAAGCCTTTTTTGTAGGTGAACTATTTTCTGAAAAAAAGATAAAAATTAGTTAGGTTGAAAAAAAGAAGCACTTTCCACAGGAAAAATCGGAGGTTTAGAGGGCTTTTCCTTACAGAATTTTGAGGCAGCCAATTATTTTTTTTAAATGGCAAAAACTGGTTGGATTAAAAAAAGATTTTTTTCCCATGAGAAATAAGGGAAGTCAGGGCTTTTTTTTTAAGATTTTAAAGTATTCGACTATTGTTTTGAAGTTTTAAAAATTGGTTAGACTAAAAAGAAGCACTTTCACATGAAAAATAGGAAAAATCGGAGCCTTTTAAAATTTTTTTCGAAGATTTTAAGGTAGTTTTCAATTTTTTTGAAGAACTGGCTGGGTTAAAAAAAGGATGTTTCTTATGGAAATAGGGAAGTCAGGGCCTTTTTAGGATTTTTTTAAGTATTCAACTATTTTTTTGAAATTTTAAAATTGGTTAGGCTGAAAAAGAAGAACTTTTACTTGAAAAATATGAAATTATAGGTTTAGACCACTTTTTTTCCAGGATTTTAAGGTAGCCCTTAGTTTTTTTCGAGGAACTGATTAAATTTAAAAAAAAGGATGTTTCTCATGAAATTAGGGACTGTTAAAGACTTGATAGTCTTTTTGTTTAGGTAAACTATTTCTGAAAGTGAAAAATTGGTTAGGCTGAAAAGAAGCACTTTCACATGAAAATAGAAAAATTAGAGGCTTAGAGGCTTTTTCTTACAGGATTTCAAAATAGTCCTTAGATTTTTGAGGAACTGGTTGAGTTTAGAAAAAGGATCTCTCATGAAAATAGGGAAGTCAGGGCATTTTTTTATGATTTTAAAGTATTCAACTATTTTTCTTGACAGTGAAAAAAATTGGTTAGATTGAAAAGAAGAGCTTTCACATGAAAATAGGAAAATTAGAGGCTTTTACTTTTTTTTGAAGATTTTAAGGTAGTCCTTAACTTTTTTTAAGAAGCTGATTGAGTTGAAAAAAAGGATCTTTTTCCATGAAAAAATATGAAAGTTGAAGCCTTTTTATAGTATTTTAAACTAGTCAACTATTTTTTTGAAAGTTTAAAATTTGGCTAGGCTGAAAAAAGTAACTTTCATATGAAAATACGAAAGTTAGAGCCTTGTACTACCTTTCTGAGGAGTTGGAGGAAAAAGTCGTTAGATAGTATGGTGGAAAAAGAGAGAACCAGACAGCTGGATAGGAAAAAAATGAATTCCAGCGCGTTTTACATTTGAAATTTTTTTTCTTGAAGCAGATTTTTTAAGGATACATTTATTTTTTCTTTATGTGTCTTTGAGTCTCTATCTTCTTCATAGTCTCTAGTTTTTAGCCCGATGAAGTTGATAGTTAAATTTTTTTAATTCTATCGAATTTTCGATCAGAGTTTTAAGAAAATGGTTGACTTTTTTTCGGACGAATTAGTTATTCCCTTCATTTCCAGTGAATCCATCACAAGAACAAGTAGTGGCCGGGCTGTCCGGAGAGTTCAGTACACGGAGAGTAACGGTAGTGGCGCCGAAACACCTCCCCACAAGGTTTATCTTTCCAAAAGTCCCACTGAAGAAATCAATTTCCTTGAAGGCTTCGAAAAGAACCACAAGGTCCAATGGTAACACCCCGGATCAATCGAAACGATCTTCAAGAAGTCGGCCAAAGTTTGAAGATTAAATGAATTAATTTCTGGAGACAGGAATTTCAGGTACAATGAAGACGATTATGGGTCGATGGACGATGGAGATGAGACGCTGGAAGACGAAGAAGTGGTCTTGGAACGAAGGAATAGTAGGAAAAGGAAAGGTGGGTCTCAAAGGGAAGTTTATTGGTTGAGAAATGGGTTACTGTAATTTGGAAAGTCTGCATTTTGGAGCGCTTTTTAAGCTCTGAAAGTTGATAAGAAGGGATAGAGAAATGGGTTACTGTAGTTTAGAAAGTCTGCATTTTTGTGCCCTTTTCAAGCTCTGAACGTTGATAAGAAGTGGTAGAGACATGGGTTACTGTAGTTTAGAAAGTCTGCATTTTTGTGCCCTTTTCAAGCTCTGAACGTTGATAAGAAGTGGTAGAGACATGGGTTACTGTAGTTTTGAAAGTCTGCATTTGTGTGCCTTTTTAAAGCTCTGAACGTTGACAAGAAGGGATAGAAAAATGGGTTACTGTAGTTTAGAAAGTCTGCATTTTTGTTCGCTTTCCAAGATCCGAACTTAAGTTGGAAGTGGGAGAAAAATTGGGTTACTGTAGTTTAGAAAGTCTGCATTTTTGACCGCTTTTTTAGCTCTGAAAGTTGATAAGAAGGGATAGAGAAATGGGTTACTGTAGTTTAGAAAATCTGCATTTTTGAGCGCTTTTTAGGCTCTGAAAGTTGATAAGAAGGGATAGAGAAATGGGTTACTGTAGTTTTGAAATTCTGCAAGTTTTCGTGCGGATCTCTGAGGTGTTTACATACTGCTGATTCGTATAGAGACCAGTGGCAGAAAAGAGTTACTGTAGTTTCGAAAATATGAATCTTTAGGTTTTCGCATAATACTATTTGACAGGTGGATTAGTGCTAGAAATAAGATTTACTGTAATTTGAAAAAGTATGCAATTTCTCGTGATGTGTTTACGTACTGATACTCTTCGCTTTTCAACGCTTTGAAACAGCATGAAATGACACAAAACGTCGCATTTGAGCTGCTTTTTATCATCAAAAATAGTTTTACATTCTTGGTATTTGTCAAGTTGCGCCCGACTCCTAGCGACTTTCTGATCTTCTATGCTATGATGTCATCTTGCGCTTTCAAAATTTAAAGAGAGCAAGCTCAAAATTTTATTTTCAGTAGTTAGGATGTGCAAGCCAAGCCAATAAGGAGTACGTATATAGGTCATGACAAATTTTTTCAAAATATCTTCTTCCAGATCTCAGCCTCAAAATTGCCATTTTCAGCCTCGGAACTGGAAGATTTCTCGCCAGCGCATCAAATTCGCCACACTTCCACGGATACCAAAGAGAAAATGGGGCAACTGGAAGCTTTGCTGAAAGATTGCATGCGACAGGAGTTCGCCTGGCCCTTCATCGAGCCGGTCGATCCCAAAGAAGTGGGTCTTGCAACGATTATTGGCTGTAGGGGTACTGTAGGAACCTTATGCTTGAAGATCCTAGAATTTGGAATTTTTAACAGTTTGTTTCACAAAAATCGATTTCAATTAAAGAAAGTTATGATTTTTTGGAGGTTTCTTAAAAGGGCCCTTCAAGAATTCAAGAATTACCACTAGACTCAGAATTTCGATACGCTTTGATGGGTACCAAAATGAGCTCCCCTGATAAGTTTCGCGAAAAATGTCGATGCGTTGCGGTTGCGTAGCGGTTATCATTAAGGCGCACCCGACCTTAAAACGACTTTCGCGCGCCTGCTTGTAAAGCTTAAACATGGACGGTTTCGTCATTGGAAATTTTGAACTACTCGAAGAAGCCGCACCGCGACCGCAACGCAACCCATTCCAAATGCGACCAGGAGTTTTTAAGTTGTAGCGAATGAAAATTATGCTCAGAGTAGCGCCCCGGGCCGTCTCGCTAGTCAAAACAGTTGTCCCGGGGCTACCCAGCCCGTAAAGTTGGACAGAGTAACATGTAAAATCACCGTCACAATCTTTTGATCTGAAACAGGAATAGTCATTTCAATTTCTCAGGTCCCCGACTACTATGACGTCATCAAAAGGCCAATGGACCTGAGGACGATGATGAACAAGATGAAGCAACGGATATACGATCATACGGATGAGGTTGATCTTTCATCCATTTTATTGATTTTATCGATTTTTTTCCAGGTCTGCTCCGACTTCAAGCTGATCTTCGCCAATTGCGAGCAGTATAACGACGAGGACAGCGAGATTTATGAGGTGAAGAGGGGGAAAATTGGTTTAGAGCTAGAGAGTGAGTGAAACTTGGAGAGTTCCAGGCGTTAGGGAAAGATTTGAGCTGTCTGGCGTCTCTTCACTTTCAGTTATGTCTAGGGTTTCTTTTTTTGGCCGAAGTAGTATGGAGTTTCAAGAGAGGGCCAGACATAGAGAGTAATTTTACACTGTCTAGTGCCTCTAGTATATCAACTAGGTTAGATAGTATGGAACTTCGAGAGGGGCAGAGATGTAGAGTAATCTTTTTGTCTGGCGTCTCTCATTTATCAATTGTTTCTAACTCAGTCAATCTTTCAAAATAGTGTACAATACTAGGAGAAGGCGAGGAAGTTAGAGTAGATCCCAAATGTCTGACGTCTCTCGTTTTTCAGTTATCTCTAGCTCAAACCTTTCCAAATTCCCTCTTCTTGAGCTAGAGAGCATAGAAAATTGAGAGACAACCAGACGGATGAAGAAAATTCGAGCTGCCTGGTTTCTCTCATTTTTGAATTATCTCTAGATGAAGTTTTTTATTGTCATTTTATAATTTTTAAATGATTCTTAAGCTTCCAAGAAGGATAGCTCAGTGGTTTGAGAGTTAGTTTATGATCAGAAGGGTCGCAAGTTCGAGTTCCCAAGGGGTTTTTGCAAGATATGAGCTTTTTTCAGAACTTTCAGGCTTTACAAAACAGACATAACTATCGATTCTGAATTTTCTCAACTTAACCAATTTTTCTTCAGTGTTCCAAAAAGCTGAACGAATTTTCCGACGAGAAACTCAAGAAAATCTTCGATTCTCCGACTTCGACGAAACGGACGCGCCGTTAAAAATCAACCATTTTTTGATCATATTGATTCGATTTTCAATTATTTCATGATTATTTTTCCCCATCACCCTTATAATTAACCACATTCAGTTGTATACAATGTTTGTATTTCTTCTCATTTATATCATTTTGCATGTTACGTTTTTTCCCTTCTTCTTTGTTGGCTAACCACATTTGAACTATTCTCGAGATCCTCACCATTTTTCTTCATTTTTTACTCGTTTTCTAATAATTTTTCCATTTTTATTCATACCTACTGGATTTTTTTGTTGTTATTTCTTTTTATTATGATTACGGATGGCTTTAACTTGGAGAAATATCAAGTTTTTCGAAAAAAAAAAATTGATGAGACTTATTTTTTTTACTATTATTCGCACTACTTGTAATATCCGTTTGTGAGATTGTTTCATTTCGATTTTTCTGAGTGAGGATTGACGATAAATTTGGTCCTGTTTTATATATATTTTATTGATTTTTTCGATCAAAGGCGGTATTGATTCGAATAATGCCAAAAGAATATTTATTAGCGAAAAAAACTTTCCTTGAAGCCAAAAATAGATGTTTTTTTTAAATGACAGATTTTCCTAATTTTGAGAAAGTTTCCAAGAAAGTTTCAAGAAAGTTTTCGAAAAAAATTTTAGGATTTTTTTGGGAAAAATTTGACGCTTTTCCGGTTTAATGGATGTTCTTACGAAGCTTTCACAGATCAAATTATGATAATTTAAAAAAATTCAATTTTTTTCTTTTTTTCAAGGGTCTTTTTAAGTTTTTTTCTTATGGATCAGCTGTTTTGGAAAAATCAGAAAAAAAGGTTTTAATCTAGATTATGATCATTTTATTTCACGTGGTTTCGGAAAATTCAGTTTTTTTCTCTTAGGACTTTTTCCAAGATTTTAAAATTGTATTCTAGGTTTTTTTCAGTACGAATCGGCTGGAGGTGATGCTCTCAAAGTTAGAAACGCATTTTCAAAATAGGTGACTTTTTTTTTTTCAAAACATTGAAGTTCTGATAAAACTTTCGAGCCTGGAAAAAACTGCAATGATTTGAAAAATATTTCCAAAAAGGTTTTTTCACAATGTTTTCAGGAAAATCTTAGAAAAGATAAAGCTTTGAAACTTCATTTTTCAAGTTAAAAAAGTAGCTTTCCAATCACAGCTCTTAAAAAATATTCATCTCACTTTTTCGCTGTTTTTAGGTTCGAAACAACATCTTTTCGGACAAATCGGTTCAATTTGAGTTCTAAAAAGCCGTGGAGAAAAATTCAAGATAGAAATTGTGTGAGTTTTGTTGTTTTCAAATGCTCTATTTTTTGGGTTTCTATCCTTTTACTTAGTGTAAATTAAGTGAAAACCGAAAAAAAAATTGACGAAAGTTGATCATTTTTCTTTAGTATTTTGGATTGATTGTAAATTATGAGATCGTCAATTTTTTTTCTCAAATATTTGAGAAAAACTCATTTTCCGATTTATTTTATCCTATATGAACTTTTTTCTTTCTTCAAACCATACCTAACTGCAAGTTTTTTTTCTACTCTCAAAAGCGCCCGACTTCAAACGATTTACGCGCGGCGGCTAAGGAAACTATTAAGTTTTAAAATGGTTCAGCCGTATATCAGTTCGGGTTCTGTATGACCATACTTATTCCTTTTTCTCCTGCAACATGCGCCCGACCAGGAGCGACTTACGCTCGGCGCCTTGGACAAGCTTCAAGGGAGGCCATGAAGCCTTATAATGGCTTCGCCGCAACGCGCGTTGACCCATTCCAAACGCGACCATTTTGAGCTGTAGGTCAATTTTTCAAGGGTTTTTTTTTCGTGATTGTCTGCTCAACTCATCTCAATTACAATATTTTATCAATCCGAATCACCACTTCTTCTTCTTATCCGCTCCGAAAATGTCCGCGTTGAGATTAGCCAGAGTCTGGTAGTTGGCATCTTTCGTCGCGGCTTTTGCATACTGTATTTTCATTTTTCGAAAAAAAAGAATTAATTCACTTATCACCTGGTTGGCAGGAGGGACTATCTTTTTTGGAGCTGCTCCCGCTCCTTTCTTATCCGCTCCGAAGACATCAGCATTGAGTCCAGCCAAGGTCTGATAATTCGGATCTTGTGTCGCCGCCTTGGCATTCTGAATAGTTCCGAATTCGTTTCCTGCTATTGATTTTCGATCTAGTCATCCCTACAAGGAAGGTCATTCACTTTGATTTTTCTGAAAATTGGCCGGTTTCTGAAAGTCCCAACTTGCCCAACTTCCTGGTTTTTGAGAAACAGTTTCTCAAAGTCTAACAGAATCATAAAAAACCGTAAAACGCTTCAAATTGATCAAAGTGTATTGATTTTTCACGTGCACCCGACCGTAAAGCGACTTTCGCGCGCCTGCACGGGGCGCCAAGGGATGAGGGAAAAAGAGACGCAGACACTCAAAAACTCAAATTTTTCGAAAAAGTTGTAATTTTTGGATTTTTTTTGGACCGAGTAAAGTTTTCTGAGAGTCCCAAGTTGCCCAACTTCTTACTTTTTGAGAAAACAGGGGCTCAAAGTCCAGAAATCCGAAAAATGGGCCATTTTGAAGTTTTGGGTATTTTTTTTCCGAGAATGAAGAAGAAAAAGACTTCCAGGATCTGGTGTATCAAGAAGTATTCTGGATTAATTTTCGCAAGAAAAAAACAATAAGTTGGGCCATTAGAGCAACTAATTGAGCCTTATTTGATATCATTGCATTTTCTGGGCCTTTCAAGGCAATTTTCGAATTCTCTAGAACCATCTTGAGCTGAGTAGGACTACTTGGAAATCTTATTTAGAGACAAAACAATGCATTTTCTTCAAATTGAACCGTGCGTCATTTGCAGTTCGCATGCGAAGCGGTTGCGATGCGTTTTTGGCGCCAATTTGCAAACTTGTCGCATTTTTCAAAACTATTACGCGGAAAATCTTCATACTCGATCCTGGGTAACGTTAATCGGAAGGAGCTCTTTTAGTGGACACTTTAGTAGTGTCACCACTCTTAAGTGGCCACTAGAAAAGCCTCGTTCGCGTTATCAAGGTTTGAGTAAGTTTTGTAAAAATTCGAACCTTTTTTGGAAAGATTTTGATGTAAATGGAATGATTATGTTAATAAAACGCGTGGGAAAAGTTTAAAAAGGCGGGGAATTCGGATTTCGCGACCAAAAATGGTGCAGGCAGAAACAAAACGTGGATTATATAGTCTATTTTTTGAAAGGACTTGAAAGGATGAGGCTCCTCTGCGCCCTCTTCGTCTCTCGACGACCCTCTCGTGTTTAAGAGCTATTTTCATTTTTCTCTGACTTCAAAGGTGATGGAAAAGAGACGCAGACACTCAAAAACTGTCAAATTTTTCGAAAAAAATGGTTATTTTTTGATTTTTTCGTCAAAGTTTCTTGAAAAAATGACCTGGTTGACTGGCAGGGCTGGTTTTTTGGCTCCGAACCCAGGTGCTCCAGCTCCTCCGGCCTTCTTGTCGGCTACGAAAATGTCGGCATTGAGTCCAGCCAACGTTTGATAGTTTGGATCGTAGGTTCCCGCCTTGACGCCCTAAAGATACCATTTTCAATCTGGGAAAAAAGGATTGCTGACCCAGTTGTTGACTGGGGCAACTGGTCCGTTCTTGTCGAGTTTTCCGGCTTGGGGTTGCTGAAAATCTTTTTTTTTTGAGGAATAGCTCAAATTTTAAGAACTTCACGAGAATGAGAAAAATTTGTAACTAGTATTTTTCTGAGGAAAATATCGATTTTTCGGTTTTTTGGTTAATTAGTCATTGGGAACTTCAAAAATTCGTATCTCAGCTCAAAATGCTCAGAATAGAATGAAATTAAGTTTTTTAACGTTTTCAGAGGGCCCTGCTCCATATTCCACCAACTGGTACCCTCAAGAACCTATAGGGTCCTCAAAATATCGATTTTTCCCATTTTGGGCCAATTTTGTCACTCAAAGCTTCAAAAATTCATATCTCGGCTTAGAATGCTCAGACTCAAGTGAAATTAGGTTTTTTAATGTTTTCAAAAAGTCCTGTTTTATTTGGAACCAACTGGTACACTCAAGAATCTATAGGGATCTTGAAATATCGATTTTTCTCATTTCGTAATAATTTTGTCACTCAAAACTTTAAAAATTCATATCTCGGCTCAAAATGCTCAGATCCAAGTAAAATTAAGTTTTTTAACCTTTTCAGAGTGTCCTCTTTCATATGAAACCAACTGGTACCTACAAGAACCCATAGGGTTCTCGAAATATCGATTTTTCCCTTTTTGGGTCAACTTTGTCACTCAAAACTTCAAAAATTCATATCTCGGCTCAAAATGCTCAGATCCGAGTAAAATGTAGTTTTTTGACATTTTCAGAGGTTCCTTCTTCAAATAGAACCGTTTGGTACTCTAGAGAACCCATAGAGCTCTCAAAATATCGATTTTTCTCATTTGTTGGTATTAATTTTGTCACTCAAAACTTTAAAAATTCATATCTTGGTTCAGAATGATCAGAATTGAGTAAGATGTGGTTTTTTAAATTTTTTAAAGGGTCTTCTTTTATATAGAACCAACTGATACCCTCAAGGAATATCGATTTTTCCCCTTTTGGCTCTATTTAAACATTCTTCTAGAAGTTTTTCCGACAGCGTTAGAAGAACAGATTTTTCAAAAGTCTTGTTTTTTTCCGAACCTTGGCTAGAATTTGAAGGACTGAAAACTCTTATTTTTAAAGAAAAAAGTCTAAGAATCCTTTTTTAAGTTTCACGATAATTAATCTCATCTTAACTCACTTGATTAGGAGCTCCACCTTTCTTATCGAAAATGTCAGCATTGAGACCGGCCAGAGTTTGATAATTCGGATCGTAGGTTCCGGCCTTGGCCCCCTGAAAATTCAGTCACATAACCAGAGGGGCGGTGGTTCGGACCCAGTTGTACGCTGGCGCAACTGGTCCAGCTCCATCTTTCTTCTCGAAGACGTCGTTGAGGCCGGCGAGGGTCTGGTAGTTGGGATCATGAGTGCCGGCGATGCCTCCGGCGACGTTCGGCCTCGGCGCCACTGGACCTGCTCCTGCTCCTGCTCCTGCTCCTCCAGCTCCTCCTGGCTTGTCGAAAATCTCGGCGTTGTTGAGGCCGGCAAGGGTCTGGTAGTTGGGGTCGTAGGTTCCTGGAATTTAAAGCTGTTTTAAATGGAAGGTGGAGCAGTAAGGCTTCAAATGGGGTCTCTCCGGAAGTCTAAGGGATTTGAGAGGATTTCATGGTCCGAGGGGTTTTTTTTTTCATACCGGCTATACTGGTGGTTATATTGTCATACCACCCCTATCCGTTTATAAATTTATGGTTTTCAATATAACCTCGATAAGACCTTACCGGCCATCGGAGCCTTAACTTTCTCCGCCGGCTTTTTCCTATCTTTTCCGGTCGACGTCGCACTGGTGGTGGTCCCACTGGTCGCCGAGTCGTCCGTCTCATTCCTCCTCCTCCTTCTTCGTCTTTTCTTCTGTCGCGACTCTTCCTCAGATTCATCGTCTTCGGTGATGGTAGTGTTATCCTCGGCGCTCATCCCTTTCTTCTTCTTTTTGGTCTGTCAAAATTAGATGCGTTTAAGAGGTCTTGTAAAGTCGTACTGAAGTCCATATTGAAAAAAAAGAAGCTTCTCGGCTGGTAGAATCTTTCACTTCTGGGAAAATTTTTAGTGGCCACTATAGAGGCTCGCCAAGGACTACTTGGAGTGGACACTAAAGTGGCCACTAAACCCACTTCTATAGTGACCACTATTTTCCTTTTTAGTGGCCACTTCAGTAGTTTTTCGTCCACTATTCCTTCCTTCCAGTAACTCTGATAATTTCAAAACAGATTGGACCAGTTATGTTGATCCATTGACCCCTAAAGTGGCCACTAAAATTTTAAGTGGTCTAGTAGTAGCATTTAGACCTCTATAGGTACCACTAATTTTTAATCCCTTAAGTGGCCACTAATTTGACCACTATACTGGCCACTAAAAGGCCAAAACCCTGAAGTGGCCACTAAAAAATTTCCCACTAACTTTTCCGTCATGAAAGCTTATGATTAAAGTAGAAGTTAAAGTTGAGGTTTTCTCGAAAAATACAGAATTTTGGATCAAGTATTTGAAAAGCTGAAATATGATAATAATTATATTGACTCTACTGAAAAAAAAGACTGAATAAAATTTTTGAATGTAAACCTGATTGTTTCAAATCACTTTTCAGCTCAATTTGAGCGATCTTCAAAGTTTTTATTTCTTTTTTTTCTTCAGTAGGAAAAACTTACACAAAATGTATAAGTTGCACTGGCAACGGCTGAATAGACAAGCATTTTAAGCAGCATGGAGAATAGCGATTCGAATGGAAGTAACGTCGTCAAAAGTTGCTCCATTGCTGAATCCGCTCCAAAGACTTTTTTTTTCAATACTGGATTTTTAAGTACCGCTTCTAGGGCAAGCGCTCGCCTCGAGAGGTTTGAATTAAAATGAGGATCATTTATAACAAGTTCACGGGTTTATTCTTATTTTATGCTAGATTTTATGAGAATCGTGTTTTTCTTAACTCAAATTCGACGTTCAAAAAACTTTGATTAAAGCACAGTTTTCGTAATTATTCAGCTCACTCAGGCTTAAAAAATCGATTTTCAATCGAAATTGTCTACACAAAACAGGATTAATTTGAAAACGGCACTCGGACCTTACTTACTTACTTAGATACTTAGATGGTCCATCTTCGCTTTCGACCTTTTATTGTCTTTTATTGATCGAAGCGTGGACCACACGTTTTCCAGTAGGTCTTATGCAATCGGTCATTCAGTGTTGTCGTCCTGGTTGACTGGTATTCTTGCAAAAAAGTTCCATCTATGGTGTTGAACGTGTTATAGCATAATTGTGGTCTGATTATCTTTCTTGCCTTGCCATGGCTAAAAAAAGACCGCCCATTCTGTTGGCAGAAGCATGTCGAACTGCGTGACCGGTGTACCGTTAGCCGCCATAAATGGCGTTGCCTCCCCATCACCGCGTAGAGGTGGTACTTGAAAGGGTCCTCGGACCTTGGTAACGCGAAAAGACATCGGACGTGTCGGAACATTTCTAGTGACCACTTTAGTAGCCTCAGCACTCTTAAGTGATCCCTAGAAGTTCTCAGAAACATCCCGAGCACGTCCGTTTCGCGTTACCAATGTCCGAGGTATTAGAAACCGTTTTCCGAGACTTTTAAAGGAGCAAAGACAAATTTTTAGAATGGTTTTAAAATGATTTTCTATTTTCAGTGATACTTCAGGTCATCGTGATGACGATATTCGTCAAAAACCTTTCTAACTTAAAGTGAGAAATAATAAAATGAGAATGAAGAATGAAAAAAGCTCAAAGTTTAACTCACGCCGTGAAAAAAAAAAAAATAAAATCTACGCGGTCAACATGAGTTGGGACGTCGATAGGTGGTCATTCCTTCCATCAAGTCCACAGCCAGGAGGTCGACATCTAAATGGGTCAGTTCTGAGGCATCCGACGGCTCCACTTTCGGCTCCAACTCGGCTCCCGGCTGGCTTGGAACCACAACCCAAGGATGGTAACTTTACTCTGTTTCTGGAAATCTCCGGAAGTTGGCCTGGATACTCATGTACCAGATAAAGATCCTGAGAGTCTCAACTTCCAAAACTTTCTACTTCTGTGGAAGTAATCCCTCAAAGTCAAAGAACGGCGTATTTTTGTGGTTTTGGGAAGATTCTTCGACTTTGGGGCATTCTTTCCGTGAATTTGGAAATTTTCCCAGGTTGAGACTTTGAGGACCTTAATCTGGTACATTCCGTATAGTCCTGGCCAATTTTCAGGTTACTTCAAGTCCAAGCAGAGTGAAATAACTCCTTGTTAGAGAACTTTGCGGAGTCTCCCCATGTGCCTTTAAAATGACCCTGTTTTCAAAATAGCTTACTATTAAAGGCGCATGAGGAGCCTCCGCAAATTCTTTTTCCACGAAAGATACAGTTTTCCGTCCCAAGCCAGCCGCGAACCAACTATAGGTTTTTGACAAGAAAATACCATTTTGAGATGTTCTTATAGTTGACACAAGAAAGGGTCCTGACATGAAAAAAAAATGGAGAGTGCCTGGTCGATGGAGAGCGCAGCCAATGTTGCCAATATGTACTTGGAGTTGAACGAAAGTTGTAGTTTTTAAAAATTGTTATTCTCAACTTTTAGTTTATCAAATCAAGTTGAATTTCTATTATAATAAAAACCGTTTTTCTGAATTTTTATTTTTTCAAATCTGGGTGTCAGCTTCTCAGAAAAATTTCAAATTATAAAATGCAATCTTTGAAATTTCAGCGTGGATATTCTTCCGTATCGAACCAATTGTGTTCCTTCTCATCGTTTTTGGCCTGGCCACATGAGACTTCCGCCGCAGGTATGTATAGGAAAAAGGCATGGGGAATATATAGGAACGAGTTTTGTCAAAAAAATTTTCTCTTTTCCATAGAGATGATAGTTTTTTTGGTTGTGATATTGTTTTTTTATTGTTTCAACTACAAGGTTTTTTTGAAAAGATCTTTGAAAAACTGGCTTCGAAATTTGTCCTATTATGAAGAAATACGTACTTTTTTTAAATAATAATATTATTATTGACAGATGAGCGTGACCCTTAACGAGTTCACTTGAATCTTGAAATTGAGATAATACATTGTACAATTATACATCCTTTGAGTCTTAGCGGGAAACTTTGAACCCCTTATAAAGCCTTCCTAAAATTTCAAAAAATGAAAAAAGGCATCACCAAAAGCAGCCGAACCGACCTACCGTCCCGGCATGCGATTTTTTTCAAGACGATATTTCTTTGCAGATGTATGTTGCAAGAGAGCCATCTCGAGTTACTCCACCTGCGATTCGGTGCCCCCGGAGTGCGCGAAGTTGACTTGCACGGAGGCGCCAATAGTTATCCAAGAAACTGATTTGAAAGCAAATGATGTTTCGAATTTCGTCAATACGGTTGAGAGGATCAGCACACTCAGCGTCATCAAGAACAAGGACAGATTGATGACGCTCTCTCAAGTGACCGCATTAACTCACAAAGGACCTGGTTCGTTTCTCTGCTTTTTCTCTTTCTGTTTTTGAGTTTATTGTCATTTTTTTCAAATTCTTTCATTATAGGCCCGGCAATCTTTTTGGACGATGCGAAACTCGAAGACTCCTCTTTCCAGAACTTGAAAGTGATCACAGTCGACGACATCAAACCTTATTGCGATGGCGAAAAGCTGATAGACATTCGAGGAAGTCTTGATGACACTGTCAAGAAACGACTGGACCAGATCTTGAAAGAAGTAAGTCATCTTGAAAATTGAGAAGTTAAACTTACTTTCTTATACATTTTATTTTTTTTTCTTCCTGTAAATAAATATTATTAAAATTAATGACTTCTTGAAAGATAGTTGGTTCTCGTCTAATACGGTTAGAAAAAAGCAAGAGAAGATCCTAGAAGTTAATTTTCAGTTTTTCAGAACAATTTTCAGTTTTTCAGAACAAAAGCGAACAAATGCACCCAAACTAGTTTATTGGTATATGGGAGGCTTTTAGAGTGAGGCTTTTAATTTTCTGAATCATTTCTCAAAGGTAGATGTTCGTGAAGACTTGTATGTAATTTTTCAAATGATTTAATCACAAAATTAAGCTGGGAAAAGTTTTGTAACCTAATAACATGTCTCTAAAAAAAAAAAGCAGTAAAAGGTAGCGATCTTTATTAGGACTGCATAATTTTCCGAGAAAATTTATGGAAATTCCTCAATCGCACCTTGACCATTGATTCAGAAGGAAATAAAAAAGACGATTTCTTACAGACCCTGGCCCCTTGTGCCACCTTAAAAAACCCGGCCTCTGGAGGCCCTGCGAGCTCTACGAGCTCTGCGGACTCTGCAGGCTCTTCCGGCTGTTCGGGCTCTGCAGGTTCTGGACGCCAAGTGGAAAATACGCCAAGCTGTCCCCCGTGCACTCAAATAATTGCCGGCGCCGTGGGACCTGCGAGTAAGTTTTTTGATAACTGTACTATGTGAAAGAAATTCGAGTATTTTTAAGTGTAGGGCCAGTTAAAAATGAGTTTTAGATAATGGTTCCAACCTGTTGGCATTTCCAAGTCTGAAACTCTACAAAATTGTAGATTATTGAAGAAAAAGTTCTTGTTTCAATTCAAGATTTGATGTGAATCACCGTAATATTTGCCGAGGTAACGTTTAATTGTAAGCATTTCAATGAGGTGGAATTCAATGGAGAAAAAGTCCAAATCGAGAATTATTTTTGCCATGAACCTGGACTATTTGAACTTGAATGGATTCTTTGGGCGCCAGTTCAAAAAATCGAAAAATCTGAGATGATCTAAACGTTTTTTGCTAAACTGAGAAGCTAAAAAAAATTTGCAGTTCTGGGTACCGTACTCCCTGGCATTTTACTTATCGCTCTCATGGTTTTGCTTCTCGGGATTATGTTTTGGTTCATATACAAGTGCTAACCCACATTTTTGGAATCTCATATCGGCTTCTTTTCGAATCAAAATAAATATTCCTTTTGCCGTTTGAATGAGTTTTGAAAAAAAATCATTTTTTCCACCGTCGAAAAGTGACATTTTGAATTTTACTCTTCCGGCTCAAAGTCATTACTAACCTCGAGACAACATCAGCTGAATGATCAGTTTTCAAGCTTTTCGGGTAATCTGGACAAAAATAAGTTATTTCAATCTATCAGATCGCGTGAGCCGATCTCACGAGCTAATAAATTATTTCAATCTATCAGATCTCCTGAGCCGATCTCACGAGCTCTGCGTAGTAAGGCTCATTCCCAGCAGTTCGAAGCCTTTCGGTCGACGCGACTGATCATCAGATCGGTCGGGGTCCTGTCGGAGTTAGACAGGATCCTGGTGAGAACCAGGAGATCTCGTACACCTGGTTCGAACCAAAAATCGGATCCAACATGGAACCGAGGTCTGAGGCCCCGTGCTAAACAACACACAGGGACCGCACAACAGATATCCGTAAATTAAGCGAACCCTCGATCAAGAGTCACGGCCCATATTCTTTCCATAAAATACGCCCCCTTCATTCTAGATTTGTATTTTCTTCTACTAACAAAAACGGCGTGCTAAACCCGGACCAATTGAAACTTGAATATATTCTCTGGGCATTGGGATATTTTCAGGTCTTAAAAAATACGATCTTAAAGTCTTTTTTTGCTAAACTTTGTTAAGATGTGGAAAACTTTTCAGTTGGGATCGAGGCAATCCCTGTCATCTTTCTCATCGCTGCCTTGGCTTTGGCTCTCGGGATTTTGTGTTGGGTCTCATACATGGAATAACCGAATTTGGGACTTCATATTCGGCTCCTTCTTGGATCATAATAAATATTCCTTTTTTTCGTTTGGATGAATTTTGAGAAAATATATTTTTTCGACCTTCGAAAAAATTTATTATTATCTCATTTCATAACGTCGATAAGTCGGTCTCATTGCCGCTTTCTCATGGGATAATATTCCGACGCCCGTCGGCCCTGGACAAGCTGGGCGCCGTACTGTTCCAACATGATGAAGCAGTTTATTTGCTTGTACTACTTTCTGAATTTTTCTGAGTTTCACTCTTCTGGCCAGAGCTGTGCGTTGGGCCGAGGTTGATGGCCGAATCGGCCCACAATCGTCGCAATCGCGCGCTTTTTTCATCTCATTTCATAATTTAAATCACATAATTTAACCAAATAACACGTTTTCGATCACTCAATCCCCCATTTAGACACTCTGTGAAAATTTCGAGACAAAAAAGTTCGAAAAGTGACAAATTTTCGGCCGCTTCGCGACCGCGTTGCAACACTCTGGCCAGCCCGGTAGGCATCAAGCACAGCTCTGCTTCTGGCTCAAAATCCTTACGAACATCGGGACAACACTGAATGAGAGCGAAATGATCAGTTATCAAGCTTTTGGGTAGTTTAGACAAAAACATTGTTTTAAAGTTTCATCACTTGATGTGGGCTAGTTTCTCGAGCTGATCGGTGTAGATGAAGATGGTGACCGTCCTGGCTAGCAGCAGCAGCTCGAATTATAGCAGCTCTTGGCGGCCCACCAACAGTAGAGCATGATCTTCAGCGGGAGCAGGTCGGCTTTCGGCGTTGTCGGCGGCTCTTCTTCGCGCGGGATCCAGACGGCATGGCGGGCGACGTTGTCGTAGAGGACCCAGGTCTCATCCCCAGTGACCAGGTCCTCGAGAAACTCCTCGCGTGCGGATGAAGGAGGAGGAACTGGCAGACAGCGATGCGGCTCTGCTTGTTTTTGTCCGTCAGACGGTGGGGATCCAACAGGCCAGTAGCCGAGTAAGTTGAGTCAATTGTGACGGAATTCGTCATCATAGAAGGCCTCCCGTTGAGCTCCCTGTCATCAAGGCTCGTGTCGCCGCTCTCGAAACGATTGAACCAACGCCTGACTGTACGTTGGGACACTGCGTCTTCCTTGCACGATCTGCAGATTTTGGCGACCGCAGGGCCCTTGTCGTTGCCCAGCAGCCACTCGTAGTACACGAACGTACAAGTTGGACCTTGGCTTGTATTTGTAGCTAGACGCGACGACTGCGCCTTATATATCCCTTCTAGAAGGCTCTCCAGAGTTTAAAAATTTTACGTGACGTGAAAAAGCGATGAGAATGAGAATGCAAAAAGCTCAATGTCGAACTCACGTGGAAAGAGAAAAATAAAATCTACGAAGTCAACATGAGTTGGGACGTCGATAAGTGGTCATTCCTTTCATCAAGTCCACAGCCAGGAGGTCGACTTCCAAATGGGTCAGTTCTGAGGGATCCGACGGCTCCACTTTTGGCTCCAACTCGGCTCCCGGCTGGCTCGGCATCCAAACGGACGGGACGAAGGATGGTAACTTTACTCTGTTTCTGGAATTCTCTGGAAGTTGGTCTGGACACTCATGTACCAGATGAAGATCCTGAGAGTCTCAACTTCCAAAACTTTCTAGTTCTGTGGAAGTAACCCCTTAAAGTCCAAGAATCGCGTATTTTTGTGGTTTTGGGAAGATTCTTCGACTTTAGGGCATTCTTTCCGTGAATTTAGAAATTTTCCCAGGTTTAGACTTCAAGGACCTCAATCTGGTACTTTCCGTATAGTCCTGGCCAATTTTCAGGTTACTTCAAGTCCAAGCAGAGTGAAACAGCTGTCCTTGTTAGAGAACTTTGCGGAGTCTCCCCATGTGCCTTTAAAATGACCCTGCGCTCAAAATAGGTTAATATTAAAGGCGCATGAGGAGCCTCCGCAAATTCCTTTTCCACGAAAGATACAGTTTTCCGTCCCAAGCCAGCCGCGAACCAACTATAGGTTTTTGACAAGAAAATACTATTTTGAGATGTTCTTATAGTTGACACAAGAAAGGGTCCTGACATGAAAAAAAAATGGAGAGTGCCTGGTCGATGGAGAGCGCAGCCAATGTTGCCAATATGTACTTGGAGTTGAACGAAAGTTGTAGTTTTTAAAAATTGTTATTCTCAACTTTTAGTTTATCAAATCAAGTTGAATTTCTATTATAATAAAACCGTTTTTCTGAATTTTTATTTTTTCAAATCTGGGTGTCAGCTTCTCAAAAAAATTTCAAATTATAAAATGCAATCTTTGAAGTTTCAGCGTGGATATTCTTCCGTATCGAACCAATTGTGTTCCTTCTCATCGTTTTGGCCTGGCCACATGAGACTTCCGCCGCAGGTATGTATAGGAAAAAGCCATGATGAATATATAGGAACGAGTCTTGTCAAAAAAATTTTCTCTTTTTCCATAGAGATGATAGTTTTTTTGGTTGTGATATTGTTTTTTTATTGTTCCAACTACTAGATTTTTTTCAAAAGATCTTTGAAAACTGGCTTCGAAATTTGTCCTATTATGAAGAAATACGTACTTTTTTTAAATAATAATATTATTATTGACAGATAAGCGTGACCCCTAACGAGTTCACTTGAATCTTGAAATTGAGATAATACATTGTACAATTATACATCCTTTGAGTTTTAGCGGGAAAACTTTGAACCCCTTATAAAGCCCTCCTAAAATTTCAAAAAATGAAAAAAGGCATCATCAAAAGCAGCCGAACTGACCTACCGTCCCAGCATGCGATTTTTTTCAAGACGATATTTCTTTGCAGATGTATGTTGCAAGAGAGCCATCTCGAGTTACTCCACCTGCGATTCGGTGCCTCCGGAATGCGCGAAGTTGACTTGCACGGAGGCGCCAATAGTTATCCAAGAAACTGATTTGAAAGCAAATGATGTTTCGTATTTCGTCAATTTGGTTGAAAGGATCAGCACACTCAGCGTCATCAAAAACAAAAACAAAAGGATGACGCTCTCTCAAGTGACCGCATTAACTCACAAAGGACCTGGTTCGTTTCTCTGCTTTTTCTCTTTCTGTTTTTGAGTTTATTGTCATTTTTTTCAAATTCTTTCATTATAGGCCCGGCAATCTTTTTGGACGATGCGAAACTCGAAGACTCCTCTTTCCAGAACTTGAAAGTGATCACAGTCGACGACATCAAACCTTATTGCGATGGCGAAAAGCTGATAGACATTCGAGGAAGTCTTGATGGCACTGTCAAACAACAACTGGACAAGGACTTGAACGCAGTAAGTCATCTTGAAAGTTCGGAAAGTTTGAGCTAATGACCCCTTGAACGATAGTTGGAACTCGCCTAAAACGGTTAGAAAGTAGCAAGGGAAGATCCTAGAAGTTTTCCAGAACAAGCCTCAAAGCGAATAAATGCTTCAAAAAATTATTATACCTGGTCATTCAAAAGTTCTCAAGAAATCACCAATGTCAATTTTTGAAATAAATTAGTGAGAAAATTGTTCTTACAGACCCTGGCCCCTTGCGGCAGCCTGAAAACCCCGGCTTCTGGAGGTCCTGCCCGCTCTCCGGGCTCTGCGCTCCCTGCAGGCTCTGGGCGCCGAGCCAGTAATTCGACGACTTGTCCACCCTGCGCTGATAGTGCGAAGCTTGCCGAAGCCGAAAGCGAGGAATCGGAATCTTCAAGTAAGCTTTTTTGATAGCCAGAGGGAGTATTTTTAGACGTAGATCTGGTAGAAAATTATTTTTGTGATGGTAATTTCAGATTGTATAGCTTCTCCAAGTCTGTAACGAACTACACAATTCTGGGTTTTTTTTTCTGAATTTAGACTAATTTGATCAAGGATGGATTCTTCAGGACCCTCAGGTTCTGAAAATAATATAAAAAGTTTGAGAAGATCTACAAGTTCAATTTTATTGAGAGGCTAAAGAGTCCTTTGCAGACATGATGATCATAATCCCTTCCGTTGTTCTCAACGTTGTGCTGTTCTTGACTCTCGCGATCGTATCCTTCATCGCTTTCTGCGTGAGGGTGAAGCCGAGCTCGAAGGACAAGAAAGCCCCGGCCGCCAACCGTCCGGATCCGAGCACCAGCTCTGGAACATCTGGCGAAAAGCTCAATCCGGCTATACTTGTATCGGCAAAAAATCCGAATGTGCGAATAATCGATAGAGATGAAGCTGGGAGGGATTTGGCCGTTGACCCTGTTGATGAGAAGTTGAAGAAGGAACGAAAGAAGGACCGCATCATGTGGGGAAAGCCCAAAATGACCGACGGCAAGAAGAAGGACAAGAAGATGAAGTCGACCAACGAGCACGGCGAGTTATTTTCCGACTTGAAGCTTGAATTTATAAAAAATAAATTTCAGCATTCCCTGCCGAGATGGCCAAAGATGCTGAGCACAAGGAGATGTTCAACGCTTAAATTTCGACTTTTGGTCGTCACAAAAAATTTTATGATTGATGTGTTTGATTTTTTTTCGCCAGATTTTTGCCCCTTCAAACGGGGAAGTAATACATTCAAGAGACACTGTATTGAACGCCTCAAATAATGTCCGTCCAAGTTGAAAAGAGTTTTCTTGCACCTGAGAGAAAAGCTCAGAGCATTTCTAACTTCGTTGTGTCTTCTTGGAACATATTGATGGCCACTAGAGGGAGTAGACTATCATAAAGTATTTGCTCCCTATAATGGGCACTTGGGAGAAACGTAAGAAATCGTTTAATAAGCACTTCAATCGATAACATCTTTGTTGTTTACTCGATCTCTTCTCCTTGGTCTTCCTTCTTGTGATTTTCTCTCAACTCTTTCAAGCTATTCCGCCCTTTCGAACTTTGGTATCTCTAATGTTTCCTGAAAAATATTCATCCAAAAATTGCGCCAAAACCAAATTGTCCTAAATAATTTGATAAAATGGCAATTTATCCATCAAAATCCTTTGAGAAAACGAGTTCGAAATAATCGATCGAAGTTTCGCAAAATTTATATTCAGTCGGTATCTTATCAATCCTAATCAGAAACAATGAAAATTTGTTGGAACTGTCAATGAAAAAAAAGAAAAAGTTTATTTTTACAGTACTGTAATTCCGTATGCATACACCGAATGCACAAAGGGCGTTTTATTTTACGACAACTAAACATTTTTATCGTTTTTCTTTCTTGTTAATTTCCTTTCCAAAAAATGTTTTTTGCCTCTTTTTTGATATTTTGGAACTGAAAAACTGAAGAAATAGTCTAAATGACGTTTTTTTTAGTGGTGAAAAAATTGCGGTGGAAGTTTTTTTTTGCACTTTTGTTTAATTTTTAGATTCGGGCAGCCGATATTTCCAAAAATTTCGACGTTTTGTGTTCCGAAAATTTCAGTGTTTATCATCAGAAAGTAAAGGTCACTGGCATATTCAACTGGTCGAAAAATATTGAATCCACCACCTTTTTTTCAAAAATTCTTATTTTTTCAATTTTTCAGCCGAAAATTCTCAATAAAGATGTTATTTTTTTTTTCATGTATTGTCATTTTTTCGTTTTTACCTTGTCCCTTTTCGAAATACAAACATTCGAGGCCATCCTTCTTCCTACGTGTGCCCCTTCAAGTACTTCGCGTCGTTTTTCTTGGCCCAAACATTCAATTTTTTTTTCCACGCCTTTTTTTTGGAAAAAAAAGTGAACGATTTGTTTGGTTTGGTGCTCGCACAGCTGCGTCTGTGAGAAATTGGTTCCTCTTTTCGAATTTTTTTTTTGAACTTTTGTTGATTTCTGGGTAATCCAGGGGGCGAAATGGAATCTTGGAAAATTTTCAAAAAGTTTTTTTTTTTTGATTATCAACTTTATAGTATTTTTCGCACGTGCTGGCTGTAGAAAATAATATTTTTGTTCCAGAAATTATAAAATATGGAATAATTGTTACAAAAGTTCGAGTTTTCGTTCTTTTTTAATACTATTGCTCCATTAGACTTGCTTTTGAAGGCTTCTATTTTTTGAACTTGATCTTAAGATTTACATTTTTTTTGCTTTTTTCTTTCTTCAGTAACCTCGAATGCTGAGCAGGGTAACCCAGCCGTGCTAACACGGGGTCTCCGCGGGTGCCCCCGTATTAAACCCGTATAAGCCCAGCTGATAGAACTTTTGGCACTTTTTAGCCCAACTGAGACCCCGCTTTAGCCCAGCTGGGTTACATATTTTTCTTACACCCGTTGTTCCCCCGTTTTAGCCCAACTGAGACTAAAATAACCTCAGAAACACGGGTTTAATACGGGTACACCCGTTGAGACACCTGCTCAGCATGCGAGAGCCTTTCATTTGAGAGAATGAGAATCAGTTTTTCGATTCTAGAAAAGGCTCCTATTTTGAAGCTGGATTTTTAAAATAAAATTTTTTTTGTTGTTAAAATCAGGTCTGATACTTTAAACAAAAAAAATTTGGTTTTGTTTGGAATATGTTATTCCTAAAAAATGCAGTGGGAAAAACCTTGAGAGGGCTTTAGACCCCTATAGGGACCACTTTTTCGGCCCCTATGTAAGGGCTGTTCCCCCTAACCCCTAAAGGGATCACTCTAAAATTACAAAGTAAGTATTCTTCCTAGTTTTTGAGAAATAAGGCTCAAAATGACTGATTTTGAAGGATTTTGAGGGTTTTCTTCAACGTTCATGTATTTTTTTTTTCCAAAAACGAGAAAGTTTTGCAGATTAAGACCTTTAGGATCGTCATCTGGAACATTAGAAAGTGTTCCAACGAATTTTTAGAAAAATCAAAACATCAAACTAAAATGACCTTCCTCATAATTTGAGATGAAAGAGACCGAATGTCCATTCAATATCTGTTGGCCCCACTCGAATAATTCCGTTTTGCGTGTTGAACTTGACCACGAGAACTTGACATTCGCCTCTTAATGTTGCAGGAAAACGCCTTCCGCCGTCTCTCGAGCAGATTTCTGGGGCACACTTTACAATGACGGCCATCAATTTTGAATCTTGTTGGTTTTTCTTCGGTGTTTGTGTTGGAAAAGCTTAAAAAAAGTCTATTTTTCCAATTTTTAGTGGATTTGTATTGGAAAAATCTATAATTTCCAAGGTTTTTTTCTGTTTTTTTGTCTGAAAAATTGTGTTGGAAAAAAGCTTGCAAAGAGGCCATTTTTCCAAGTTTTTGTGAATTTTTACTAGAAAATCTATAATTTTCAAGGTTCTTTCTCTATATTTGTCTGAAAATTGTGTTAGAAAAGCTTAGAAAGAGTCCATTTTTCCTATTTTAAGTAGGTTTGTACTGGTAATTCTATAATTTTCAAGGTTTTTTTCTGTTATTGTCGAAAAGTTGTGTTGGAAAAGCTTGCGCAGAGTCCATTTTTTGATTTTAGGTGGGTTTATGAAAGAAAATATATCATTTTCATGCTTTTTTTTCAATAAGTGTTGGAAAAAGCTCAAAAAAAGGGTTAGTTTTTTTAATTTTAGGTGAAATTATAGAAAAAAATATGTGTCATTTTTTTGAGGTTTTCTTTTGTTTTTTTGTTAGAAAAAAAGCAATGAAAAAAAGCTTCCTAAAAAGCCAGTTTAAAGAATTTAAATAGAAAAATATATCGTTTCCATGCTCTTTCTTGTGTTTTTTTGTTGAAAAAAATGTGTTGTAAAAAGGACTCAGACGGTCAATTTTTTTGATTTTTTTAGATGTATTTGAAAAAAAGAAAAATATACAATTTTCATGCTTTTTTTCTGTTTTTTTGTTGGAAAAATTGTGTTGGAAAAAGCTTAAAAAAAGTCCGTTTTTTTGAATTTTTTTGTGGATTCCTTTTTTTCGAATTTTTAAAATGAGCTTCAATACAACGATCATTGAATTTTTGTTGAATTTTAGGAAAAAAATAGCATTGAAAAAAACCTAAAAAAATTTCAATTTTAACCAATTTTTTTAGTTGATTTTGAAAAAGAAAAAAATGTGTTAAAAAAACTTTTTTTATCAAGAAAAATTATTTTTTTTAAAAAAATCAACTTTTATGATATTTTAGTGGATTTTTGAGATAATGATCCCTTTTTTTCGATAAAATTTTTACATGTTCCCAATAATTTTGTAGTTTATTCAACACTTTCTTTTTATTGTATGTTTATTCAGCTCTCCAAACTTTCTGTTGTATATTTCTGTTCCCATAACAAATGTTTTTTTCCTCGCTTTTCGATTTTTTGTCTCATTTTTGTTGTCTTTCTTTTCTCTTTCACTATTTTATCGATTAATTTTTTTCGAGATAATTAGGAAGGTTCATTAGAGTTTTGTGCTATCAATTTTGAGGTCATAATTTTTTTTCAAGTCAAAAAAATTTAAAAAAAACTTTTTTTTTTCGAATTTTGAAAGTGCCAAAAAAATGCTAAATTTCCGATTTTATGAAAATTTTCAAATTCTTTAGTCCAAAAAAATAATTTTTTTAACAGCAACATTGCTCTGAAAAAAAGGTTGAAAAATTATATTAAATAAATAATTTTTTTCCACTTGCGTCTCGAAATATTAAAATAGATTGAAAAAAATCCGATTTTGGACCTCAAATTCGTTGAAATTGGCCCCAATTTTTTTCTCAGATTTTGCTCAAATTCTGGGCGGTGTTGGAATTTTCGATTGGTTTCAAAAAAAGGATTTTTTTAGAGAAAAATTACAGTTTTTCGGGCTCCAAGATACTTTTTCAGCGTATTTTTTTAGCAGAAAAAAATGGTCGCTTTCTCGAGAAAAATCCAAAAAAATTCGAAATAAACTTTTTCTTCAGAAATACATTTTCAGACCTAAAAACTTGAACTCAACAGTATTTTATCTTATCTTTACCTTTTTATCAAACTTTAATCGAAACGCAAACACCTCAAAAACTCGAAAAAAGGAAATGAAACGAACTTTTTTTGATGTTATCAATGGCCCCGGTGACTCATTTTTTCGGGTTTTCCGTCCGTTTTTTTCCTCTTACAATTTACAACCGTTCGAGAATTGATTTATAGTGGGAAATTCGCGTTTTTCTCTTTTTTCGGTGGTTTATGTACTCCCTTCCCTTTGAAGTTGGATTATCCACCTCTTTTTGTCATTTTTTTCTCCTTTTCAACAAGTTTAGCTTTTGTTGTGTGGTTCTATATGCATTGGAAGCTTCTCTTTTCCATTTTTGTGGTCTAAATTTTCTATTTTTGTCCCTTATTTATGCAATTTGATGATTTATATCATTTTTCGGGTGAATAAACGAGATTGGATGTTATCGAAATGTTCCGTACGACAGTTCGCAAGCTGTCCTTGCTATCTGGATTTCAGAAGGTATTAATTGCAGTAATTATCAATTTTTCGCTTAAAATTGGCCGCATTTGGAATGTGTCAAAGCTTTACGGCTTGTTATAGGCTTCCGTGCGAAAGTAGTTTTGGGTCGGGTGCACCCTACAGATGCAAGAAGCCATTCTACGTGCGGCCGAAAAATTTTAGGGTTGCTTTTTGAATCGCTTCGAGCTTTAAAAAATGTGAACATTGAGTTATTTGCGGATTTTTAAGCTTCAAACTTTCATTTTGAATATTTTCCTAGAAGCTTGAAATCGATTGAATTTGATAAAAATTCTCGCAGATTAGATGATGCACCTCCAGCAAGTTTTCTGTGTGAGAACTATTCAAAAATCCTCTATTTTCAGTAGAATTTGGATTTTTCAAAGTTTTAGCTCGAATTTTCGCTTTTTTTTCAAATAATGTGTAAGCTCCCTACTCTCTTATAACTCTAAAAGATGCTTCGATTCTATCAAAATTAGAAAATTCGTCAGAAATAACGAAAAATGAAGCTTCAGCTCTCTTTTTCGCAAAAAATATGTGAAAATCTTTCGATTCAGTTAAAATTTTCGCGTTTTTCCGAGAATCGTTCCAGATTTTCATAGCCGTTTGATTTTAATAAAAGCTCTAGTTTGATAAAAATCAGAAAAATTACCATTAAACCACGGTAAAACACTGAGAATAACTGCCGAGATATAGGTCATTCTGCGCCAGCTTGTCACGATTTCCAGTTTATTTGGAGCTAGAGTAGCCTTTTCGGCGCTTCGCTTCGATGCTCTCGGTGTGCCCCCTTGCGTGCGCCTTTAATAAAACTCATTATTTCCGAACTTTGGAATTTTCTTATTTTACAAAAACAGTTGTAACATCAAATTTTATATCAAACTAACCCAAAAATTATATGCAAGAAAAGCTGAGACAGTCGGTTTCATTATTAACAATTAAAAAAGTAATAATTCAATATTTTTGATTTTCTTTTTTTTTTACAAATCCAGCACAGAATCTGAGTGTGTATAGTTAAAGCGAAAAAAATGAAATCAACTCATTCAAAAAAACCTCGTAAATTAATAAAAAGAGATAGAGGAAATTGAAGCAATATCTTAATCAGAAGTAATGTTTTATTAAAGGCGCACGCCGAGGGGAACACCGAGAGCATCGAAGCGAAGCGCCGAAATGGGTTCTCTAGCTCCGAGGAAATTTAAAATCGTGACAAGCTGGCGCGGAATGACCTATAAACGCGAGACGCTGGCGGTACATTGACGAGCTCGCAAACATCTCGCTTTTTTTCTCGCATTTTTCTGGGCGCGAGCTCGCATTTCTCTCGCATTTTGAAAGTTTCCGAAATGCAAGATAAATGCGAGCTCGCGCCGAGAAGAATGCGAGCTCGCGCCCAGGAAAATGCGAGATCGCGCCTAGAAAAATGCGACATGTTTGCGAGTTCGTCAATGTACCGCCACCGACTTCGCGTTTATCTCGTCAGTTATTCTTAGTGAAGGAGTTTCAGCCTTTTTCGGGGAAAATCTCATGTTTCAGCCAAAATTTTCAGCTTTTTGAATGATTCAAGGCGGAATTTTAATGATCAGTGATATTGATAACAACTCATTTTTTTTGTACAATTTTTCGCGTTTTACACAAGTTTTTTGTAGATTTTTAGCTTTTGAACCTCTCAAGTGGAATTTTGAGGCATTCAGTTTTTTTTTTCAAAACATACTGTGGTGTTCGATTTTGAGACATCGAAAAAAAGGAAATATCTTCAGAAATTGGGGTGATGAGGCTTCGGCAGTCTTTTTTTGAGGAAAAAAATCAATATTTTTTTAGTTCAATTTTTTTCGCATTTTCTCAGAGTTTATGCGTCTTTAAATCTTCAAAAAAAGTAATTTCGAAGAATTCATTATTAAAAAAATCACAGAAATCGTCATTAGTAACCAGATGTAAGCTTCGGCAGTCTTTTTTGCAGCAAAAATCAAAAAATCTCCAGTTTTCTCAGGGTTAGATGCTTTTTGAAGGTTAAAAGATGAAAATCAATATATATTTTGTTTAGTTTGAAGCATCGAAAACAAAAAAATCCTCAGAAATAGAAGAAAGAAGGCTTCATTAGCCTTCGAAATAACGGGAAATGAAGCGCCTTTTTCTGCAGCAAAGTATCAAAAAATACTCAATTTTGGGTCAATTTTTCGCTTTTTATCAAACTCAATGCATTTTAAAACTTTACAAGGGTATTTTGAGACCATTTAGTTTGATTTAAACACGAACTGTGGTGTCTAATTTCGAGTAATCGAGAAAAATCGTCCCAAATAACAAAAAATAAAGCTTCAGTAGCCTTTTTTGCAGCAAATTATCAAAAAATCCTTCGTTTTTTCGCGTTTTTCTTAGAGTTTTTAAGTTTAAAGAACTTTAAAAAAGAAGTTTGAGACATTTAGTTCAATTTAAAAACGAACTGTGGTGTCCAATTTCGAGTAATCGAGAAAAATCGCCCGGAATAACGAGAAATGATGCTTCAGTAGTCTTTTTTAACAGCAAAAAATCGAAAAATGTTCAGTTTCAGGTCAATTTTTCGCGTTTTCTTAAAGTTAATGCATTTTTGAACCTTTAAAAAGAATTTCGAGGCATTTAGTTTAATTTCAATGCGAACTGTGGTGTCCAATTTTGGCAACACCTCTCTTGAAGAGATAAGATCGGAAATGTCGTCCTCCTCGCCTGGGCAACCTCGAAATATGTGTTGTTTCGGGAGGAACAGAAAAGGGAAGAACGATTTGTGTTGCCTAATAGATCACCCGTCCCGCTGGGCTTGTTTTCGGACCTCACTTCGGCCCGAAATTTCCCATATTTTCTGAAAAATTGAGCTGAAATTGGAGATTTTAACTGCTGGAGCTGTATTTTTGATTTTGTTGACCATTTTTCTGTTTTATATGATATTGGAGCTGTTCCGGACAACACTGGTCGCTGAAAATCTGTGAATTTTCTGAAAAAATCGTAAAATTCGGCTCGAAACTGAACATTTTCTGGCTCGGAACTGTAATTTTGCGCCATTTTTCTGTTTTATATGGAACTGGAGCTGTTACGGACATCACTGGTCGTTGAAAATCTGTGAATTTTCTGGAAAAATCCTGAATTTCGGCATGAAACTGGAGATTTTCTGCTATTTCTGACCATTTTTCTGTTTTATATGGAACTGGAGCTGTTACGGACAACACTAGCGTTGAAAATCTGTGAATTTTGTTAAAAAATTCTAAATTTCGGCCTGAAACTGAAGATTTTCTGGCTCGGAACTGCAAATTCCCGCTATTTCTGACCATTTTTCTGTTTTATATGGAACTGGAGCTGTTACGGACATCACTGGTCGTTGAAAATCTGTGAATTTTCTGGAAAAATCCTCAATTTTGGCTTGAAACTGAACATTTTCTGGTTTGGAACTGTAATTTTCCGCAATTTCTGACCGTTTTTCAGTTTTATATGGAACTGGAACTGTTACGGACATCACTGGCCGTTGAAAATCTGTGGAATTTCTGAAAAAATCCTGAATTTCGGCCTGAAACTGAACATTTTCTGCGTTGGAACTTCAATTTTTTATTATTTCTGACCATTTTTCTGATTTTAATCAAACTGAAGCTGATCTGAACGTTGAGAATCTGTATTAACATTCAAAAAACGAAGAAAATCTACCTGAAGGTGGAAAAATTCCGAAATTTGAGACGGAACTGTCTTTTTCCACTCAATTATCTTGCTGAAAATTCATTTTCTGACTATTTTAAACGTTCAATCAACGACTAAGTTCAACTCTGATTCAAAACCCCTTTTGAAACGGGAAAGAAAGAAGAAAACGACAAAACGCGAAAAAAGAAATAAGGAGTCAAGCGCGCGCCACGGAGACTCCCCCCTATAGTGGAAACCCTGCTGAGCGATGGAGCAGATTGTCAACTATTTAAAGGAGCTTCCAACCTTGACCGAAGGGGTCGTCAGCGGCAGCAGCAGTAGTGCTCCCGAGCAAAGCCCGAGCTTTTGGCCCAAGCAGCAGGCCAATCAGCGGCCGCCCAAGCAGGTTTGCATTGAATCAAATGTGAAAAAAGACATTTTCTTGTATTTTTATTGTATTGTTTTTTTGGGTTTTTCTAGTACCTCTCCTCAGCATTTTAAGTCGGGGAGGCTGGCCCTGGGTCGGCCCGTTTGGGACTCTTTTGCGAAGAAGTTTGCTCGGGCCAGCGCAGGCTTCGAATAGAATTTCAAAGTTTTTACCAAAAAATTATTTTTTCATGGTTTTTTTTTCATGTGAAAAGAACCAAAACGTGATTTTTGCCCTGAAAAAATGTATTATATTTGTCAAAATTCTCATTTTTCGGGCCTGACCGCCCGTTTTTCGCCTTTCTAAGACTGGGCTCTAGGTCCCAAGTAGCCTGCGCAGCTCGGGACTGCCCAGGCTTCGAATTAAATTCAGAAATTTTTTTCAAAAAAATAATTTTTTTACTTCTTAAATCATGGTTTTTTTAATGATAAAAAAAAAACCAAAACGTGATTTTTGTTCTGAAAAAAAGTTTAATATTTGTCAAGATTTGCACTTTTTTTGGGCCCGACCGCCCGTTTTTTTGGCCTTCCTAAGGCTGGGCTTTAAATCCCAAGTAACCTGCGCAGCTCGGGACTGCTCAGGCTTCACGTTAAATTCTAAAATTTCTCACCAAAAAACTATTTTTAATGGTTAAATTATGATTTTTGTTGAATTTTAAGGGAAAAAATAACTAAAAACTCGATATTTGGCCAAATTGGCACTCTTCGGGCCAGGCTGCCCGTTTTTGCTTGTGTCGGGCAATTACGGGCTAGAAAATGACTGGGAACTGACGGGCCAGCCCTCGCGCAAGCTTGGGCCTCACTGAGGCCGGCCCGAAGCAGGCTTCCGGGCCAGCCTGGGACATTTTTTATAGAAAGCATAATTTTTTTCAAAATTTGGTCTGAATTTAGGTGCGCGTCGACGGGGAAATGTACGAGCAATGGCCGGTGCTCGAGTTTTCCGACCTCAACTCGAGTATTTTGGACCTTTTCACAAAGTTTGTCCATCCTTTCTCAGCTTCCCATGAATATCTATTGATTTTGAAAGGGGACCTTCGAATTTTGATCAATTTTGAGACTTTTTTAAGCGAAAATGTGAGTTTTCTGGTGTGAATTTGACACGAATGTCAATTTTGAGCATTTTTTAAGATTATTTTCAAGAAATTCCTATGAAGTTGGAGATGGAAAGTTGAAAAATTATGTTCTATCCGGATTTTTGACCACTGAGCAAAGAAACCTTTGAATTTTGATCAATTTTTAAATTTTTCCGCACCAAAATGTGAGTTTTCAATGGTTTTGAAGGGGTGAACTCGACAAAAATGTCAATTTCGAGCATTTTTTAAGATTCGTTTCAAGAAATTCCTATGAAGTTGGAGGCGGAAAGTTAAAAAATCACGTTCTATCTGGATTTTTGACCACTGAGCAAGGAAACCTTTGAATTTTGATCAATTTTGAGATTTTTTTGAGCGAAAATGTGAGTTTTCTGGTGTGAATTTGACAAAAATGTCAATTTTGAGCATTTTTTAAGATTCGTTTCAAGAAATTCCTATAAACTATAAGACAAAAAAACAACGTTTTCTTTTAGATTCTTAGCTTTTTGAATGAGAAAAAAATTAGCTCAATTTTTTTCTTGATTTCCAGCTTATTGGCATAGTTTTTCTCGATAAAATAATGGTTTTTAGGGGCTCTGAAATGTTTCTAACGTTTTTTTCCACTCAAATGTTTAGATTTAAGAATTTTTTTTCCATGAATTCTCATAAATTTTAAGGTAAAAAGGTCAAAAAGAGCGTTTTATCTGAATTTTCCCCAGTTACCAAGGAAAATCAGCTCAATGTTCTTGATTTTGAGGTTATTGGCAATATTTTCATGTTAAAATAATGGATTTTAGGGGCTCTGAAATGTTTCGAAACGATTTTTCTTTCCATGATTTGCAAAAACTTCCGTTTTATCTGGCTCTTTCGCTTCTAAATAGAGAAAAAAAGTTATTTTAGTGATAAAAATTGTGTTTTATGGGTTTTGAAATGTTTCAAGAGGTTTTTTTGATTACTGAAGGCTCATATTTGAGAATTATTTTGTTTTCAAGAGATTTCCATGAAGTTCGAGCTACATGATTTTGAAAAAAATATGTTTTATTTGAATTTTCAGCTGGTCGATAAGGAATATTAGCTCAATTTTTCTGATTTTGAGGTTTTTAGCAAGATTTTCACGCATAAATAATGGATTTAAGGTTTTTGAATGGTTTCGTTTGTGTTAAAAAGAGTAAAATCACTGAAAAACGGGTTTTTTCCTTCAGAAATCAACTAAACTCTCTCAACTAGGAAAATCAGCTAAATTTTGAGGTTTTGAGCAAGATTTTCACGCATAAATAATGGATTTTAAGGTTTTTGAATGGTTTCGTTTGTGTTGAAAAAGAGCAACATTCGTGAAAATCGGGTTTTTTTCTTCAGAGCCACCTCTCAAGGCGTCTCTTCGGCTCTTCTTTTCGAATTAACCCGGTCAGATTCCGATGAAAATGGGTCGATTCGACTGAACAATGAGGACCATCTCAAGTGGTGTATGCAGGTATTTTTTTTCAAATAATTCAAAAAAATAAGCTTTTTTTCTACAGAAACTTGTAATTTTTTTCAAGTCTTAATGATTTTTTCCTTGAGTTTTTGGAAGTGTTGGTGTTTTTCTTGTAACTTTTTTTAAAGAAACTATTTTATTTTTCGTCGAAAACTTGCTGTAAATCATGTATTTTACGAGATTTTTTTCAAGTTATTGTGACTTTTTTTCCAAAAAAATTTTTTTGAAAAATTCCTGGCTTTTTATTTATATTTTTTTCATGATTCAATAGTTCTTGGCAGCGATTCCTTCTTAAAAAAACTTGAAAAAAATCATCTTTTTCCTGTAGAATTTCGTGATTTTCCAACTTTTATTGGTTTTTTCGTTGAATTTTCGGAGGTTTTAGTGTTTTTTTCCTATCATTTTTTTGAAGAAAATATTTTTTTCGTTGAAAAAAATTGCTGTAAATCATGTATTTTACGAGATTTTTTTCGAGTTAATGTGACTTTTTTTCTTGAATTTTTTTGAAATTTTTTTGCATTTCTTATTTATTTTTTTCCATGCTTGATACATTGTTGGAACTATTTTCTTCTCGTAAAAAAAATCAAAAATTTTTTTCACTGGAAAAACTGTTGTAAAGAATGGATTTTTTTCAAGTTTGAATAGTTTTTTTCGAAAAATTTAATATTTTTTTTGGATTTTTTTCTAAGGTTTGATAGTTTTTTTGAAAGCATTTTCTTTCTATAAAAATTTGAAAAAAATCATCTTTTTTTCCTGTAGAAACTTGTTGTAAATGATAGATTTTTACGAGATTTTTTTCAAGTTCATATGAATTTTTTTGCTTGATATTTTTGAAATTTCTGAATTTTTTTAAGTATTTTTTTCATGGTTTAATTAGTTTTTAACAGTATCTCCTTCTCATAAAAACTTCAAAAAAATCATCTTTTTCCTGTAGAATTTTGTGATTTTTTTCAAGTTTTTTTCTCGAAACTTTAGTTTTTTTTCCGGGGGTTTTTACAAGTATTTTTTTGAAGCTTGATAACTATTGAAAATATTTTTCTACTATTGAAAATTCAAAAAAATCAATATTTTGAGGTGCTGAACCACGCCCTGACGTTGTCCTTCTCCACTACGAGGGAGTATGAAACGCTTAAAGGTATTTTTTTCTTGGTTTAATCCCAAAAATTAAACCTTCCAGGAGCCGTCAGGATTTATCTCCACTGGCTCAGGGCTCTCTGTGACACGCCGGACAATACGATCCCGACTCCTCTTTTGGAAACTCCCGAGAAGTATTTTAGGTACGAGGAAACGGGGAAAAAATCCTTAGGGACGCCAGAGTGGTCACTTTAGGGGCTCTTGTAGGTCTCCCTCAGGGGGTACCTTAAATCTACTCATAGGGGTACTAAATCTAGCAGAAGTGGCCATTTTGGGGGAGTAGGCTAGTGGTTATATCCATTTATAGGCCACTAAAGCTTAAAAAAGTGGCCACTCTAGGGTTTTTAGTTAGTGGCGGTATTCTAGGTACGAGAAAACGGGAGGAAAATGAGTGAAATGGCCGAAAAAGAAACAGAAGAGTTCTTAGGGAAACCAGAGTGGTCACTTTAGGGGCTCTTGTAGGTTCCCCTCAAGGGCTACCTTAAATCTACTCATAGGGGTACTAAATCCAGCAGAAGTGGCCATTTTGGGGGAGTAGGCTAGTGGTTACATCCATCTATAGGGCACTGAAGCTTACAAAAGGGACCACTCTAGGGTTTTTAGTTAGTGGCAGTATTTTAGGTACGAGAAAACGGGAGAAAAATGAGTGAAATGGCCGAAAAACAGCAACAAAAGTATTTAGGGACGCCAGAGTGGTCACTTTAGGGGCTCTCATAGGTTCCCCTCAAGGGGTACCTTAGTTATACCTAAATCTAGCAGAAGTGGCCACTTTAGGAGTGTAGGCTAGTGGTTACAGCCATCAACAGGGGCACTGAAGCTTACAGAAGTGACCACTCTAGGGTTTTAGTTAGTGGCGGTATTTTCGGTACAAGAAAACCGGGAAAAAAAAAATGAAAAATGGTCAAAAAAGCAACAAATGAGTCCTTAGGGACGCCAGAGTGGTAACTTTAGGTGTTCTTGTAGGTTCCCCTTAAGGGCTACCTTAAATCTACTCATAAGGGTACTGAATCTCGCAAAAGTGGCCACTCCAAGGGTGTAGGCTAGTGGTTATATCCATCTTTAAGGGCACTGAAGCTTATGAAAGTGGCCACTCCAGGGTTTCGGTTAGTAGCCACTTTAGGGACACATGCCAGGTTTTTTATCACACAAGTCACAGCAAAAAGTTAAGAGATCACTATAGGGACTACTTAAGATTTATGGGCTTATGGGTCAGGCTCCTAGAAGGACAATTTTTGGCTACTTTAGAGACTTTTTTCCCTAACCCTTCTAGTGGGTGCTGAGTCAAGCGAAAAAGACTTTACATAAAGGTGAATTTTTTTGGAGGGGGGCTTTGGGAATTTCAAAAAAGTTTCTTCCAGGCTACTCATCGGGAAATTCAGATAAAATATCAACTTCCAGAAACATAATCGATGCGATGAGATGGATTTTCTGCCGTCGCGACGATGATCCGGAAATTTCAGCCTTGACGTCGTCTTCGGCCACGCAGGTAGGAAATTTTCTGTCTTCCTTGTATTTTCATAGGAAATTATTATTTCGATTTTTTTCTTCGAAAAAAATTCCTTAAACTATTTCACTTTCCCCTACCTGAAAAAGTGAGCATTGTAGGAAAAAGGAAAAACATGGTTTTTTTCTCTGAAAAAGTCAGGAAAATTAGGGTTTTATCACTTTTTCCATGTTTTTCCGGATATTTTTCTAGTTTTATAATTAAAAACTAGCCTTATAAGACGCTAATAAGCTGAAATTTTTCTCTCAAAATTCCTGAAAACCTTGAAAATATCCTATTTTTAGGTTCCTCGAAGCCTCGCCGTGGAGCGACAGTCGATAGAAATTGACATCGTTTTGGATGCCCTGCGCGGCTTGACCCAGAACTCGAGTAGAAAATATCAAGATGAGGTAGAAGCTTAAAAAATGAAAACTGATCCTTAAAAAAATTATATTTTAGGTCTGGTCGAGATCCCTCAGTTTTTTTGCTCAACTCGACGGATTTATTGCTTGCCGAGCCGAATGCTACAGGTATAAATTTAAAAAAATACTTTGAAGGATTCAGGACCTACATATTTTTTTAAATAATTATGAGTTTTCGCTCCATTTTTCAACTTGAGAGCATGAAAAGTGATACTCGAAATTTTTTTCTGGAAGTTTAAATTTGGACGCTCGAAAATTGTTTTTAATCCCGATTAAATGAATGGAGAGAAAGATTAGAATTATATGGTGCACCCTCCCGACTTTTTGGCGCACCCTCCCGACTTTTTGGCGCACCCTCCCTTCTTTTTGGCGCGTCCTCCCTTCTTTTTGGCGCGTCCTCCCTTCTTTTTGGCGCGCCCTCCCGTCTTTTAAGCGCACCCTCCCGTCTTTTAGCGCACCGTCCAGACTTTTTAGCGCACCCTCCCGGATTTTAGCGCACCCTCCCGTCTTTTTGGCGCACCCTCTCATTTTTTTTTTGGCACAATCTCCCGTATTTTCGGCGCACCCTCCCTTCTTTTTGGCGCGTCCTCCCTTCTTTTTGGCGCGCCCTCCCGTCTTTTAAGCGCACCCTCCCGTCTTTTAGCGCACCGTCCAGACTTTTTAGCGCACCCTCTCGGATTTTAGCGCACCCTCCCGTCTTTTTGGCGCACCCTCTCATTTTTGGCACAATCTCCCGTATTTTCGGCGCACCCTCCCTTCTTTTTGGCGCGTCCTCCCTTCTTTTTGGCGCGCCCTCCCGTCTTTTAAGCGCACCCTCCCGTCTTTTTAGCGCACCGTCCAGACTTTTTTTAGCGCACCCTCCCGGATTTTAGCGCACCCTCCCGTCTTTTTGGCGCACCCTCTCATTTTTGGCACAATCTCCCGTATTTTCGGCGCTCCCTCCCTTCTTTTTGGCGCGTCCTCCCTTCTTTTTGGCGCACCCTCCCGTCTTTTAGCGCACCGTCCAGACTTTTTAGCGCACCCTCCCGGATTTTAGCGCACCCTCCCGGCTTTTAGCGCACCCTCCCGTCTTTTTGGCGCTCCCTCCCGTCTTTTTGGCGCACCCTCCCGTCTTTTTGGCGCGTCCTCCCTTCTTTTTGGCGCGCCCTCCCGTCTTTTAAGCGCACCCTCCCGTCTTTTAGCGCACCGTCCAGACTTTTTAGCGCACCCTCCCGGATTTTAGCGCACCCTCCCGTCTTTTTGGCGCACTCTCCCGTCTTTTTGGCGCACCCTCCCGTCTTTTTGGCGCACCCTCCTGAAAAAAATTTTAAAATTGAATTTTTCAATCTGTTTTTTTAATGGTACTATAAATTGAAAATAATTAGATTTCAGGTCTTCCAAAAGTTAAAAACTTGGGGGAGTGTTAAAAAGTGGTATCAGCCAGACTATGATAAAAAAATTTCAAGAATAATAAAAATTTTTTTAGAAGAAATGGGCATGCGGATCTGCTGTCGAGTGCTCGACACCCTGTTCGAACTGTGGCTCGAGGCCGTTCTGAACGAGCATTTGCCTTCGATGGCCTACTGGAGCACCCTGGCCGCCTTGACCAGAAGATGGAGACATAATGTTGGTTTTGGAAGAAAATAAATTATCAAAAATGAAACTATAACGGATGTAGTCCACTAGCCACGTCTAGAAACAATTCCGACCTGTCTGCGCTCTCTTTTCTCTCACCGGCAAGGTCGGAAAAACATGAGAGAGCGCAGAGAAGCCAAAAAATTTAGAAAGGCGGGATGAATTGAAAATTCGAGGCTTTATTTTTGATAATTGTTTTCCTTTTGCAAATGATGCTAAGAAAGTGAAAAAAATAAAACGAAAAATTGAAAAAAAAATAAGTAAAGAGAGGAGAACTTTTCGACAAATTTGAAGAAAAGGAGAATATTTTCAACCCCGGAAAATTCAGGTTTCCCTCATCGAATGCTGGGCTAAAAAAATCCTATCCTTCACGGTTTTAGTGTGCAAACGGATGTACGGCGACGACTACTTGAGGATTTCCATAAGTTGGTTTTTTTTTTTGTCTTTACGAGATTTTTTTCGTCAAGATCCTAGGATTTTTTTCGTTGAGATTTTGTAAAAAAATTTCATAAGTTGTTTTTTTCCGACAGTTTTTTTGAATTGGAATGAACTTTTTTTCACTCTGAAAAAGAAATGAAAGTTGAAAAAAACGGGTTTTTCAGTTTTTGAGGTTTTTTTCGTAAAGATTTTGTCAAGATCTCAAAAAGTTTTTTTGTAAGTTTCAAGGTTTAATAATTTTTTCTCTATTTTTTTGGATTCTGGGATTCTACGTCGAAATGTTACACTTTTACAGCAATTTCCCTTATATTTAAATTGAAAAAAACATTTTTTTAGTTCGAAAAAAACAGTTTTTTTCAATTTACAGCCATTTTTTCTAATCTTTGAATTGAACAGAACGTTTTTTTAATTGAAAAAAAGAGTTGAAAGTTGAAAAATTCTTTTTTTAAGACTTCGAGGTTGTTCTTCAAAAAAATTAAAAGTTATGTGTTTACAACTTTTTTTCAATTATTCATTTGAAAAAGAACATTTTAAGTTTGAAAAATTTTAAATTAGAAAAAAATTGTAGCCGACGAATCGGTTGTCCCTGTTTGGCAACGTTCCAACTCTGGACGACGAGGACGAAAATGAAGTTCATCTTTTGTACAGAACTTGGTGAGTTTTAATCGGATTGCTCAAGTTTTAATGAAGGAAATTGTTAAAAAAATTTTTTTTTGTTTATTTTCGGGTAAAATCCTTCATATCATAATTTCAGGTACAATTTATTGTGTCTTTTGGATTCACCGTCTCGAATTTTGTCCCACGACGCTACCAGGAACAACAGGCTGAGTAAGCTTTTATTCATGAAGAAAAAGTTATATACAGTACCGCTCAAAAGTCTATTAACTTTTGGTTTTTTTGGGGATATCTCAGCGAGTACTTATCCGATTTATATATAACTTTCAGGGATAATGTAAAATATACTTTGAAACATATACGGTATAAAAAGACATGTCCGCAATGACTGTGACGCGTTTTTAGGCATTTTTTTATTGAATTCCATTTTTTTGTTTTTTTATACTTTTTATTTTTATTTATTTTTTTATTAAATTTTTTTAAAAATTAATAATGTTGCCATATGATTTTTTTCATGTTTTCAGACATGGGAAGAATCTCTGGAAAAAGGATTTGACTGATAACGACAAAAGAGCCATCGTTGTGGTCGTCAAAATGGACTGACCATGATGACGTTGGCAGGAATGTTCGGCGTGACAGAGGCGGTCATTTCTCAGTTCCTAAAGCGTCAGAAAGCTCAAGATGGCTCTACTAACAGCCAACGCACTGGAAGACCACGTGTCACTGATCGTAATGACGATAGGAACATTTTGAAGACGTCTAGAACCAATCCAAGACTCACCGCCCCTGCGATCAGACGGGAAGTTTTCTTGAATTCGCCATCTCCGCCATCCGTCTCGACCGTGAAACGACGTCTGAATGCTGCTGGAATCATGGGAAGACGTCCAGTGAAGAAACCGCTGATTTCTGAAAAGAATCGAGTCGCCAGGGTGAAGTGGGCGAAGGAGCATCTCAACTGGACCCGTCAAGACTGGAACAAGATTCTGTCGTCCGACGAAACGGTCCTCCACCATGTTTCACAAAGGGTAATTGGTATTTCGGATGATATCTGGACCCAATTGGTCTACGAACTCATTGAATTCCGTCACTTCCGAAGAGGAGGAACTTGATTTCGTCGGACGACAGAATCTTGTTCCAGTCTTGACGGGTCCAGTTGAGATGCTCCTTCGCCCACTTCACCCTGGCGACTCGATTCTTTTCAGAAATCAGCGGTTTCTTCACTGGACGTCTTCCCATGATTCCAGCAGCATTCAGACGTCGTTTCACGGTCGAGACGGATGGCGGAGATGGCGAATTCAAGAAAACTTCCCGTCTGATCGCAGGGGCGGTGAGTCTTGGATTGGTTCTAGACGTCTTCAAAATGTTCCTATCGTCATTACGATCAGTGACACGTGGTCTTCCAGTGCGTTGGCTGTTAGTAGAGCCATCTTGAGCTTTCTGACGCTTTAGGAACTGAGAAATGCCCGCCTCTGTCACGCCGAACATTCCTGCCAACGTCATCATGGTCAGTCCATTTTGACGACCCACAACGATGGCTCTTTTGTCGTTATCAGTCAAATTCTTATTTCCAAAGGTTCTTCCCATGTCTGAAAAACATGAAAAAAATCATATGGCAACATTATTAATTTTAAAAAAATTTAATAAAAAAATAAATAAAAAAATAAAAAGCATAAAAAAACAAAAAAATGGAATTCAATAAAAAAATGCCTAAAACGCGTCACAGTCATTGCGGACATGTCTTTGTATACCGTATATGTTTCAAAGTATATTTTACATTATCCCTGAAAGTTATATATAAATCGGATGAGTACTCGCTGAGATATCCTCAAAAAAACCAAAAAGTTAATAGACTTTTTGAGCGGTACTGTAACAGTTTTCGAGGTTTTCCGAAGAAGTAGCTGCATTGAAATTCTGAATTTTACTAAATAAGATTTTGTTGTGATTAGCCATGGAGCGCAAACGTGTTGAATTAAAGACCCCTTTAGATTTTTTTCATCTTTTTGAACAAAAACATTTCTCTGTAAAGTGGATATTTCATTATTTAGGAGGTTTTCGTTGAGTTTCCAACAACAAAAAAATAAAAATAAGTTCAGCATATTTTCGAAAAAAATAGAAAAATTTTTCATAATTTTCCAGATGGAAACGCCCCATCGAGAACAGTTTCTTCCCTGTCCCACGCTTCAGAATCTTCGACGGCTTCTAGAAACGTCGCCTTTTTCTTGGCCGCAACGACTCTTCAACGTCTCGTCGATATTTTTTATGGTTTTGATTTTTTTTTAATCTAGAAATGGTTTATTTTTTTTTGGAAAAGAACAAGCAAAATAAGTGGGTTTGAACAAAATTTTCATGAGTGGAAGTGATGAATTTAGGATTTTTGGTTAGTTTTTTACAGGGGTCTCAGCACGATCAGAGAAGTAGTGTGTGAAATGTAAAGGTTTAGACGTAATTTATTGAGATTTTACGGTTCCTAGTTGTGAAATAAGGCAAAAAATTGATGAAAAAAACAAGAAAAATCATGATTTTTTTCATGAGCTTACGCCTTAACTTTTCAATCTTTTTGAGTTTTTTTGTGGCATCTTAATTGTCCAAAAATTTGATAGTTTTTTTAGTTTTTCGAACTATTTCAAAAGAAAAAAAATGATGTTTTCAAGGATAGAATCAAAGGATTTGAGTCGACAAAATACAAAAAAATTGAAAAAAATGTGCTTTTTTTATCAATTTGAGCCCAATTTTCAAAGAAAAAAACATTATTTTTAGGCCGAATTTTACGTTTAAAAATCGAAAAAGAATGAGTTCCAAACAAGTTTTTGGCAGGTGACAGTCGAGTTTCGGCGGATTTACTGTCATCGGAAGTTCCTTCAAGGAGAGTTTCTACACACGCCAATCTGCAAGATCAACAGAATCAGAGTGCTTCGGTTGGTAACAAAAAAAAAATGAGATTCTTTTCTGGTAATGCAAAAAGAGATTCTTTTCTGGTAATGCAAATCAATCGGTCGTGGGAGGCATGATTTTCAGAAAAAAAGATTATATTTTTACGGTTAAAAAAAGTATAACAGCGATTTTGATCATCAGAAGTTTCGAAAAAAAGTTCTGAAATTTTGAAAAATCTATTAAAAAAATAAAAATATTTAGAACCGCCTTCTGAGGGGCTTAATGAACTTTTATATTGACTTTAATTTGGTTAAAAATTGGGGATACCTATAAATTCGGAAAATAATTGGTAAGTGGAAAATCTTATCTGGTAATGCAAAGTTATCGATCGTTGTAGCTGCTTTTTTCCAAGAAAATAATGGATTTTTCACCTTTGAAAAAAAAAGGTATTTGAGAATGAAAACTGATCAAAAAGAAGTAATAAACGTGAACTTTTTGTTCATTTTTCGAAATTGCCTTTATTTCTGGAAAAAAGAACAGTTTTTTTTATTATTTGAGGATCTTTAAGGACGATTTTCATTCGGTTAAAAGAGGATATTCTTCTCGATAATATAGAAAGTTATATATGAGACAAAGAAAGAAAATGAGCTCATTAATCCAAATTTTCATTGTGATACGTGATAAATGTCCACAGAACTGCGCATTTTTTTATTTTATAATGATCATTTAATCATTTTAATCAAACAATCACCAGTTTTATTGGTTTTGCTACGAAAAAAGATGATGATTTTCGAAAAAGGAACCAAAAATAGTTGTAAAAAAGTTCTCGAAAAACTAGTTCTAAAAAAATTTAATGAATTAAGCAACATTTTTTTGGTTTTCCATTAGTCATTTTACATATTTTTTTCAATTTTATTCTGTTTCCTTTTTTTCTATTATTTCAATAATAAAGCACGATTTTAAATAAAAATCTTGGTTTTCGATAAAAATTCAATAATTTTAGCGCTCCTACTCGTCAACCCTGACCCAAGAAGACTACAATGCTAGTGTTGATGGAAGGAGTTCCGTTGGTTCGGCTGGGAAGACTTTGGAACCGAGAAGAGATCAAAAAGCGAGAGTTTCTGGTTGGAAATGGCTGAATAGAGTTTGAAAATTGGATGATTTTAGAAAGAAGCAACGGAAAAGACGGATCACACGCTTCAAGGTCGTATACGGAAACGGGACAGGTTGGAAATTATCAGAAAAATGAAAATTCTGCTGTTGAATGAGAAATAATTAACCAGGGAATGGTCTCAGCTCACAGTGGGACTTCTGAAGGAGGCGATATTTTCTAGATGTAGTTTTTATGCTGATTCCACATCCGGTCTCAAAAGCTGCCCAATACGTCTGTGAAAAAAGTTAGGGGCTCTCAACGTCGAAAAATTCGATGTCTCCGATGGAGCTCATTTTAAGAGGGTATATAGTCCTTGGTCCCCCAGTCACGAAAAACCATTTGATTTTTTTCGAAAAGGTTCTGGAGCCCAGATATGATTTTTAAAAGCTCGGCGCGATGTAAAAGCATGCGATCGCGGTGTCCTATGGCGATCCGGCTATCAACGCAACGGCAGCGAAGAGCAGTGGTAAGGGGGCGGACTGCGGATCACGAGGTCATAGGTTTGGTGCCCACGCTGTGCAAACTTTTTTTTGCAGTTTTTTCTTTTTTGGATACTTTCGTGTAAGGGCTCCTTTTTCGAGTTTTGTGAATCCACAACTTTTTTCACAGACGTATTGGGTAGCTTTTGAGGTCGGATTTGGAATCAGCATAAAAACTACACCTAGAAAACATGGTCTCATTCAGAAGTCCCACTCTGAGCTGAGACCATTCCCTGCTAAGGTTAAGGTAGAAGAACAGTTTGAAAAGCCCGTTTCCAGAGCCGCAACACCTCGGAAGTGAGCAATTCCACGATCAAGTCGGCTGCAACCACGATCGGGATCCCGAACGCCGGAGAAAGCGTCAGCACGACCCACGGCATCGGATCAACGGCCAGCGCCCCGGTCGTCACCGTCGGAACCCCTGGAGGGACCACTAGCGCCGCCAGCGAGACCAAGTCCCCCATGAGCTCCGCTTTCGGCGACCAAGGCGCCGCCTGGGTCTCCAGCCAGAGCTCCGCCAACAAATTCGTCGCCAATTTCCTTTCTTGTGGGTTTTTGATGAAGAAAAAAGGGGCGGTTTAGTTGGTTTTAGTACAGTTTTCTTGGTATTTATCAAGAAGAAATGGAAGAAATTATGTTCAATAAAAGAAAAAAAGGCCGATAAGTATCGATTTTCTTAAAAAGTGTGAAAAAAAGAGCTTAAACGGATTAGAAGTACCTTCTCTAATAGTGTCTAATAATTTGTTAAAAGTGCCTCCTTCAATATTCTCTAATATGAGCAATAATCAGAAAGTATGAGGTGTTAGGTTTTTAAAATTATTTTGCACCTTGTGACAAACTTTGATCGAGATTCGTTGATTTTCTGCCGAGATATAGACTTTTGAAGATTTTAACCGTAATCCTTTCAGCTACCGTATCTCGAAAACCACTCGAATGATGCTGTTTTTCAAAAAATCCTAAAATTTGTGTTTTACAACAAGTTTTATTCAGAGAAAAAGTTATCATAACGCCCTTTTCTTCTTCCAACTCAGCCAAAACCCACACCCGTAAATATTTTTCCCTTTTCTGGGGTTTTCAAAAAAGACCTGAAAAATATTTTTTCGATTTTTCCCTATGTAGGAGTTCGAAAAAGCCTAGGCAAAGGTGTCATTCCCAAAAAAACGTTTGCGGATTTTTTTCAGAAAAATGGTATAAAAAAATAGTTAATGATACATTTTTTTAAAAAAATTTTTTTAAAGGACTGTTTGAAGGCTTTGCCAGGGAAAAAAATGATGAATAAAAGAAAACTTGGCTATTACAGCCAATCCCATCGTTCCTCCATACGTTGGAGCCTCACGCAGCCGACCCAAAAGCGAACGAATGTTGGCTCTTTTGGGCGATTGGCTTTTTGAAATCGTCATGACGGTTCCGAGGAATGATCAAAGCAAGAGGAATGGAGACGTCGCTGACGGTTAGTTTTTGGAAGGTTTTTCAGATGGAGTTTTGAAAAAATGAGGAAAAGGGTAGATTATTGGGGGAACCACTAGAGTTTTTTCGAGTATTTTGCTTTTTTTTGAACCGAAGTATTTTCAGAGCTTATCAACTCTACTTGGTCAATATTTTCTTGTAAATATGAAGTTTTTCAGTTTGGGTTTTGCTAAAAGTGAATAGAAAACGATTTAAATTGAATCGAAATGAATTGAAATTCCAAGGGCTAAGCGTTCCTCAAATGGACTTTTTCTCATTAATCGAAAAAAAAACCGGTTCGGTAGGCCTGTTTTCTTTGCATTTTCCCTGCCTTTTGCCGCCTAATTTGCCCTCTTTCCCGCTGGATATGCATTATTTTCTTGATTTGTTTCCGTTTATTTCATGTTTTTAATTTTTTGCAATGGTATTTGACTAGAAATTTGGGATTTCGGAAAGATTTTTCGATTTTTTTGACTTGGATTTGACGGTTTCGAGTCTCATTATAGATTTTTCGAATTGGTTTTCTTGATTTTTTGAAGTTTTTCATTTTTTTTTTTGGTCACCTTAGAATCAAATTTAGAGTTTTTTTCTTGGTTTTTCGAGTTTTAGAAAAGGTTAAAATTAGAAGAGGGGTAGAATTTAATGCGAATATTCTTGACAATCTTAACTTTTTGTATGGAAATTAAGCGAAAAAAATTGAGATTTTTTTCTGATTTTTTTAAAGGCTTTGCCTTGGATCAGGCAGTTTAGAAACTCATATTCTGATTTTTCCTGAATTTTTTTCACAATCTTATTCTAAAAAAATCGGAATCTTCCATTTTTTTCTCGATTTTTTTAGGGCTTTGGCTTGGATCTGACGGTTAAGACTATCTTTGAAAAAAACTTATCGATTTCTCAAGAAATTCTTTAAAAAAATTTAGTAGCACAATTTTTCACCTTGGAACTTGATTTTTATGTATATCTTTTTGAATAACCGACTTTTTCTCGATTTTAAACATTTCAAAAACATGATTCCGAGTGGAAATTCAAACAGAAAGGGATCGAAATGGCGTGAATATGTATGGAAATCGGAAGTATTGGCAAAAAGAGTGGAGGAGGGACAACTGGTTTGGTTTTGGTCGATTTTTCCGTCAGCCGTCCACAACTTCTATATTTTTTTTCGGTCACTGTTGTTTCCTTTTTTGGAAAGTTATGGATTCTCTCATCGGCTGATAATGTTTTGGTGGGTTTTTTGGAGTTTTGACCTGAATTTTTGAGATCTGGAGTTTTTTCTTTGGGTTTGGAGCTTTTTATGAGAAATTGGAAGGTTTGGACTGGATAAATAAGAAATTTATGTTTGGATAGGGGGTTTTTTCAGCTTCTTTACCACTTCGATCTGCTTCTTGGCTCAAAAAAGTGTTCCGATTTTATTTTTAAAGCCTGGAAATTGAACAAATTTTGAAGTAGAAGCTGATTTTTTGAGTTTTTTCTTTGGGTTTGGAGTTTTTAATGAGACATTGAAAGGTTAGGACTGGATAAATAATGGATTTATGTTTGGATAGGGTGTTTTTTTGGCTCCTTTACCATTCCGATTTTCTTCTTGACTCAAAAAAGTGTTCGATTTTGTTTTTAAAGCCTGGAAATTGAACAAATTTTGAAGTAGAAGCTGATTTTTTTGGCTTCTGATGATAGGAAATATATTTTTTTCGACTTTTTGAAGGTTCTTTTTAGGGTTCATGCTGATCTGTAAATAAATAATTATTATTATTAAAAATTGATTTTATGATTTTTTTCAAGTCTTATTAAGGCTCTAGGGAACTTTTTGACGTGAAACGTATGTATATGGAAAAATAAAAAAATTGGATTTTTTTTTATTACAATTTACGCTCAAAAATCGGATTTGAGCTTGGGATTTGAAAGCTTTGGACAAAATTCCGAGTTTATTTTTTTTAGAAGTCTCAATAGACTATTGTAATGAAGAATGTTGTAACTAAATTTTTTTATTAATAAAAAAACTTTTTTTCCTCAATTTTTACAGAGTAGAATGAGATCTTGAAGAAAAGGTTTTCAAGCCCGATTTCCTCCTCCCCCTCAGGAATGCCATCCCAAAAGCCACCTCCATAATTAAGCGTCCGAATCCTCAGAAAAGCGCATTAAAGAAACAGTTCCTCGCAAATCGTACACGTTAGCGACGTCGGAAAATGAACAAACGCGACGGTTCCGAACCGAGTTTTTTTCCCCCCTTCCATCTTTTCCGTCCGCTTCGTCGGCCCTTTGTAGTGGAGATTTTGCCTCACTGGCCACGCCCAATTTTTTTCACGCCAGTCTGTCTCTGTGGGTCAACAGACGCACGGGGATCGAGGAAAGACACACTTTTGGGCCGTTTTTCGCGACAAACACGGAGCGGAGGGAAGACCCAAGGTTATTGACAGCTCTTTCTCTGGAAAGGAGTCCGACTCGAGGCGTCCCGGGAAAGCTGGACTCCACTCTTTTCTGAGGATCGAAGGGAGTCGGGAAGTCGTGGATACTGCCGGTTTTATTCTTGTTCTGAATATTGGAGTCGAGTCGACCTACTTCGACTTGAGGCGACTCCAAAGCTCAGTTCTTTGGATTGGAGGCGAGCTCATTCTGGAGGAAAAATTGTAAAGCCTTGGTCCTTCAGAAGCTCGAACCGTTCTAATTATATTCTCGTTCTGAATATTGGCGTCGTCCTACTCTGGAAGCGACTGATAAGCTCAGTTCTGCGGATCGGAGTCAGGCTTGTTCCTGATTCCTTCAGAAGCTCTAACCGCCCTAATTTATTCTTGTTCTGAATATTAGAGTCGTCCTACTTCGAAAGTTCGACTTGAGCCGGCTGCAAAGCTCCGTCCTGCCGATTATTCTTGAGGAAAAATCGGAAAGCCGTGTTCCTTCAGAAGCTCGAGCCGTCGTTATTTGGTCTTCTTCTGAATCGTCTTACTTCCGAAGTTCGACTCGTGGCGTCACGGAAACCTGAGTTCCAATCTGTTCTAAGGAGTGACTCGAGGAGCCGTGGTCCTTAAGAAATCCTGATCTCTACCTTTGCTGCTCTGACTTTTCCGATCTGTAGCCCTTTTTAAAAGTCTGATCTGGATGCTGGAGTGACGCTTCTTCAGTTTCCTGCGCTCAAAAATTTTCGTAAGCTGGAAATTTTCGAGACCAGAGCCAAGCCTCTTATTGAGTGAAGATCGACACCTACAGCTGCTCTGAAAATTCTGATTCTTTGAGATGCCTTTTATTCTGACAGAAGCACGACCCCAAAGATAAGACTCAACCGTCCATCTGCTGATTTCTTGGCCATTTGAAGACGAACTTATATCTGGATCGACTGTGTCGGTCTATGAATGGAGTAGCGCTCCACGAGTGGTTCACTTTTTACGGATTCGAAGCGTTGACGACGTTTCCACTTCAAAAGTCACGTCTTCCGACGAGCTTGAGAACGATTCCAAAAAACGAACTTACTCGGAGATCTTGATCAAAATCAAGCAGAACTAGACAATTCAACTGATTTACCTGCCTTTTATTCCCCGCTGCTGACAATCCAATTAATTAATTTCTATCGGTTCTTCTCACCAATAATTCACAACTCGAAATGAGCACGGCCCAGCTGGCGACGCAACTTAACGACGTTATGACGCGGCTGGCCACGAAGTTTTTCTTCGTCAAGGAGGATTCCAATCAGAGTTGGTCTTTTTTTGTATTTTCCTCGTCTTATTTCAGAACTTTTTTTGTTTTTTAACGGCGGATGGACTATGAACCTTTTTTTTGAAGCTTCAAGGGAAGGGAGGAATTTCGAGGCGAGTCAGAAAAAATGATGGTTCTTGTCCAATGACTTCCTAATAGCCGATTCACGGCTAGCTTGATAAGCTGAGGGGCGTGGCTTGTCTCCAGCAATCAGGCACTATCTCTTTTTTTTCGTGTCAGGACCTTTTTTCGATGGCTCAAGTCAGCTTTGAATCGACTATCGAGTTCTTTTTTCTATTTCAGAAATTTTCCCAGGTTTTCATGTTTACAACGATTTTTGTACAATACAAGCAGAATCAGAATAAGTTAAAATTTTGAAAAATGATGAATTTTTTGGGCAAAAATTTATCGATTATATTGATTTATTAAACAGTTTTCGAAACACTTTATTTAAAAAAATGACAAGTTAAAAAATGACCACTAGGAAAGCCACTTCAGTCAATTTTCGCTACTTTTTCACCCCCTTCTTGCGGAGCTCTTGAAAACTGTTCTTTTTCTGTTTATTTACTGCGGAAACGGGCTTTGAAGAAAGGTGTAGGTTGAGGGAAATGGGCTTCCTGTTGAATTTTGATGGATTTGGGAGGATTTTGAAGTTGGAAGGGGGTGATTTTTTGATGTTTAAAGTGAAGGTATTACTTTGAATTAGATTGATAATTGATTTGTGGATTTTTAAGGACTTTAGGATTCCATTTGTGGAAGATTGTGATAGTTAAGATTCATAGGATTTATTGTTCGATTAAAAAGAGATTCAATAAACTTTAAGAGGCCCAAGTAAGATCCTTATTTGAACCCCCCACCTTAATTGTCGTAATTTTATGACGCCCCCCAAGGTCGACTTGCCCAACTCACTATGGAAATTGCCTATAAACCGTCGCTCGAGAATCGTAGGAAAAAGGTGATTATTGTACATTATTTGAATGGTTTTTTGAAAAAATCCCCCCTGATTGAACTTCTTGATGAAACTTTGCTTAAGTGTACTCTAGGACCTCTTGATTCTAAAAAAAAAGAAAATTTCTTGAACAGATCTTTTTTTCGAGTTGAGCAGCTTTAGAAGCTGGAATAAGCGCTTTTTGAAATTAGTGGCGAATTTTGCAACCTTTGAAGCTTCATAAATCGAAAAAAAGACATATCATGAGAAATTTGTGTCTTTTTCTGGAATCAGGAGGTCCTAGAGTTTAGTATAGCCAAGATTAAGGGGGCTGAATCCCAACGATGGGGGGCTAAATCTCAGCATTTTTTTGTCGTGAATTGCGTTTTTCTGCATACTTTGAAGCTAATAAATTGAGAAATAAGACCTAGTTTAGAGAAATTTTTTTGGCCTTGTTCTGAAATCAGGAGATCCTAAAGTTTACTTCAGCCAAGGTAAGGGGGGGGCAAATCCCGAGGAACATTTTATATCTGTTTCAAAATTGAGCTCAAAATGATGGTTTTGAACAGTTTTTCCGATCCGAAACGGCTTTTTGAAACAATTTCCCAACGCTTCATTGTCCACACGACCTTCAACTCGAGTATTTTTGTCCCCGGGGCAGTAATTCGAGAACTCATTTTATTTCGGGGCCCTTTGTGTGCGTCGAACCTCGCGAAATCCTCTCTATTATTCATCCGCTTTGGTCATGGTGTGGATTATTGGTATTCGATTGGATTGAACGGGGTTTTGAACCGCGGTTTTATGGAAAAAATCAGAAATAGTCCGTTTTTGACGGCTTCAAACCGTTCTTTTTTTATCTGCGCCCTCCTTGTCTCTCAGCTGCCATCCCACTTTGACATGCTATTTCCATTTTTCTCTGACCTCGTCAGTGAGGGAAAAGAGACGCAGACACTCAAAAATTGTCAAGTCACGGTGAAATGACTATAGATTAGATACTTCTGAAAAAGGACATTTTTCGACATTTTTGGGGATACTATTTTATTTTTTTTTTAACTGGTGGATGGGCTCAAACTTTTTTTTCATCCCAGAAAAAAACTTGTTTGTCGCCAAATAATTGTGAAATATTGGATGTTGCACAGCTGTTCGGAGAGAAAACCTCTTTTTCTTTTCCTCGCCTCCCGGTTTAATTTCTTTTTTTTCCCCTTTCTTTTCTCTGGACTTCAAGGTCGATTTCACGCTGAATTTTCTGGGTGAATCCAGAAAAAAATCGCTTTTGTTGGTGAAAAAAACGTGGTTTCTAGTGGAAAAAAATACGATTTTCAAAAGGGGAAAATCGCAGATAAAAAGGATTTTTCAATCTGAAAAAAATCTAACAAGATCTCAAATTTCCCCATAGAATTATTTCTTAATTAAGAAAAATCGAAAAAAATTTATCTCGAAACAAAAAATCGAAAAAATTTATAAACTGGATTAAATTCAAGATATTTATCAATTAAAAATGACAAGAATTCTGAAATTTGTGATGAAAGAATCAATTTTAATAAAAAGCTCCATAGTTGTTTTACTAATTTCTTATGAAGGTTTCTGATTGGCTGGCCACGCCCATTTATTGATTTTTTTGCTGTAATTTTTTTGATTTTTTTCGAGAAATTTTTTTCATCAAGTTATACACGGAAAAATAAAGGAATGTTGGCTCTCTGTATATAAAAAGTTTCAAAAAAATTCAAATTTTTCCGCCCTTTTTTTTCGTCGCGATGCGATTGATTTGCATAAAACGTGTCGTTTGCATAATTTTTTGCCCGATTTTGGTAGTTTTTTGCGCATTTTTCAACTTATTTTCCGCTCGGAACTGGAAAATTTGCCATTTTTTGGATTGGTGAGCTTTTTTTTTTGATTTTCGAAAAAAAAAATCTTTATTGTTGGAGGACGGCAATATTTGTACAGACGGGAGAGTTTATGGCCAATTTTTTTCTTTTTTTCAGGGTCTGAAAAATTTTTTTGGCTAATTTTTTTGCTTCGTTCTGCTCCTTTCTTTGGGGGGAAGGGGGGTGATTTTGAAAAAAATATTAAATTTTTTTATGGTGAAAAACTTCATCCAAGGCTCATTAAAGTTCACAAAAAAATGGAAAAAAATACATTTTTAAGTCGAATTTTGAACTAGATTAACATTAAAAAAATCCAAAAAAAGAGGGAAATAATTTTTTTAAGAAAAATGTTTAAAAATCATTATCAGAGTGAAAAATCCGGAAAAAAAGAGCAGAAAAAAATGCTCACAAAAAAATTTTTCCCAAAAAAATATTCAAAAAAAGTGGGCGTGGCTTCGGCTCGAGTCCTCTGTACACTTAAGTGATATCTTCCGGGGCGCTAATGCGATTATTATGACATGAGCTTTTCTCCTTTTTGTTTGTCGCGTTGTCAAGCTGGCCCTGTCTTTTGTGCTCTATCCCTGGAAGGGACCATTTAAGGGATCCAACGCGGCGGTTTTTATTTGCGCCGTCACCACGTCGTCCCCAGTTCAAATACACTCACCTGGGACACACGTGTCAAGCTCTTCTATTCATATTATATTCTCTTCAACATATTTTATTGGTCTCGAGAGGTTTCTGGAATCGTTTTTGAAGTTTTAGAATGGTTGGTTTTTTTTAAAAGTAAATTTTGAGATTAGAAAGGTCCAATTGATTAAATCAGAAGTTGGGTTTTTAATATTAACAGCTTGAAATATTGAAAATTGACTGGAAAAGAAATTTTCGAGAAAAAAAGTCTACCTACCCCTCAACCCCCCACCCCCAAAAAAATTAATGTCAAGCACTTTTTAGGTTATTTTGAGCTTCAAATGGACTCTGTTTACAAAGAAAGTTGAGCGTGTTAGATTTTTATCTTTCATTCATTTTAAATCATTGATAAGAAGTCTTGGAACCCCCCTCCGCAAAAAGAGGTTTTGAGGACTTCATGATGTCATTTCAAGCTTCAAATTTACTTTTTATAAAAATGAAGCTTGGAAGAAAAACTTTAGCTAGAATGTTTTCGACTTTTGCAATCTTGGAAATCATAAATTTATAAACGCTCCAATCAAAAATATATATATAAATCGTTTTTTTACTAATTTTAAACCTTCTTTTTCATCATTGATAAGTCTCGAAAGCCCCCCTCAAAAAGAGATTTTAAGGGACTTTTTAATGGTATTTCGAGCTTCAAGGGTACTGTTTTTAAGAAGAAAATAAGCTTGAAAAACATTTTTAGAAACTGCATTTTTTTGGATTATTCCAGAGAGCAAGGTATAAATTTATAAGCGTTCCAATCAAAAAATGTATCATTTTTCGCTCATTTTCAACCCTCTTTCCATCATTGATAAGACATTTTTGCCCTGGTAAACACGGCTCTTTTTTTGTTTGTTTTTAGCGGCTCCCTTCATTTTTCGCCGTTTTTTGCCGCTTCATTTACCGATTTTCTTAATTCTGCGACTGTTTTTTGAGAGTTTTGAACTTTGAAATGGTTGACGAGCGAGTTTTTGGGACATTTTTGAGTTTAAATTGAATTTTGAACGTAAAATTTTTATAATAAGGTATTTTTAGTGTTATCTTCTGGATTATCGACTTCATTTTCCAAAAATTGCCATATTCGTGCTTATTTTGAGCTTTTTTGGGGTTAAAATTGTATTTTTCAGGGTTTTTTTTTTCTTTTTCGATGAGTATGAAGCTTGATTTGAGCTTTTTTGAACTCCAAAAAAATTTTCTAGTCAGTTTTTTCTACTTTTTTCGAATTATTGAGCTCATTATGAGCTTTTTTCAAACTTCAAAATTTTTTTCCTTTTATTTTTCCCACTTTTTGATGAGTATTGAGCTTAATTTGAGCTTTTTTTGAACCTAAAATCATATTTTTCGGTTTTTTTCGGCCTTTTCCTACTTTTTGAAGTGTATTTTGCTCATTTTGAGCTTTTCTCGAGCCTAAAAACACATTTTTATAGCGATTTTTTCCACTTTTTGATGAAATTTGTGCTCATTTTGAGGCTTCAATAATTTTTTTCAAGAGTTTTTCTACCTTTTGGATGATAAATTTCAGGTTTCCTAACCTTTTTATTGATTCTCAGCTTGTAAAAGATCTTTCAAAGAACCTTGTCGAACTTTCTCCGCTGTATATTTGCCTTGTTACTAATCGTTTATTTCGGCTGATATTTGCTTGATTTTTCTGGGTATTCTTCAAGTTTCTTAACTCGAGATGGTGGCAACGAGGAGAAATATGGACTTTTTGGTGGGTTTTGGGAAAAAAAAACAGGATCTTTCTATTTTTTTTTGGACTTTTACTGGAGTTTTTGAGTTTTTTGGACTTTCTGAAGTAAAATTCGAATATCTAGAGTGAAAATTGAGCTTGTTCTGCACTATTTTCGTGGAGATTTTGTAGATTTTGTGAATTTCAAGATTTCAAATATTGGTCTGAAGGTGGATTTCTAGGACGGCTTCAGTGTAATTTCACTAATTTTAGAATTTTCAGTGAGTTTTGGGACATTTTTTAACTTCTATATTTCCAATAATTTTTTTCTCTGGACTTTTAAGGGCCTATGAATCATGGTTACAGTAGTTCTGAATAGAAATTTTCCATTTATTGTTGGTTCAACTGTCGTTTTTTTGTTCAAATGGAAACGATTTCAATATTTTTCATTTTTCTGTCGGAAAGAGCAGAGTTGGGATTGAAAATATTTGCTTTCTGGAAGCTGGAAAAATCCGGAATTGATCAGGTAGAAATTGATTTTTCTGGAACTTCTTGATTTTCTTGTCACTTTCTTCGAATTGGGAATGGCTGAAAGCGTCGCGGTCGCGTTGCGGCTCGAAGCAAGTAATCAGCAGCCAGTTTGGGTGTATTCCTATGCAATTGAGCGCAACTCGTTTCGGGTCGGCCGCAACTTCATATTCCTTTTAAATTAGGGCTATCGATTTTTTTATTGATTTTAACAGAGCATCTACTACTAAATTCGACATAAAACTTCAATTTTTCCTCATCAAAGCTTTTTTTAAAGATAAAATGAACAGTCTACGAAAATATGAATTTTCAGTAGTTTTTTGAACATTTTTTCCAATTTTTTCATTTTCCCTACTTTTATTCCGTCAATTTAGTACTTTTATGTGAGAAATAACACTCCAAAAAAATTTGAATTTCCTATATTTTCAAAAATATGAAGATTTTGATCAAAAATCAAGTATTCGATACAGCTATATCCGTCAAATCCAAGCCAAAAAAGGTCAATTTTTTCACTTTTTGGTCTAATTTCCTTGTTATTTCCTGTCCTCAGAAGGTTCCAGCAAACTTTTTCAAACGGAAGAACCGTCTCTTTTTCTCTCACCTTTCTTCGCCACTTTTTTGCGTCCCTTTTGTTGTTTTTTGCGCCGTGTTGGCGCGCGTGGCTTGTCATTCTCCGTCTTTCTTGTCCGATTTTGTTGGTTCTATTTGAATTTTTGTTGATTCTCCTATTGATTTTTTGTAGTTCCAGTTGTGTAGAGCTACTCTTTTTCTGCTTGGTTTATTTTAGGGTCCTGTAAATTGATAAAAATCTGAAAAATGTAGGAAAAAAGGTTGAAAAGTCGAGTTTTGGCTCTTTTTTGAATACGATGATCAAGCTACTTGAATTTTATTCATGTGAAAAGCTTCTTTTTTCAATTTTTGGTTGGTTTTCAAGGTTCGTGAAATTTCGAAAAGGTGAAATTTCTATTCAAAAAAAGTTTCAGTTCTTTTTTCCAGCTTTAAGCTTGGATGCTTCAAATTTTAGTGAAGATTATTAGATTTTTTTCAAACTTTTTCTAATCATTTTGAACCATTAGAAGCCTTTTTCTCAAATTTTTTTATCGCATCCCATGTTTTTTTATACCATTTTTGAACTTTTTTTATGAATTTCTTCTCTAATTTTTTTGTTTCGATATACTGCAGAACCTTCTGAAACATGTAGTTGTAGAAAAAAGACGGAAAACTTCAATTTCCCGCGACAAAATTGGGATTCCAGGAGATTTATGGCTTTTAATCTTGATGTTGGATTAGTTCTCCAAAAGGAATCGATCTGAAAAAGAAAACTATTTCTGGCTGCATTTTTATAGTGGCTTACAAAGAATTGAAGTTTTCCTATTTTATTCATTTTTTTGGATTTTATCATGTTGAAATTGACTCTACTAAAGCTACAATAAATTATATTTTTCCCGGCATAAGAATCCCATATGAACTTGAAGAGATCCGGTTCAATTTTTTTCGCTTCAAATGAGGAAAAAAGAGCAATTATTCACCTATTTCGCAACACAAAAATTTGAATTTCCCTCCTGAATGGTTGCCCTTGACGACTTATGTAATTTCGCCATCCGTATGCAAAAAAGTCTTCTTTTTCTTTTTTTCTCTCAAAATTCAGATAGTTTCTGATTTTTAAAACACATTTTTGAGAATTCAGGATTTTTTGAATATTCTGTCACTTTTTGGTGAGGCTACAGTTGCGTCAAAAAAAAAAATAAAGATTTCTGATTTTTGCAAAATTTCAGTTGATATTCTTCATTTTCGGACTTTATTCATTTCCTTGTTTCTCTTTTTATAGATCCATTTTTGCTGAACTTTTCCTGAGTTTGATACGTAGAAACACTCCTTGTAGACGAGTACTGTCGGAGGTGTTACTGTTGAAAAGGCAACGGCGCCGTGGACGGTCCCAACCGGCGCCACGGCGCCACAGCCGCCGTCGCTGGTTTTCCGATGATCCGACGTGTCACTTCGGCTCCCAGCCTTTCCTCGTCCTGGCCAATTCTGATTTGTGTGGGTCGACTGGACTTTCAATCAATCAATCAATCAACTTATTGGTTGTTTTAGTCAGATGGAATCGACTAGGCGGTGAAAAAATTGCTCTTTTGAGCGGCACTAACACCGCCTTTGGCGAAAAAAGAAGTCAAAGCGTGTAGTTGATTTTTATTCTTTAACTAGAAAATTCAGAACGATTCTGATCCCTTTAGTGATCACTTGAGAGGTCTTAAAGCTAATCATTTCTTGGCTGTAGACAGATGGATAAAGAAAAATGAAAAAAGCGCCAAATATCCTCCACGACTTTCCAATACTTTAAGGGATCACTTAAGTAGTATTTAAGACTCCTTGAGGGCTTACTTATAGCAGCTATACATTTCTAATATTTGTCATAGGGTGTATGAAAGCGTGAGAGTCGAAAAACTCAGATGCTCTTCACGTGTTTTTAATTCTTGAAGGGATCACTTGAGTGGCCTTAGCGCTTCTTAAGGGCTCGCTCAAAAATCTAATCATGTCTATTAATCCTCAGTGCACGGGAGGCTTGGGAGTTTAGGATAGAAAAAAACTATTTGCCCAAATTTATTTTTGTGAAAAGAAGGATTTTTAGTGACTTTTTCACGTTAGATAGGAGAATGAGCTGATTGGGGGCTTCCAAAAATCAGGAAAAAATCAAACCACTACAAAAATCCTCTCATAGGTTACAAGGCAGATGAAAGATTATAACAACTCATGGACCAATTTAATTTTTCAGATGTGATATCGGGTCTCTCCTTGCACTCGGTTGACCTCGAGGACGTTCCCGAGGCGATGAGTCCGATCCTTGGCCGAAGCGGCGCCGACAGCACCAGTAACAGTGGTGGAGCTCCGCAGAGCCGACGTAAAAGCGCTGGTGAGGGTCTCGGGAAGGAAAAAAAAATAGTAAATAGCTCCAAAAGTGTGAAAAATTTGAAGAAAAAGCTTGAGGTGGAGGTTGAGGTCTGTCCTTTTCGAAAAGTGGTCTAGGCTAGGAATCTAGGATATTTTGAAGAGACTAGGCTGACCAGAGAGTACAAAGGTTCTGAATTTTTTCGCTATCTTCCACAGTCCCTGATTCCAGGAAGCTCGTGCTCCTCGGTGACTGGAGACTCTGAGGTCAGCCAGTACCGAGGCATCGGCGCCTCCAGCGAAGGCCTCCCAGTGGCGATCGGAGCCATCGATGGCGTCACTGCGGGAAGAGCCGCCGCCCTGGCGACTCTCATCAGAATCGTCTCCTCGAAAACGTCTCAGGAACGAATTCCACCGGCACAACTCGCCAATTTCTACGCCACCTTGTTCCAGGCCCTCGTTGAGGTGAAACTCGCCTTTTCCATACTTTTATACGGAATAAGAATCTGAAAGCGCTTATTTGGCTTCAGCGTTATCGCATATTTTGGCGATATCGCTCCCTTAATCCCTTATAAAACCCTTTAGGGATCTCTTTAAATATAATATTTTGAACACCTTAACAGCGTTTAGAAACGACTGAAATGTCAAAATAATCAGGTCAGCTCTCAAAAATTTTGAAAAATCTAAAAAAATTAGAATTTTCAAAGTTTTCAACAGTCTTACAGAATTAGAAAGCAGGTTTTCCGCTCAATTATAGTATTTTTTTCGGATTTTTGGAGGTTTCCAGTTTCCTAGGGTCCCTTACTGAAATTCTGTGTTTTTTATTGTCTTTTTTTATCACGAAATGTTATATTTTGGCTGGTTTCTAAGAAAAATCAATGATATGTGAAGTATTATTCAACCTCAAATCAGCGAAAATTTGCTACAAGGGAGTTTTTTTGAGGTACAAAAGTAATAACTCTAATCTTGGTAACGCGAACGTTTGTGAGCGTTTCTAGTGACCACTTTAGCGACGTCAGAACTCTTAAGTGATCCCTAGATCTTCTCGGAAACATCCGGGAGTGCGTCCGGTTTTCTGTTACAGATCTCGTCTCATTTTTCATGTACTTGCTAGTCATGTAGGAGTTCTTACAGATCGTTTACCGGAAATTTCTGAAGTTGAAAAAACAAAACTGTTCAGAAAGACCGACTGATCCTGTGCACATTGTTCTACTACGGCCGGAACCTGTTCCGATTGGGATTACCTGGAATCGAAGCCCTTCTACCGCACTTTCTATTCGCTCTCGACATAATTCTGATCGAAAGCTCCAAACTTCGGCTTCATCCCTCGATTTCGGAAGTCGAGATGAGAAGGGCCTGCCTCAGGGCTCTTTCTTCCGTCGTCTGCTGGCCCACGACCTTTGGAATGAGCAAGATCTCCCGTGAGCCTTTTTAGGAGTTCTATAGAGGAAAATCATGGAAACGTTCCAAAAAGGGCTTTGAAAAAGAGCAGGAGCTAGGTTTTCGAGGTGAAGAAGTAGGAGCAAAAAAATTTAAAGTTGCAGATTTAAAAAATAATAATAGGAACATCCATAAAGAAACACAGGTTTTTGAAGGTTTGGAGCTTTTTCTTCAAGTTCTAACCTTCTTAAAATTCGAAAAAGAGATCAAATGGGAGGGTGCGCTAATTTGAGGGAGAGTGCACTTTGACAACATGTTTTATCTGCTTTTTTTCCGCTTATTTTTGGAATATGCTGAGTTACAAATTCAAAAACTGTAAGTATTACTAGGGTTCTCTGAAGATTTAGAGCTTTTTCTCAAGTTGAAAGTTTTTTTTTGAGAAGGTTGAGGTGGGGGTGCGCGATTTTTTTCAGGAGAAGGACAGTGTGACGACTTTTTGAAGTCCAAGTTGCAAGTTCAAAAACCGTGAGTAATACTGGGATGAATAAATAAAAACAATAGAAGAGTTTTTTTCAGAATATTTAGTTTTTATTCTCAAGTAGAAAAATTGGTTTTTAAAAAGCTGGAGGGGGTGCGCGATTTTTCGGGGAAGGGCATTGTTCCGGTTTTACGAATTTTTCTAAGTAACAAGTTCAATAAATCGTAAGTATTATTTATATTTACAGCTTTTTCTTGAGTTCAAAGTTGGTTTTTAAGAAGCTTGAAAGGGGGAGGGGGTGCGCGATTTTCCGGGGAAGTGCACTGTGACGGCTTTTTCGAAATTTTTCTCGTTTTCATGCCGAAAGTTTGTGAAATTTCTAGTTTTAGGGTTGGGTTACGGTTTCAGAAATGGAGATTTAGGTATGGAGAAGAGGAGGTTAGGGGGGGGGGTGGTTTAATCCTGTTTAAGTGAGTACCTAGAACTCTTTGTTTTGAATTAATTTTCTTCAGAAGTCGCCGACGCCGCCGGCCTCAAATCTAACGCTGCCACTTATTTGCATCTCCGGGCGAGAATCTACAAAACCTTGGTTTTCAGCCTCCGAAATGAAACCGATCCCACCAATTTGCACATCGCTTTGGGTAAATTTTGTAGGATTTTTCGAAATTTCGACCTTTTTCAGCTCTGTGCACTGTTTTGCTGGAGGAAAGCTGCTCGTTCGACTTGGGCCTCAATGAGGAACAAACCAAGGATTTGATCCGGATCACGACGGCCACTAGCAGTGCTGGCATCCCGGAGAAAGGTGGAGAAAAAAAACAAAAGAGTTTTTAGAGTATATTTGATTTTTTCTTGGCTCCACGGGATGCCACATTTACAGGAAAAGCGGTTAGAAAATTAATCTGAAGAAGAAGTTTTTTTCGGAAGTTCACGGCGTTCCCAAACGGCGTGGGGAGACGTCAAAAAATTTTCAGCGCGAAATTGGGAATCTCAAGTACGCAGCCAAATGTTATCTTCATACCGTTGAATACTCAGTTTAATTTGCAACGATAGCTGTGACGTCACAGTCCTTTTATCCGAGGCGCGCACTTACTTTTTTTGTAAATTCAGAAACTTTGACGTCTCGCGCACCTTCCCTCACCCCATTAGAAATGCCGTGGTACTTCCAAGTCCCCTGATTCAAAAGCAAGGAGAAATTTTTACTCCGTCTGCCTTTTAACGAAATTAAGGACCCTCGAATTTCGCAAGTAAGAAAAGGCTTCGCAGGCAAGAGCTAATAAGACGCGCGAAGTGGCCCCTGGTTGAAACTGGCGGTGTGGTGTAGTGGTTAGCACCATTGCAAGGTGCAACCTGTGATCCGGGTTCGAATCCTTTTCGGGGAAATTTTTTTTTTGCAATTTTTAGATTGATGAATTCGCATAGATACCATCATTTTTTGTCGTTTTCTGTAGTTCCGACACCTTTTTTGGCAAGAAAAAGTCGTAAATGGATCTTTTTGAGAATTTGAGTTCTTGAGGAAGTTTTGCAGGCTGAACTTATAAGATCATAATTTGGCACATCCGGAAGTATTCTGGCCGATGTTTAGAAGATTTGAGAGAAAAATTAAATGAATTACCTTGTCGGCAGACTCAAAAAACTCGTAATTTTCAGGCCTATGTGCTTCGTTTGTACGTGGAATCGTCTCGGCGGTCTGCGACCGGATTTGTCGGCCGGAATGGGCCGCGGATCATTCCATTTCCCTGGCTGTGATCGATGTTTTGAATTCCTTGTCTCAAGTTCATCACACAGTTCTTTTTACCAACAGTTCGTTTTTTTTTCAATTTCGAAACATTCTAGGCTAAAAAACGGCCAAAAATGGAAAAAAATATTTAATTTTATGTACTTTTCGGTGCCAGAAAGGTGGGAAATCTTTTAGAACTACTGAAGGATTTTCTAGGGTCCCTATAGGGCTTTGTTGTTCTAGGGAGCCCTGTAGGGGACAATTGTACTGTTTGTTTTTGGTGCTGAAAAAGCTGGGAAAAACTTTCGATAACACTGCTCGATTTTGATAAAATCGTAAAAATGGAAAGAAAACAGACCTTAAAAATTATTGAAAATGAATACTTCTTCAGAAGACGTTTCAACCGGATCTCTGATCGTTGCTTCTCTGTGCCGATTCATTGAAGTACAGCTGAATAAACCGCCGCCAATGCATTCCAAGGACTTGCACTCGACTGTTAGTGAGAAAAAAATAATGAAGACAAAAAACGATTAGCAAAAATGTAGAGAAAAAGTTACCTGAGTTTGAATAAAATCATGCGAAATAATCAAAATTTGAAATATCGAAGAAAAAAATACAACTGAAAATTTGGAAAAAGTGAAAGCTATGAAATTTGAAAAAAGGTTACGGTAGCTAGAGAAGTGTGCATACACTTAGTGCACACGATGCGCGTGAAATGACGCCAAATCCTTCTTTTTTCCGTTTGAGTCGGTTTTTTCGCAGCTTTTGTAATTTTTACTTTCATTTTTGCTTTTTGAATCAGTGTTTGCATTAAAAAGACGGTTAATTTGAGTTAATTTTGTCTTTCTTACGCGGAAACGATGATTTTCTCTAAAAAGTATGTTTTCAGCTTTTTTCCTTTTTTTTTTCCGAGCCATTTATTGCTTATTCTGGTAACCATTGCATTTCATAGTTTTTTTTTAAAGATTTTGTTTATTTGAATCGCTTTTTTGATAATAGTTTTTAGAAGATTTTTAGTGTAGAAAGTGAAAAATATAATCCTTGAATTTTCCACTTTTATCAAAGTTTAATGAAGTTTTATGCAGTGGAAAATAGTTTATTTCATGTGATTTTTATCCAGGTAGTCGCTGCCTACAATGCGATTGCGGTTTGGCTTTGTGCAGCGCCGATTCTGGCCGAATGCGAAAGTGTCCTGAACACGATCTCCGAAGCGATTCAACTCGGGGTGACTGGCTCGAAAAACACCAAGAAGGTTGCTTTATCGAGAAAAAAAAAAGAAGGACTTGCTATTTTTCAGAGCTCAAACGAGGAGCCGAAAAAGGCGGCCAGTGCCCGGGTTTTGGAGGCCGCCGAGTACTTGATGTACTCACTTTTCAGTGTCGTGGTTCGTTTTTTTGGCTGGTTTTGACTAAGAGAATGGGAATATCTACTTGAAACTTATAGAACAGTGTAATTTTATCTTGAGAACGTAAAAGAAGATTTTTAGAACAAAAGCGAAACTGTTCATTTTTCCTGTTCTCTGAGTGTGGTTTCCTGATATTCAAAAATTAATTTAGCTGTCGAAAACGATCTCCTTCTTGATTTTGTCTTTTCGATCAGAATATTATAGAAAATTTGAAATTCAGAAGAGTTGAATATGTTCTGAAAAAGTTCATCAAAGGGTCAAAAATCATAGGTTTTCAGGGAAGTTAAACTAGAATTTTTGAGGAATTCATCATTTTATCATTTTACTCGGAAAAGTTCACTTAAGAGTCGAAAAATCATAATTTTAAGATTTTCAAACCTTAATTTCACAAAGAATTTATCATTTTTATCATTCATACACCAAGAAAAGTACATCGAAAATTCAAAAATCATAGGTTTTTAGGAGGTTGAACTTGAATTTTACGAAAAATTGATCATTTTATCCTTTTACTACGGAAAAAGTACATCAACGATTCAGAAATCATAGGTTTTTAGGAAGTTAAACTTAAATTTCATAAGGAATTCATCTTTTATATAATTTTTACTGTGGAAAAATTCCATTCAATGGTCAAAATCCATAGGTTTTCACGATGATGAACTCGAATTTCACGGAAAAATGTATCGATTTCATCATTTTTACTCCCAAAAAGAGCAGCGAAAATCAAAAACCATATGTGAGAATGTAAATTAGAATTTCCCATTATAATTTTTCATCATTTTTACTTCAGAAAAAGTTCATCAAAGAGTCAAAAATCATAATTTTTAGAGCGTCAAACTTAGATTTCACAAAGAATTAATCATTTTTATCATTTATACACCAAGAAAAGTACATCGAAAATTCAGAAATCATAGGTTTTCAGGGAAGTTAAACTTGAATTTCACAAAGATTTCCAGGGCCGAAAACCGTCGTTGGTCTGTGACGAGCGCCGATTAATGCATCAGTACGACACGGGACAAATCGATGCCGCCAAGTTCGTCCACGTCCTGATCAACGGCGACACTTTGCTGTCCCTCCATGAAGCTTCTCACATCCCTGACCTCGTTGGACGTGGGGATTTTCATCGTTTTTTATAAGAAAATGTAGCTCTAAGTCTGAAATAAGCCTAGAAAAGAGACCCTCAGAGCCTTACCGAGTTAGGAACTCCCGAGTAGGCCCTATAGGGACAACCTTAAGAGCCCTTGAAGGTTACTCTTTTGGGACCACTTCATCTCTCTCTATAGGGGCCACAAAGGCTTGCAAGGGAATAACCTCGAGTGGAATAACTTTTGACTGAGGTTGGAACTCTAGAGTAGTCCCTATAGGGACAACCTTAGGGCTCCTTTAAGGTTACCCTCTTGGGACCACTAAAGCTTACAAAAGTGGCCACTCTAGGGATCTATGCTAGTCGTTTATTGTCATGAACTCTAGGAGAAGAAGAATTCCCATGCGAAAAGCTCAATAAAAATTTTCTCCCAAAGGGACCACTTTTGCAAGATTCAGTGGCCCCTATAGGAAAAGGTAAAGTCGTCCCAAGCGAGTGACGTTCAAGGGCCCCCTATAGTGACTACTCTGGAGCTCCTAACTCGTCGAAAATCATTCCTCTCAAGACAATTTTCGATGAAAAATATTAAATAAAAAAGAATTGTGAACAAATGAAAAAAAAAAATGTTTGAAAACCCCTCTAGGGACCACTGTAGCTTCAAAGGGCTCAGGATTCAGACCTCAAACCCCTATAGGGGCCACCTGGATTTACCTCCAAGAGCTGTTGTTCTCCTAACCCCAGTAGGGACCACTGTGTGTTCCTAAAGATATAAAATAAAATGTTGAATAAAGAATGTTTGCACCTAGGGTATTCAGGAAATCTTTTCAACTCTTCAAGGTTTTTTCTAAGTTTTAGCTTTTCCATAATGCTTTACAGAGTATAGAGTTCCTAAACCCTGTAGGGACCACCTAAATTTTATCCCTTGAGGAGGCACTTTTTTGTCTCCCCTTTAGGACCTGGTTTCCTCCTAACCCCTATAGGGACCATTTTCATGATGAAAATAAAAAGTTGACAAGAATTTTTTTGCATCTTTTAGGTTTATATTTATGAGATATTTTCAAGTTTTTATGGTTTTTAGCGAGTACAAAGATCCTAAACTCCTGTAGGGCCGGTTTTCTCCCAATCCCTATAGGGAGCACTCTGGATCTCGTAAGATTTTTTAAAGCTTTTTGGTGAATATTTTCTGGAAAAAAACATTTTTCAGAAAGCGCGACAGTGATCTACGTGCGACGGTCGCCGACCCAGGCGGCCAGCGCCGGTATTGCTCATCTTAGAGCCAATCCGGACGGTTATCGACCCGATTTGGCGATCCCGCCCACTCCCCTCTCCTCCAAATCGACCTACGCTAGCGAATGTGAGGATTGGAATCAAAATTTATCAGAAATATTGAAGGAATTTCAAAAAATGCACCTTTTCCTATGCACGCGTTTGTTGTTTTTCTGTGGTTGCTGTGGATTTTTTTTCCCATTTTTCCAGATCACAAATCTTCGATGACGTCATATGATACGATTTCGACGACGTCGGCCGCTTCTGCCCAAACTAGTGCTTCGGGTAAAAATTTGGGACTTTAGGAAAAAAAAAATCATACATTTCCGTGAGAAAAGATACGGAAAAAAACGGTTTTTTGATGAAAAATTCCTAGCTTGGGACAAAAAAGGGGCGTGGCCTGTCTGCGCCCTCCACTATTCAGGCACTATCTATCTTTAATTATCGGGTCAGGACCCTTTTTTCGATCCCTCAAGTTAGCAGAGAATCAGCTATGATGGAGCTTTAATATTAATCTAAATGTAAAAGTGACTGCAAGCTCATTAGAGTGTTAAAAATAACAAACATCAGAGTTCTAGAAGGGGCTCCAGAAAGATCAAACTACATACAAGAAAGTTGTGATCGAAAAAAGCGCTTTTTTGTATCTTTTTTGACATCAAATTGAACTTTTGTTCATCAAATAATCAATTTTTCTACTTTTCCAACAAATTGTGACTTTTTTGAAGTAATCTGTATGTAATTGAAAATCTGGCAGGTGGGGGCATTTTTAGAATTTTTTTAAAAAGTAGTTGGAGTTGGAAGAAAGTTTGCGATTTGTAAATTTAGGTCTCCGCTTTTTTTCGAGTTCATTTCTGCGTTTATTTTTTGATTTTCTCCGATTTTTGTTGACTTTTAAAGGCTTTCCTAGATGAGAATTTTAAAATTTTTTTGCTGGAATTTTTCGTAGTGAACAAATTTGCGAAAGGTCCAACCTAAAAGCTACAACAACTTGGTTAAAGAATCGAATTTGACAAAAAATATATATTAAAATGCAAAAATTTCGTTGAAATGATATAAGTAGCAGAAAAATGAAGCGTAAAAAAGGCTTAATTTTTGAAATCCCGTTTCGTGAATAACGGGGATTTTTCCAACTTTAGGTACGTTTCAGAAAGAGTTGAAAAAGGTGGAGAATTTAGGATTTTCTCACTAAACCCGCTTTAGGTAAGACTTCTATACTTTTTACTTGTGTTTTTTTGAAAAAGAGATTTTTATAGTTACCGCATATTTTGATCTAATAGAGAATGATTTGGAAAAAAGGGCATAGGATGATTAAAAAGAGACGAAATTGAACGTGTTAAAAGTAAATTCGGTGGTTTCCAAATTGACCCGTTTGGTTCCGAAATCGTAAAATTGGAATTTCGAAAGGGTCCCACAACGAAAAACGATGTCTTTTATGCTCCATTTGAAGTTTTCTGTTGAAAAATTTTCACGTAGTTTCAAAATTTGGAGCTTCTGTAGGACCTGATTGGGAATCCCCCTCTTACTCGACTCCCCGTTAAACTTTAAATTTTTTTCAAAAAGTTCAGGACACTTCAAAAGTTTGAAAGAACTTTTTTTTTTTGTCATAACTTACGTATTTTGAGGACTATGAAGCTTCATAACTCGAAAAAAGGGGTAAAAACGTTCCCTAGTAAGAGCTCCTCGGAATTCCAATTTCGAGGAAATCATTTTGAACGAATAATCGCTCTAAATTACCGAACACGAACCGACTTTCCTGTTCTGCAACATGCACGCTTTTCCCATGATTTTTCCACTCCTCACCAAATTTTCCCCTGTCCTTTCAGTTTCAACACGGGCTTCTCAGTCGACGATCGCCTCTGCCATGACCACCGGCTCCATCATTTCCGGAGTTTCCTTCACGCCGAGCACTCAATCGGCCCCGGCCGTTCTCAAGGAAGAACCCGGTCTTTTTTTTAGTTCTTTTTGTGTTTCTGGCTTTCTTTCCCTTCCTGGTTTGGGCACGAATTATTATTTTTCTTTCAAAAAATTTTATAAGACTTCTTAAAATTGTTAATGAAAGGAATTTTAAAAATTGGTCCTTTACCTATTTTTCGCTGTGTTTGTGGCTTTGTTTCCTATCCTAATTTGGGCACGAATTATTATTTTTCTTGGAGATCTAAACCTAAGAAAAATATATACATATCTTGAAAAATTTGATGAAAACACGATTTTCAAGTTAGTGAAAAAACCTGGTCTTTTTATATCATTTTTTCCTTTTTTGCTGTGTTTGTGGCTTTATTTCCTATCCTAATTTGAGCACGAATCTGATTTTAAAAATTCGAAAAATGTGTATGACTTTTTCAGAGTTGTTAATGGACTTTTGAAAAATTATTATTGGTCCTTTATTTCCCCTTTTTTTGCTATGTTTGTGACTTTTCCTCTTCCTGATTTGGGCAGTAATCTGGAAAAAAAGACCAAAATGTTGTCTCTCTTTAAAATGTAACGCTATGAGGTGAAAATAAAGTGGTTTTAAAAGACCGGAATATAAAAATTTGGATTTTTAGTCTCCAATATCAATATTTTGCAGAAGACTTCTAGTTTTATAATAAAAAATCTAGAATTTTCGGTTTCCTAATGTTTATCAGATGCTAGGGATGACTTGAAAGATGGTTTTCACCAGAAATTTCGAAGATTCACTATTTTCTGTTCAAAATATGACTGAAAACAATCGATTGGATGAAATTTCGTGAAAGAATATTGGGGTTTCCTGAAGTAAGAAAAAGAGAGCTCTGAACATTTTTTTTCGCTTTTTAATTGGATCTAACAGCACTTTTTATGTAATAGAAAAACCATGATAAATCGAGTTTTTTTCTTCTTAGTTTCAAAAAGTCTAGAAAAGGGATTCAGAAATTTTTCAAAAATCTAAATTTTAGCCTCACCCACGACGCCGACACCTCGACCGCCGCCCCCCAAGTCCATCGGAGAGCAATTTATCATTCCGCCCGAGTTTTACAAGGATACCTGCAAGCTGTAAGTTGGAATAACCTCTGGAAACGAAAAAACATGATTTTTGTTCCAGTGACACCCAAATAAGGAACTTGGAGTCAAATGAAGACACGGATCGGATTTTGGAAGCCATGGACCGGCATTCGAAGGGAGAATCGACTTTCAACCGGGGAAGACAGAGAAATCTGTTCGAAAAGCTGACGCCCGAACAGAGGAGGATTTCGCCGGCTCAGTAAGAATTTTCACGAAAAATTGAAAAATATGGCTTCTTTGTTGTTTTTTGTCGATTTTTCCAGGTCTTGGGGATTTTAAGAGTCGTGAAGATTTTAAAGGCGCATTGGGTTTTATAAATATCTGAAGAGCATGACGTTAAGATGAATTTAAAGGTATATATAACTTTCATGGATGATTTGAAAGTTTAGAAAGGGCTAGGGACACATTTTAAGGGTTCATATACTTTTCACTGGATAGTTTGGAGTTTTATAACATTTATCAGATGAATTTAAAGGATAATAGAACTTGCTTAATGTTTTTTTAAAGATCCTTGAACTGAAGAAATAACAACTGGAGACCTTAAAATGGCACAAAGTTCAAATGGGGAAATTTAGACTAGATCCGTTCGTTTAAAGGCGCATTACAGTTGCCGACAAAGTTTAAAGAAGGATTCAATAGAAACAATGGATTATGATACTCAATGCATCGAAAAAATTATTTTAAAGGCACAGATCAATCGAAAGGTAATCTTAAAGGCGCATGTTTATTTAATTATGATTTTAAAGGCGCATACAAACAAACCGATGTTTTCATAGGCGCATGTGAGTTAAGTAATGATTTTAAGAACGTATGTAAACAAAATGATGATTTTAAAGGCGCATGTCGACTAAATGACTTTGTCAAAGGTGCATACAATTAAATGATGATTTTAAAGGCGCATAACAACGAAATGATGTTATTAAAGGCGCATGTCGACTAAAGGATGGTTTTGAAGGCGTATATCAACTAAATGATGTTATTAAAGGCGCACGTTGACTAGAGGATTGTTTTGAAGGCGCATATCAACTAAATGATGTTATTAAAGGCACACGTTGACTAGAGGATTGTTTTGAAGGCGCATATCAACTAAATGATGTTATTGAAGGCGCATATCAACTAAATGATGTTATTAAAGGCGCATAACAATTAAATGGTGTTATTAAAGGCACATAACAACTAAATGATGTTATTAAAGGCGCATAACAATTAAATGGTGTTATTAAAGGCGCATAACAATTAAATGATGATTTTTAAAGGCGCATAACAACGAAATGATGTTATTAAAGGCGCATGTCGACTAAAGGATGGTTTTGAAGGCGTATATCAACTAAATGATGTTATTAAAGGCGCACGTTGACTAGAGGATTGTTTTTGAAGGCGCATATCAACTAAATGATGTTATTAAAGGCACACGTTGACTAGAGGATTGTTTTTGAAGGCGCATATCAACTAAATGATGTTATTGAAGGCGCATATCAACTAAATGATGTTATTAAAGGCGCATAACAATTAAATGGTGTTATTAAAGGCACATAACAACTAAATGATGTTATTAAAGGCGCATAACAATTAAATGGTGTTATTAAAGGCGCATAACAATTAAATGATGATTTTAAAGGCGCATAACAACGAAATGATGTTATTAAAGGCGCATGTCGACTAAAGGATGGTTTTTGAAGGCGTATATCAACTAAATGATGTTATTAAAGGCGCACGTTGACTAGAGGATTGTTTTGAAGGCGCATATCAACTAAATGATGTTATTAAAGGCGCACGTTGACTAGAGGATTGTTTTGAAGGCGCATATCAACTAAATGATGTTATTGAAGGCGCATAACAATTAAATGGTGTTATTAAAGGCACATAACAACTAAATGATGTTATTAAAGGCGCATAACAATTAAATGGTGTTATTAAAGGCGCATAACAATTAAATGATGATTTTAAAGGCGCATAACAACGAAATGATGTTATTAAAGGCGCATGTCGACTAAAGGATGGTTTTGAAGGCGTATATCAACTAAATGATGTTATTAAAGGCGCACGTTGACTAGAGGATTGTTTTGAAGGCGCATATCAACTAAATGATGTTATTAAAGGCGCACGTTGACTAGAGGATTGTTTTGAAGGCGCATATCAACTAAATGATGTTATTAAAGGCGCATAACAATTAAATGGTGTTATTAAAGGCACATAACAACTAAATGATGTTATTAAAGGCGCATAACAATTAAATGGTGTTATTAAAGGCGCATAACAATTAAATGGTGTTATTAAAGGCGCATAACAATTAAATGGTGTTATTAAAGGCGCATAACAATTAAATGATGATTTTAAAGGCGCATAACGACTAAATGATGTTATTAAAGGCGCATAACAATTAAATGGTGTTATTAAAGGCGCATAACAATTAAATGATGTTATTAAAGGCGCATAACAATTAAATGGTGTTATTAAAGGCGCATAACAATTAAATGATGATTTTAAAGGCGCATAACAACGAAATGATGTTATTAAAGGCGCATGTCGACTAAAGGATGGTTTTTGAAGGCGTATATCAACTAAATGATGTTATTAAAGGCGCACGTTGACTAGAGGATTGTTTTTGAAGGCGCATATCAACTAAATGATGTTATTAAAGGCGCATAACAATTAAATGGTGTTATTAAAGGCGCATAACAATTAAATGATGTTATTAAAGGCGCACTTTGACTAGAGGATGCTTTTAAAGGCGCATAACAACTAAATTATGTTATTAAAGGCGCACAACAATTAAATGGTGTTATTAAAGGCGCATAACAATTAAATGATGATTTTAAAGGCGCATAACGACTAAATGATGTTATTAAAGGCGCATAACAATTAAATGGTGTTATTAAAGGCGCATAACAATTAAATGATGATTTTAACGGCGCATAACAACGAAATGATGTTATTAAAGGCGCATGTCGACTAAAGGATGGTTTTGAAGGCGTATATCAACTAAATGATGTTATTAAAGGCGCATAACAATTAAATGGTGTTATTAAAGGCGCATAACAATTAAATGATGTTATTAAAGGCGCACTTTGACTAGAGGATGCTTTTTAAAGGCGCATAACAACTAAATTATGTTATTAAAGGCGCACAACAATTAAATGGTGTTATTAAAGGCGCATAACAATTAAATGATGATTTTAAAGGCGCATAACAACTTAATGATAATGATCATTTCGCGCCCTCTTTTCTCGTGGCGTGCGGTCGTGTCTCTATTTGCTCTAGTCGCCTTTTTCCATGTCGCCAGCGCCTCAGCCTCCTCCTCGTAAACGAGCTGCTCATGATGGTTCTACACCTAGGAGTTCCATACCTCCTAATTCTCTTGTTCTTCGAGAAGTGGCTGCTCTCAAATCTCAAGTCCAGTTGATCATGATACAATTGAATGATCTGGCTTCAAAACTCGACGGCCCTCAAACTGATTCAACTCGTCATGCTCCTGTGGCTCAGCTTCCTTTGGCTCATGTTCCTGCCGCCCAAGCCTCTGCTACTCCTCATCCTCCTGTCGTGAACTCTGCCTCTGGTGATCAACGTGGTCTCGATGCTCTCTCTGACCGTGAACTGTGGGCTGCTGTCGCTCGTGCTTCATCTTCCACCACCTTTTTTTGGAGAAGTCGTTTCGTGCAGTTCTTGAGAAACTTGCTGATTCCAAAAACGCCCCAACAAGAAATTGATGATTCTATCCTAGTTAATAAGGTTTGTTCTCATCTGAACATTCCTGCCCCGCTTAGTATCCATCGACATCCATGTAATTCTCGTTTTTAGACCGGTTAAAATCCAATTTTTCCTCTGTTCATTCTCGCAATATGTTTATTTTTTTGGTTTCAAAAGAGCCGTTTCTGCGCTTTTTTTCAAAACACCATTGTACCATATTGTCGCGTTCGTCGTGATATGATTCCTCATGAACTTGTCCTCCTTCGCCGCCTTCGTCATCGTGTCTTTGTTCTCAATCAAGACGAAGGCAAATTGCGGTTTTATCTCAGAGACCTCACCATTGTTGAAAGGTCCAAATGTATCCCTTTGCCTGTACCTCGCAACACGAACATTTCTGTTAATACTAATTTTACTCCTGTGAACAATATTTCTTTTATTTCTAACCCTGTTAATGTCAACTTATCGGCTAATGTGAATGATATATCTGATCCTAATTCTATTTAACACTTGTGAATTATCATCATCTGGTGGGTCAAACCTTGTACATAATTTGAATTCTAACTCTTTTCGCGGTCTTTCGCGCCCTCTCCCCGCGCTAACTCGATCTGGTCAAAAGTTGTCTTGCCTTTTACGCAAATATTCGCTCTATTAGATCTCCTCCAAAAATTAACTTGCTTTTTGACCATTTAATTACTAACAATATTGATTTATGTTTTTTTATCTGAAACATTTCTTGATTCAACATGTCATGATTCTCTTTTTTTAACAATTTTTTTTTACAGTTTCGTACGGGTAGATCGGCCTACAAGCTCCTCTCGTTGTGGAGGTGGTGGAATCATCATTTTCTTCAAAAAACACCTGGGAATCGCAGAAGTGGATTTAGCCTTGGATCGTCACTATCCCGAACATTTCTGTGAGGTACTTGCCTTTGATTTTTATTCACCGTCCAAATCTAGGTTTTTTTCTTAGCTTACCGTCCTCCTTCCACTTCAAAAAAATTATACTATTAGCTTGTTGAAACATTTATCCAAATTTTTTTACTTCCTTTCAATAACCATTTGATTGGCGATTTCAACCTTCCAAAAAAATTGATTGGTCTTCTCTGACTTCGACTTGCCCTCTTTCTTCAGTCTTTCTCGATTTTACTATCACTTCTAACCTTACTCAATTAGTTCACTCTCCTACTCGTTGCACTTCAAGCACTGCTAACATTTTGGACTTACTTCTAACAACCAACCCTTCTCTTTTTTCGGATTTGTCAGTTTCTGAACCACTCTTAGGGTCCGATCACTTTTCCATTCTATTTTCCATTTCTGTCTGTTCTCCGATTAACCACACATCATCCGTTCGAAAGCTCAATTTAAAAAAATGTAATTTTTCTAGAGTTAACGACTTAATTTCTTCTTTCAACTGGGATCGGCAGTTCAGCTATTTTTCCTCTGTTGAGAGTAAATTTTCTCATTTTTTAAAAATTTTTAATGAAATTGTTCGTGATTCCTGTTCTAGTTTTCTAACTCCCCCCCTCAGTCGTCGCCCATTCAACCATGACAATCGTATTCGCCGGCTAAATATTAAAAGAGCCAGTCTCATTCGTGCTAATCTTTTCAATAATTCTACTCGCCTCCAATTCAATCTACTGTATAAAAAAATCAAAGCTTGTGCCTCCTCCATCTCCCTGGCACAGGAAACTTACATTGCTAACAATTTCAACCATGTTCAACTTTCCAAATATATCTCCAAAAAACTCAAATGTTGTTCTTCCATCCCCAACATTACTTACAACAATTCCCTTTATTTCTGAAAGCTCCTCAAAAGCAGATGTTTTTGCTCAAATTTTTAGCACAAATTTTTCTGATGAAGTTTACGATTTGATGCCCATTTTCCCTTCCCCAAAAGCCACTAACTGCTCTATTTCGTTCACTCCTGAACTTGTTTATAAAACTCTGATAGCTTTACCTCCCAAATGCGGTTTTTCGCCTGACTTAATCAATCAACTTGTTTTAAAAAGGTGCTCTACATCTATTTCTATTCCTCTGTCTATTCTGTTTAACGAATCTTTTTATTCCGGTTTCATTCCACCCTCCTGGAAATCTACCACGGTAATTCCTATTTTCAAACGTGGAAAAACTTCAGATCCGTCAAACTACCGCCCTATATCCTTGACACATCCTTTGTCCCGGGTCTTTGAAAGGATTATTTGTGATATGATTCGCCGGAGATTCTCCTCATTGTTTTCTGAATCTCAGTTTGGTTTTTTAAACAAACGATCTTGCAAGCTTAACCTTCTATCTTGCCTCTCCTCTTGGCAAAAATCTATCGCCTCGAAAAAATTTGTCGATGTTGTTTATTTTGACTTTGCCAAGGCTTTTGATAAGGTAAATCATTCTCTGCTTGTTCATAAGCTCAAGAACTTTGGTCTTGACGAAAACGTTGTTCGATGGTACAAAAACTTCTTATCTGAGCGTGTTTCTAATGTTCTGATCGATGGATCTCGTTCTTCTCTTACTTATCTCAATACTTCCGGTGTCCTTCAAGGAACTGTATCTGGTCCTTTGCTTTTTCTAATTTTCATCAATGATATTGTTAACTACATTGACCATGAAACCTCAATCTCTCTGTTCGCTGATGATATAAAAATTTACAGTTCTAACCCTGAATCTCTCCAACGTAGTATTAATTCCATATTTGAATGGTCTTCCATTTGGGGCTTGCCTCTTGCTGCGCACAAAACTTTTGCTATCAACCTTGGTCCCCTCAATCCCAAAACAACTTATTTAATCAATGGTCTGTCTATTCCCAGAAAAAAACCATTATCCGTGATCTAGGTGTTCTTATCGATGATAAACTAACTCTCGCTCCTCACATTAACAATATCGTTTCTTTAGCAACCCTTCGTTCCAATCAGATACTCAACTGTTTTTCGTTCCAAATCACCTGATCTATTGTTCAAAAATTTTTTTAACACCTATGTAAGGCCTATTCTAGAATACTGCTCCGAAGTTTTTTTAACCCTCCCTTAACTCTGATCTCTGCTACAAACTGGAATCTCCTCTCAGAATTTTTTTCTCGTAAAAATTTTTTTATTAGGTCCAACTTATCCTTTGAATCTTACTCTGATCGCCTTGAACAATTTGATATCTCTCCACTTTACCTCAGACGAGCTATATCTGACATTCTGACCCTTCATAAAATTGTCTTCGGTATCGATCATTTTCCCCAGTTCGAACTTTTTTTGCCCTCAGGTCCAATTTAAGGCGAAATCCACTTCGACTGCGTTCTCAAAGGTCAGTTTTTCTAATGATTTTTTTCTTTAAAAACAATTCCTACTTGGAACAAACTCACTTCCAAATTTCAATTCAGCCACCACCCCAAGTCTTTAAAAAAACTTTACTGGTCAATCTACCATTGCACGAGATCTTCTTGTCTATTCCTCCACGACTCAAATGATGTATAACTGTATAATGTATTCTCTCAAATTCTAGATCCAAGTGAACTCGTTAGGGTTCACGCTGATCTGTCAATAAATTATTATTATTAATGATGTTATTAAAGGCGCACGGTGACTAGATGATGATTTTAAAGAGACATATCAATTGAATGGCTATCATAAAAGGACGTGTCAAGTAATCATATTTTTAAAGGCGCATGCCCAACGAAATGGTGATTTTAAAGGCGCATGAAAGGTTCCTTTTGAATTTCATGCATGTTTCTTTAAATTTTTTTTTCGTCTTTGATCTCATTTCCAAAACAAAAATCAATCTATCACGCTAAAGTATATGTTTTATACGAGTTAAATGCAATTTTTTAAGGATCTTTGACGAAAAATATTAGAAAATGTCATTTTCAGACCGTCCGACCGTTGTAGCTCCATCAGAATACTGCTCTACGATTTCGGATTAGTCGACGAGAAGATTTTCGGATCTGAAATTGTTCTCCTCGATAATTCTCAATGGTTTTTCGATTTCAAATCATGGAAATTTTACAAATTTGCCGAATTTAGCAACGAGTTCTACCGGGATCTGCACGAAATTGTCGACTGTTGTCCTTCCAGAAGCATCCAAACTTCTCATATTTTCTACGTGAAGGAAGGGCAAAGATCCGCCGTTGATATACTGGACAATGCGGTGGGTTTTTGGGGAAAATATCGATTTTTTTCAGAGAAAACAGAGACAGTGGATTATGAAAAAAGTTGGAAAGTATTTTTTTAATAATTTCCTGAAAAATTAATAATTTGGAAATTTAGCTTTCATGTTCCAGAGAGTCAATAAAGAATGAATTTTGGCGAAAATGAGGTTTAAAAAGAAGAAAAAAATAGAAGATTATGTGCCGAAATTTTAGTAGTTTTATGGTTTTTTTGAAATTTTTTTCATATCGAGAATTTTTTTATTTTTTTCAGAGGACTTTTCAGACGTAAAATGACAATTTTTTTCGAATTTTCTAGGTTTGAAGCGAATTTGAAGAGCTTTACATGAATTTTGTACAATTTTTCGTGCTTGAAATTGAATTTTCTAATGAAATTTTATCAGAATTTGAACTAGAAAAAACTGGAAAAAAATCAGTTTTTTGAGTGCTTTTTGACATGAATCAGCTTTTATTTTCGAAAATTCAAAGGAAGAGTTTAAAAAAAATTTCTGAACGACCCAAAAATGTCCTTTCAAAGTTGATTTCGTGACTTTTTTGGTAAGAAAAGGCTTGATTTATTGAAAAAAATTGTTGCCACGAAGTTCGAAATTCTCTCTGTATCTCTAAATTTTAAGTTTTCCCACTATTTGAAGTTTATTTTGAGTTTCGAGCCATTAATTTGAACACATCATTTCAGATGAATTCTTGAAAAAAAGATCGGAAAAATATAGTATTTTTTTTTTTTCAAGAACAACATTTTTCAGCTGAACATCCAGAACACGTGTTCCGATTTCTGCGCTTTCCTGTCGACGCTGGGCGAAGGAGTGGAAGTTGGGGTTCATGATTCCTGGACGGGACACTGGTCGACGGCCTATTCCTCGGATCGAAGTCATTTTTCCGTTTCGAAATCAACTCAAATACCTCAAATTTTTGAGAAAAATATTTCTTCTAGGCATCTATAATGAACGGAATCGCTCAAAATAAGAAAAAATTAGTTTCAACGTCGAGAGGGTACTGGAAAAAAAAAACTATAGTGGCCACTTAAAGGCATAGGGGCATAGGGGCAGTAAAAATGAAGTTTCAGGTGAAAGCAGTTTCTTATACAGTTTTTCTTTGCGAATCGAATGGTGTACTCAAAAAAATTACAGATGTGACAACTTTAGAAGAAAAACGCGATTTTACTTTCCCGCCTTTAATTTTGAAAAAAGCTTTGGATCGGCCTACGGACAAATGTTTACAGTAGCCGTGCACGCGATGTTGCGGACGTCTCATTAGACTAGCATTTTGGGAAAAATAACCGGATTTCTGCTTCAAATTAAGGGTTTCTTTTCTGAAAAATCGATTATAAAACAGAAAAAACATATTGATAATAAAGAAAACACAAATAATCGCTATCCCAATCGAAACCTGTGTAAAATCGTCATTTTTCACCAGAAAAGTTTTTTTGCGATCAAAGTTTGCAAATTATACATGAATAGAAAGCTTTTGTGACGGAAAGAACTTTGGTGACAACAGAAAAAATTGAAAATTGAAAGAAACGAAGTAAAAAGCGAAAATCCGGAAGATGGCGAAGCCTGTTGTCCATAGAGCAACTTTACTGCAAAGCGCCCTTTTCGCAGGAACTCAAGTTTTCTTCTCTCCGATTTCGAATTATTTTTCCTCTAAAACTAGGAAGTTTGGTACATTTCCAAGTTCACCGTTCGATTCGCATTGAAAAGCTCTACAAAGTACTGCTTTGAACTGAAACACTGTTTTTTACTGCCCCTATGCCTTTAAGGAGCTCCTAAAGGGTACTTGGAGAGGACACTAAAGTGGTCACTGAAATCACCTCTATAAAGGCCACTATTTCGCTTCTTAGTGGCCGCTGTAGTAGTTTTTAGTAATATAGACTTCTAAAGAGGCCGCTCAGCCACTTTAGTGGCCACTATTCAGACTACTATAGGGGTCACTAAACAATTTTTTAAAAAGAAAAATGAAAGGAAAAAGTCCGAGTTCTCAAAGCTAGAGAGCACTGGTAAACAAGAGGACGATTAGAGAAAAAAAGAAGCTTTCCCTCTCATTTTTGAACGCTCTCTAACTTTCAAAGATCTTACCAAATTCAACCCGAGCACTTTAGAAACCACCCGAGAGGCTGAAGCAGTAGACCATTATATTCTGGACGGCGTCCAACACTGCCTCTGGTGGTGCGACGGCGGCAGCAGCGAGATGGCCTTCCTGATGCCCACCGAAAGAAGTGTCCGCATTTTCAAACAGAACATCGCCTCCCAGCCAGCAGCAGTCGACGTGGGTGGCTATGGATTATAAAAAAAGAATTTTTTTCCAAAAAAATAATAGTGTCATATAGCCTGTTCAGATTTTGAATGTCAAGTGCAATGACGTCATCGAAAAACACTCTGTTTATGGCTCGCTCTCTAATTGGTTTATCGTACCATTAGGGGCGGAGCTTGAGCGACGACTTGACATTCAAAATCTGAACAGACTATACCCTCTTATTGAAATGTGAATTTCTGTTTCGAAAATTGAAAATGTCTGATTTTAAGCCTCAAAAATTTGGCTAAGGATACGTAGGATGTTCGAAAAGCTCTCAAATTCGATGGATTTTGAAGATTTTTATTTTCAAATTTTTTCTGTGTTTTTTACAACCATAATGATAATTTTTTCTCTATTTCGAGCGGTTTTTGAGGCCTTTCAGATGTTTTTTTGATCTTTTAAGGTTTTTATTCTCAAAATTTTGATTTTTAAATTGTTTCCTGAAGTTTTTTTGATTCCGATTTCGGGTTTTAGTTGCCAGAAAAATTCTGTATTTTTGAGCGCTTTTTGAGGATTTTTCAGATGGCTTTCGAACTTTGGAGGTCTTTAATTTCAAAAAGGATTTTTTTAAGGTTTTTGCGATTCTAGAGGATGGCGAGTTTTTTTAATATTGCTTTTTGAAGGATTTTAATGTAAGAATTATGGAGACTTTTTACCTTTATTCATAAAAATTTCCTCCCCCATCGACGTTTCTGGGGGTTCTAGGGGTATTGACGATTCCGCAATCAATTTTGAAACTTCTGAGTTTTGAAATTTTTCGTTTTAACTACTTTTTTTCGTGTTCAAGGGAGAATCCATTGTTTTTTTTTTCTATATGAAAGGTTTTTATTTCCAAAATTCGCTTTAAGAAGTTCTTTGTGAAATTCTGTTATTTAGACCTTTTAGCTGTCACTTACAAGGAAAGTTCTCTGTTTTCCAGGCGGCTCCAACAAGACGACGTCGGGAATTTCCGACGATCGGTCTTTTGACAGCATCCAAAGCGATGGCCTACTCCATGTCAGCGGATCGACAAGGCAAAAAGCCGAAAAATCGCCGTCGAATTTGAGCGAACGGGACATTCATCCCTACATTGGAGGCGGTTCTAGTATGGGTGATTTTTTGGAATTTTTTCAATAATAATAGGAATTATTAGATATTCATTTTGTTCACATAGAAAAATAAGTCCTTAAAAATGGCCCAAAAAATTTCAGGTGAAAAAAATAATAAATAAATGAAAAACCCGAATTTTCAGCCCCCTCGTCAGTACAAATACTGTAACTAATTACAAAAAAATATTTTTATCTTTTTTTGAAATTCACTGTCACAGAAAGTTTTTTTACTAGAAAAATGCTGGAAAATATTTGCCAGAAAAATTTTTTTAGTGGGTTTTTAGATTACAGTAAGCAAGTTTGTGTACACCGATCCTCAAGTTTAAACCGATTTTTTTCTCAAAAAAATAAGGAATTTTGGGCAATTTTGAGCAAATTTTTTTGAGGAACGCAAGCTTTTTGAACTATATATAAAATGGGAAAGTTTTTTGGTGGAAATTAGATTACGGTAAGCAAGTTTGTGTACACCGATTCTTGAGTAAAAACCGAGTTCGTCTCAAAAAACCGGAATTTTGGGCAATTTCGAGCACATTCTTGAGAAACGCAAGCTTTTTGAACTATATAGAAAAACATGAGAAGTTTAACTTGCTGGGTAAAGGCTTTTACGCTCTCAATTTACACAGTAAATCAACTTTTCAGGTGGAAATCAGCCGGTCGGACGGCGTTCCGTTGAACTTCGGGTGATGATCGTTTGGTTGGAAAGAGCCGAGGATATGATCAATTTCCCATCCGGTTTTTCTCCTTCTCGATCAAAAAAATAATATATATTTGTCCAGCCGAGCTCCTGTCGGCCTGCGACGACGGCAGCGACCTTCTGAATCAGCAAGGGACGACGCCGACTGCGAAGACGTCGTCCACGTCGACCGCCGAGCCGCCCGCCCATCACATCCTCTTCTTGCACCTCGTTGAGCCCGGAATCGTCCAAGTCCGCACCCGCGGGACTCCCAATAGGTGCCTTTAGGAGTTTCAGGGGAAAGTAGTGTAGTTTTTGATATAGGGGTTTCGTTTTTTGCGTTTTTAGCTTGACAAAAGGTACAGTACTGGCCATAAAGGTATTTCAAAGTGGTTATTCGAGCATAACTTCTCTGAAAAATGACTCAAATGACTTGAAACTTCGCACAGATTTTAAATAGCTACGCAGTAACATTTTTCTCAGAAAAAGAACTTACTTGCTTGAGTCAAACAGGATTTGAAAGCAAAAAAACCAAAAATCGTGAAAAATGAAGATTTTTTTCTCTAGAGATTCGAAAAAAATCATATCTTCAAAAGAAACTTCGATTTTCAATTAGAAACTTTTTTTCCCCAGTAAAAACAAATCTTCGACTTTCTAAAAAAACCTAATCAGCCCCCTATCAACCCGATAGCAAGAGCGTAGTGACTTTTTCTTCGAAAGGCCTTTGCGTTTTGACGCCTCGTCATTCAAATGGACTATACGAGGTCATTTTTGTTTGAGAACACCCTGTATCATGTTGAAAAACTTCAAAACCTCCTCAAGAATAGTTTCACACTGTTTTCCTCAGCTTTCTCACTTTACCCGCTCTTCAGAACTCACTAACTTCTCTGGGACCGATTTTGAACCTCTGATTCGAACAGTTTTTCTGGACTTTCGGGCATTCAAAGGAGTTTTTATCTGATCAGTCGCTTTTCAATCGTGAAATCGAAAATAAATAATGAATAAATTGCAGGCTCCTGCTTTCTAAAGACTGCTAATTTTTTTGCTGAAGCATTAGTTTCACAAGACCAAAAACTTATTTTCCATAAGATTTAAAGAAACATTTTACAGTGCCTATTTTCTATCTGAGAGCTAGGAAGAGGAGTTACAAATTTATCTCATGATCTAAAACATTTAAAAATATGAAAAAAAGGGGTTTTTATCATCTTTCACGAGATTTGGAGCCTTCTAAGCAACACTTGCTTAAACGGAGTTTTGAGAACTTGGAGGAACTCATTATAACTCACTATATCTTTTGAATAAGTAAGCGAAACACAGTGAGTCTCCTTTTATTTTCATTCATTAAGGTTTTGGAAAAGCTTTGGAATCTGAAATGAGAAATCGAGAGTGTTCTGATTTTGAAAAACGAGCATAACCGCTTCAAATCAGAGGTTCAAAATCGGTCCCAGAGAAGTTAGTGAGTTCTGAAGAGCGGGTAAAGTGAGAAAGCTGAGGAAAACAGTGTGAAACTATTCTTGAGGAGGTTTTGAAGTTTTTCAACATGATACAGGGTGTTCTCAAACAAAAAAATGACCTCGTATAGTCCATTTTGAATGACGAGGCTTCAAAACGCAAAGGCCTTTCGGAGAAAAAAAGTCACTACGCTCATGCTACCGGGTTGATAGGGGGCTGATGAGGTTTTTTTCGGAAAGTCGAAGACTTGTTTTACTGGGGAAAAAAAGTTTCTAATTGAAAATCGAAGTTTCTTTGAAGATATGATTTTTTTCGAATCTCTAAAGTAAAAATCTTCATTTTTCACGATTTTCGGTTTTTTTGCTCTCAAATCCTGTTTGACTTGAACAAATGAGTTCTCCTTTTTGAGAAATAGTTACTGCGTAGCTATTTAAAAATCTGTGCGAAGTTTCAAGTCATTTGAGTCAGTTTCAGAGAAGTTATGCTCGAATAACCACTTTGAAATACCTTTTATGGCCAGTACTGTATTTTAAAGCTTCTTCCGATGTCAGAAACCTAATTTTTGTATGATAGAAAAATAACGATTTGAAAGGATTTCCATTGGAAAATAGTGTAGTTTTTAGCTTAGGGGTTTCATTTTTTTGCATTTTTAGTACGGAAAAGTGTATTTCTAGGGTTCTTCTGATGTTGTGTGAAACTAACTTTCGCATATTTAGTCCTGGAAAAAAGGGATTTTAAAAGGTTGATATTGAGGATTTTTTCTGGTTTCTTATGAACCTAATGTTGTTTAATTAGCTCTAGAAATAAGGGATTTCAAAATTTTGGATATTTGAGAATTCTCTGGTTTTTCTGGACCCAGTTTCTGCGATTTGAGCTCTGGAAAATGGATTTTTCAGAGTTTGAAGTTAAGAATTTTCCAGGTGTAGAGATTTTTTTCCATGGTGTAGAAAAAGTAATTTTAAAAATGCTTTGAAATTAGTGAAAAAAAGCTGTTTTGATCATTAAACTTGGCGTAAACCGCTTATGGTCGGGCGCAACTGTTAATCAGACAAGTAGTTAATGTTTACTATTAAAGAACACTTTTTTTGAAGTTTCACGAAATAATTCTTTAGGAAACTCAATCTTGCTAATTTCAGTATGATAGAGGCGATTTCAAAAAGGAATATTTCAAATTTTTTTCGATCTTAAAAACCCGGCGTAAACCGCTGATGGTCGGGCGCAAATGATAATTAGAACAGTAGTTGATATGTATTATTAAAAAAATAACTCTTCAAAGTTCACGAGCCATCTTGACAGATTCGGTGAGCCCGGGCCGCTTCTCGACGGAATGGTGACGTCATTATCGAGCCTCGCCTCGTTCGTCCGGTGCACCCTCCTGAACATTGGTCGCCGGGGTGTCGCTGAGATTGACAAGTGGGTTTTGAAAGTTTAGAGGCTGAAAAACCGCCCCTATAGGGCCCGAAAAAGGGTCACTATAGGAGTGTAGGTGGTTCATAGAGGGGTTTAGGGGCTGGAGTGGTCCCTATAGGGCTCTAGGGGCTGGAGTGGTCCCTATAGCGATTAGGGAAAAACAGCATCTATAGGGGACTAAAAAGGGGTGCCTATAGGGGTTAGGGAAAACAGCCCTTATAGGGGACGAAAAGTGGTCCCTTTAGGGGTGTGAGGTCTGACCCCTTCGCACCTCAAGATCAAGTGGTCCCTTCAGGGGTCTTTCAATTTTTCATTTAAGACTCAAGAGGAAAAAGTCAAATTTAATCCATTTGTCCTATGTTAATGTTTTTGCATTCTTTAGTGGCCCCTAAAGGGGTTAGTAAAGTAGTCCCTCGAGGGGAGCTTCCAAGGGCCTCGAAGATAATCTCTATAGGGACCGCTCTGAAGTTCCTAAAGAGCAGAAAGTTTTATTGAAAAATAATTTTTTGTGTTGAAAAGGCCCTCCTTTGTCTAATATTTTTTTGAAATACCTAGAAGATACATTGAAAGCATTGTAGCTCATTTTTTTTAGCTCCTAATCACCTGGAAAATAGCTAAAACAAATTTTTTTCAGCTACCAATTCCCGCACACGAAAAGAAAGCAGTCGATCGTTGAATTTGGCAAAAAATACGCGGCCAACATTTCCTACGAGGAGTTCCTAATGCGACTAATTAAGAGCTAATTAATTAATCAATTTGTCATTTTAATTCATAATTTGTGATTCATTTGCTATACGTGGTTCTTGTACATATCCGAAGCTTCGATTTTCTTGTTCTATGTGCCTTTAATAATGCTAATAATTCCCTTTTCTTGGTTACCCTACGGTCTTCCTTATCTCTCTAATCGATTCCTGTGCCTCAGTGGATTTTTTTTATATTTTTAAATTATGTCATATGTTGCATGTTTGGAAGGGATTTTTTTATTGCCTTACTCGTATTTTCTATTCAGATCAGCTCTCTGCGCCTTTAAAGGACTTTTTTTTACGAATCCCTGCGCCTTTAAATTACACAGAGCTGCTCTGAATACACTTTAACTTGGTTTTTTCTTCACTTTATGATTTTATCAGGCTGTGATTTTCAATTGCTTCTATGTTGTAATAAGAACGTTTTATTTATTGTCCAGCGGCTAAGTTTCATTGAAAAAAAAGTGCTATTTTTGCACCATCACTCTCAGACAGGTTAAAATGATAAGTCGAAAGAACGTATCAAGACGGATAAAATGATGTATCTCAATCACTGATAACTTATCAAAATGTAGAGATACAAGCTGAGGCGAGTCAGAAGCTTCTGGATGAAGCTTAATCGACTAATTACTTATATCATTCGAAAGCTGACATCAAGACGGATCGAATGATATGATTAGATAAGCTGAAGCTGCTCTGGGAGCCGAGATATAAGCCGTCAAAGTTAATCTCAAAAAATAAATTTGCGCGTCAGATCAAATATGTTGTGTGAAGTTGCGCGCAGGGTCAAGTGTCAGTCTGAGGCTCTCCTCGGTGTGGTTTCCTCGCGAAAAAGGAAAAGCTCAAAAAAAAGTTGGTCTTTTTCAAGTTTTTTCTAGCGTAACTGATAGAGACGCTTCTATATAGTACTGTTATCATATCAGTTTCGAGGGAAAAGCTCAATAACCGGGTCAAAAAAAGGTCCGGAAAAATGGCATCTTTTGGGATTTCAAGTCTCATAACTCTGTTCGTTTTGAAGATACAGCAAAACTGAATATGTCGATCGATTTGTCTCTTTATCAGCTTTCCAATGATATGGGACTTTAGGAGTTTTGACCAACATGAATGACGTCATCGAGTTTTTCAGCCTACATCTCAGCTTTTTTCTCAAACGGTGTGATATCATTATCAGTCGATAGAACGTTCTCAGACGGATCAAATGATATGTCTTAAACTCTGATAACTTTTCAAAAAGCCGAGATACAAGCTGAGGCGAGTCTGAAGCTTCTGGATGGAGCTCAATCTCGTGACGATATACATCATTCGAAAGCTGATAACAAGACGGATCGAATGATATGATTAGATAAGCTCTAGCTGCTCTGTGAGCCGAGATACGAGTCGTCAAAATTAATCTCTAAAAATAAGTTTGCGCGTCAGATGAAATATGTTGTGTGAAGTTGCGCGCAGGGTCAAGTGTCCGTCTGAGGCTCTCATCGGTGTGATTTCATCGCGAAAAAGGAAAAGCTCAAAAAAAAGTTGGTCTTTTTAAAGTTTTTTTCAGCGTAACTGATAGAGAATCTTCTATATGGTACCGTTATCATATCAGTTTTGAGAAAAAAGCTCAATAATGAGGTTGAAAAATGGTCGAAAAAATGGCCCTTCTTCCTGCTTTCAAGTCTCATAACTCCGTTCGTTTTGAAGATACAGCGAAACTGATTAGATCTTTCGATTCGTCTCAATGTCAGCTTTCTAATGATATAGATTATCACAAGATCAAGCTTCATCCAGAAGCTTCAGACTCGCCGCAGCTTGTATCTCGACTTTGTGATAAGTTATCAGAGTTGAAGATATATCATTTTATCCGTCTGAGAACGTTCTATCGACTGGTAATGATATCACACCGTTTGAAGGGAAAAGCTGAGATGTAAGCTGGAAAAATCGATGACGTCATCCATGTTGGTCAAAACTCCTGAAGTCTTATATCATTGGAAAGCTGATAATGAGACGAATCGATTGATCTAATCAGTTTCGCTATAACTTCCAAATGAACAAAGTTATGAGGCTTGAAAGCCGAAAAAAGGGCCATTTTTTCGACCCTTTTTTAACCCCATTATTGAACTTTTTCCTTGAAACTGATATGATAACTGTACCATATAGAAGCTTCTCTATCAGTTACGCTAGAAAAAATTTGAAAAAGACCAACTTTTTTTTGAGCTTTTCCTTTTTCGCGAGGAAACCACACCGATGAGAGCCTCAGACTGACACTTGACCCTTGCGCGCAATTTCACACAACATATTTGACCTGACGCGCAAATTTATTTTTTATGACGATCTTTGATGGGCTATATCTCGGCTCCCAGAGCAGCTACAGCTTATCTGATTATATCAGCAGATTCGTCTTGATGTCAGCTTTCGAATTATATAAGTTTTCAGTCGATTAAGCTTCATATAGAAGCTTCAAGCTTTCCTCAGCTTAAACTCGGTCAATGAAATATCAATCGACGCAGAATAATGTCTCGAGTTCCATATCCAAGGAAACAGCTCATGAACACATAGTAGTCGAATTAGAGTCTCTCAAAGTTGGTCGCTTTTGAGACTTTGAAAAATCATGACTCCACTCTTAGGAGGTAAGGAACTTGGAGACCTAGTTTTTCCTGATCTCCTTGATCTCCTCTATCGATTGATACCAATTTCGAGAAATTTCAGATTTTTCGATCTTTCAGTTTGATCTCCTCTAACTACGTTCTTAGTTGACCTACGGAGGTCAAACCTGGCCTCAGGTTATTTTTTCGTCGAGATCTATCGATTGGTATAGGTTTCGTCCGGATCGGCTTCCATGACCTCAGAAGCTCAAAAAAAACCTAAGGGGTTAGACTGTACTTTTTTCGATTTTCCCGAAAACCAAAGTTTACCAGATTTTTATATCAATCGATAGGAAATGACGTCAGAAGTCCGAATATCCAGGTCAAACAGTTCTTAGACCCCTAGAAACAAAGTTATGATTTTTCAAAGTTTTCGAAAAATCATAACTCGATTTCTAGGAGGTCAGGAACTTGGAGACCTAGTTTTTCCTGATCTACTTGATCTCCGCCATCGATTGATACCAATTTCAAAAAATTTCAGATTTTTCAATCTCTAAGTTTGATCGCCTCTAACTACGTTCCTAGTTGACCTACGGAGGTCAAACCTGGCCGCCGGTTATTTTTTCGTCAAGATCTATCGATTGATGTAGGTTTCATCCGGATCGGCTTCCATGACCTCAGAAGCTCGAAAAAAACTTGAGGCCAGTCTGAAGCTTCTGGATGAAGCTGATTCGACTGACAACTTATTTGGTTCAAAAACTGGCATCGAGACGAATCGATCGATTTAATCAGTTTTTCTGTAACTTCAAAATAAACAGAGTTATGAAGCTGGAAAGCCCGAAAAAGAGCCATTTTTTCGACCTTTTTTTAACCCGATTATTGAGCTTTTTCCTCGAAACTAATATGATAACGGTACCATATAGAAGCTTCTGTATCAGTTACGCTAGAAAAAACTTGAAAAAGACCAACTTTTTTTTGAGCTTTTCCTTTTTCGCGAGGATACCACACCGATGAGAGCCTCAGACTGACACTTGACTCAACGCGCAACTTCACACAATATATTTGACCTGACGCGCAAATTTATTTTTCAAGAACAACTTTGACGGCTTATATCTCGGCTCCCAGAGCAACTACAGTTTATCCAATCATATCATTCGGATCGTCTCATTTTCAGCTTTCGAATGACATAATTATTTGTGAATTGAGCTTCATTCAGAAGTTTCACACTTTCTTCTGCTCAAATCATATCGTTTTCTCGACGGATTGAGCTCAAGTTCCCACAATTCCCCTTCTAGCAAAAGTAGCACCAAAAAAAAACCGAATAAGTTCGAAGGGAAGTATGAGTGGAAAATAGCACCGCTTAAGTATGTAGCCTTCCCATAAAGGGAGTCAACTCAAATCCGAGCTGGGCCGAAAAAATCAGAGATATAAAAACGACAATTTCATCAATGCAGAAAATATCAAAATAAAGAGATTTTATTCGTTTTTCAGAAAAAGACATGGAAAAAAAAGGAAGAAGTAGAGCTTCACTTGGATGATGTGGTGGATGCAGTAGAGATGTCCTGAAAACCAAGATTATCTTTTGAAAAATAATTATTTTATCGGAAAGGCCAAGAAAACTAGCACCGGCTAAAAAATATCCTTTTTTGTGTTCCGGGAACAATTTAAAGTTCGGAAAACCTGTAATGTAAGCTAAGACAGGATATTTTGATATTTTTCCAAAAAAATCTAGGGTTTTTCTTCGTAAAAACGATGAAGTTTTCAGAGTTTTTTTAATGAATGGAATACAAAAAAATAAAAAAATGAACCGAAGTGATCGATTTGCGCATGGAAGCGGAAACGAGGCTATCCACGGCCGACGGCGGCTCTTTCGGGCAGTTTCCCGAAATTTCACCATTTTCCAGGGCGCTCTGTGAGAATAAAGTCATGTGAAAATAGTGTGAAAGCTTGATTTATGAGAGAAAAATGATCAAATGCTTCAAAACTTCAACAAAACTTCCTTCTAGAGTTTCATTGTCGGAAAAATATCAACTTTTCATAAAATTGAGGAAAAGCGTTTGCTTCTGAATTAAGGGCCCGACACGAATTTTCAAAACTAAAAACTTTCATTTTTCGTTTTTCGTTTTTTTCGTCATTAACGTTATGAACACATTAAAAAAAAAAAAATCTGCGATCGATATTTAAAAAAAATGAGATCCTCCGTGAAAAAAATTTGCCTATTCACCACAAAAATCACTTAAAAACATACAATTGATAAAAAAAAAATGATAAAATCTGAAAAACGTGATTTGTTCGAAGAAAATCTCGTTCAAACCGGGATTTCATTTGAATCCACGAAAAATCATGAGAAACTTTTTCCAAACTGCCGGTATCCGAAAAAAAAAGACCGCAGTTCCAAGCTGCTGATTAGGCGGGTTAGCCCCGGGTGACCCGACCCTCAAAGTGGTCAAATCGTAAAAAGAGCTTTCTTTCTCAATTTCCACCCATCTTCTCCATTTTTGCGGGCCGGGTCGTCCCGGGGCAACTTCTCCCAATCGCGGGACGACTCCAAGCTGCTGATGAGACGGGCCGGCCCCGGGTGACCCGACCCGCGAAGTGGTCATAGTCGAAAGAGCTTTCTTTCTCAATTTCCACCCATCTTCTCGAATTTCACTGTTTTCAACTTTTTGGGCCGGGTCGTCCCGAGGCAACTTCGAGTATAGGACAAAAGCGCCGATTCCAAGAGCGCCGTTCAAATTTAGCGCCAGTCCGCAATGCGCTGTCGCGTGTATGCGCCGTGTATGCAGACGCCGCTTTCTTTTGCGCCGAGTCCGTTTGCGCCGAATCGTTTTGCGCCGTTATTTTAAACTTTTTATTTATTCGCTCTTTTTTTCTATCATTGTTTATTGATTGTGTAGTACACATTCATATACGACTCGAATAATTTTCGCGCCATCTGTTAATATGGACCTTTTCTGACGCATTTTCGAAAAAAACTCGAACTATTGTTTCAAGAAAAATGAGTTCAACGTTACGAAAAAAACGATTTTCTGCTGTTTCACGTCTGCTAGAATTGAAACTTTGCCTTACCTAACGCAGAAAAATTTGCAATCACAAAAATCACTCAATATGTCGTTTAAAAGCAATAATTTTTTTATCCATTCTCTTTTCCTTACGTTTTCTGTATTTTTTTCGAAATCAGAAAAAGCATATTTGCTTTTTATTTTTTTACTTTGAAAAAGAAAAAAAGGGGAAAAAAATATTTTACCTGGACCAAAGTGGACCTAAAACTCATCATTAACGGATGGCGCGAAAATTATTCGAGTCGTATATGAATGGGTAGTGAACAATTATTAATAAATAATATAAAAAGAGCGAATAAATAAAAAGTTTGAAATAACGGCGCAAAACGATTCGGCGCAAACGGACTCGGCGCAAAAAGAAAGCGGCGTCTGCATACACGGCGCATACACGCGACGGCGCATTGCGGACTGGCGCTCAATTTGAACGGCGCTCTTGGAATCGGCGCTTTTGTCCTATACTCGCAACTTCATCCAATAGAAGCTCATCAAAGGCTTCCTTATTGTAATTTTTTCCCAATTACACACACTGATGGACGACTTGGCCGACGATTGACTGGTCGATGTCATTGGGGATCTAGAGGGGGATCGAAGTTTCTTGGTTTTTGCTCGGGGCGCCGTCGCCACCAGGAGACTGTCGACGGCTGCGGGCGGGGTCGAGGCGTTGCTCGCCGAAATTTCGCCATTTTCCAGGTTCTGTGGACCCTGCTTCTCCCTTCTCTGGAAGAAAAGTTTTCATGAAGTAAAGTATATAAAATAACTGTTTTTTTTTTCGTTTTCAAACCCCTTCTCCACTCAAAATAAACTAAAACATTCATCAAAAATTTAAATTTCCTGGTAAAACTTCCCTGAAAAAAACAGCAAAATCTCAAAAGTTCTCAATTTCCTACAAAATTTCTCTCCCCCCACTCACCTCAGCTTGAATCCTTTCCAGAAAATCAACCAGTTTCTTCTCCAAACTCTGAAAAATCGCAAAATTAATCGCATGAAAATCAGAAAACACCTCCAAATTTTTGACATCTTGCCGGTTGGTTTTCTCCTGGACGCAGAGGCTTCTCAGGATCGCCGGCGTCCGGAAAAAGGCCGAAAAAGTGGCTGAAAAAAATAAGAAAATTAGATAGGAAATCTAAAAAAACGCGCTTTTTCTCGCTTTTTGAGAGCTTTTCTGTGAACAATCAAAAATACTATTTACGCCTTGAAAAATTCATGTTTTTTTCGTCAAAAAGGACAAGAAAAAAATCTGGAATTCACATCATTTTTCGGGACGGCGCTCATCATTTCCCGAGCCTTCAGCAACGCAGTGTTTCGGGCTTCGACTTCAGAAAACTGAAAAACAACAGCATATACAAGAATTATTACAAATCGAAAGTATAAACAACGTACGAAAAATTATTTCCTAATAATCTTAAAAATTCGATCATTTTTTTAATTTGGATTGGAATTCTACGGCTCTGAGAAGTCAAAAAGCTTTTTCATCCCTCACTGGGAATTTTTTTGTAAATTTGCTAGGTAACCCTTCAACAAAATATATAAGTAAAGAAAATTGAAAAAAGAAAGTTTAAAAAACACGCCAAGAAAATTATTCCAAAAAAATCGATCTTCACTCGTTCATTACAAAATTTCTCAACTTCAACCTAGAAAAAACTCGTAAACTAAGTTAAAATGGAAAATTTCTCATCATTCCTTCCTTCTCAAAAATTTGATAATTCCAGTCCTAGATCCGCACTTTTTTATGAGCCATGGCCAGTTGGTTGTGATCGTGATTGGTTCTATCGCTGATCGACTTTGACAATTTGTCCATCGCCTTGATTTCGTTCATCTGAAATGCAAGTTTTGAAAAAATTTACATTACAAGACACAATTTTTAACCTGCGTAATCAGTGTTTCGAGCCGTGGTTTCACATTATTGTAACTATTGGTTTCGGCACTCGCCGCATCGCCTCGGCCTCTGGAAAAATTTTAAAAAAATCGGAACACTGGAAAAACGATTGAAATTGGCTGACAAAAAAACGAAGAGCGAATTTTTTTCTAATCACTATGAATCAAACTCCAAAAATTTTATTGAAATAATGACAGAAAAAAACAGAATTAAAATGAACCAAGACAGCGGAGAGGCCCAAAAAAATATTTCTGACGTCATGAATTTACGCGTCGCGGTGCTGCACTACATGCATAAGATTTCACGACATCTCCCTATTTTTCCAAAAATTTCTTCAAAATCGTTTTTTTTCAAATTTCAAAGTATTTTTTTCAGGATACACACTTGACAATCAACTCTTTGAGCGCCTGAATCCCTCTTTCATATTCCTTTTCTTCCAGTTCGTTGAGCTCATTCCACCGCGATGCCAACAACTGCATTTTGTTGTCAATCTGAAAAAAAAGTTTTTCCATTTCTTTGTATTTTTGAATTTAATTTCAGACTAAAAGCACAACATAAGCAAGGACAGCTTTTTTTTCTAATGAAACAGTATTAAATTTTCCCAATATCTTCAAAAAAAATTCACTTCGTCAGTCGCCGTTTCGCTCTCTTTCCGGTACTTTTTCGCCGACGTCGAGATATCTCTCAACTGGAAAAAAATATTCTCATTGAAGTTTCCAATTTTTCGTGATAACTTACTTTGTTGACAGTTTTTTTCATGAATGCGAATCTCTTGTTCCAGAAGCGTAACCTAAAAAAGCGCTTTTGAAACAATTTTTCGGGAAATTCTAAATAAATATTATTTTTGAAAGGAAAAAGGTTCTGAATTTTTCACAAAAATCCAAGAAAAAAATTGCGAAAAAGCTACAGCTCTACATTTGAGTAACTTAACGAAAGTTTACTTTTTTTAATTTTTCGCATTTTTTTCATTATTTTTGTAAGCTTTTTCTATTTTGAATGCCTGAAATTCATTTTTGTTGATTTTCTTGTAAACTTCAACTATAGAATTGAAGAAAAAAATGTATGGAAATAAAAAGAAATTTCGTTTTTGTCATTAATTATACATGTAAAACTTGTTTTTCAAGCAAAAATTATTAAAGATTTGACATAAATACACTTTTTTTCGTTTTTCAAAAGATCTGTATAGCCTTTCCGCGTCGATTTTTTTCCCTCGAGCTACAGAACCCTTCCAAGAAGCTTCCTTTCGAAGCGGGGGCCTTTCTCTGTTCATGCGCCTTTGATAAAGATGATATTTTAGGCCAAATTAAAGGCGCATGCGGGAAAGGGAGTTCTTGAGCTTGTATCAAATTTGGCAGGGCCTAGCTTGATTTAAAGTTGGCAGCCTTTATGCCGTGTTCAAAGTAATTTCCGCGAAATGCAAAATGGTCTCTGACCCTCCAAAATTTAGTTATCTTTCTCTTTCTCTGACGGCTATTTTGAATTTCGCGGAATCACTTTGAACACGGCATTAGATTTTCTGAAATTTGGCAGCGCCTTTAAAATCATTTCACTAATTTTTTCTGATGTAAGCGATATTTTCAAGTATGCCCACTTATTTTCTAGCCTAAAATTTCGGTAAATTTAAAGGCGCATGCCCAGGGGCAAGTATGGGGCCTCGAAAGAAAGGGTTTTGTAGCTCGGAGGAAAAAGAAAATCATAAAATCGGCTTGAAATAATGAAATAAAACGAAATTTTCTCAATCAAACATCTTTATTCAACAGCATGGCTTCCAGAATAAAATAAATAATTTTTTTTAATCGAATATCCCACCTGTTTCTCAACCTCCTCAAGAATATTGGTAGTTTGGCTGCTGGAAGTTGACACAGACATTTTCGTTGCGTTGAGATTCGCCGAAATAAATCTCGATCCGTCGCATTTCACGTCGTTTCGCCACGTTTTCGCAACTTTTTGATTAAAAATAAAACCAACAAATAAAGTACTTTATAGCCGATTGGAACATCGGCAAATCTTCGAATAAAATTTTAAAATCAGCTAATTATTTATGAAAAAGATCAACAAAACACGAATTTTTGAGCAATAACAACATTTAAAAGCCTCGTTTTAAATGAGAAATCACAACCGAATCAAGTGAAATTCAAGGTAAAACAACAAAAAAACAGAGAAAAAAATGCTATGAAGATCTAGAAATATTTGTAAACTTGGTCCACGTTCCACGCACTCGCTGTTACTGTCCATTCTGGGCTGTGAGGCCTGTAAAAATAAAAAATAATAATAAGAAGCCTTTGTAATCAGTCCAAATTTCATTAAAGTTGTTCTAAATTTCTCGATTTTTCATCTCAGGCTCCTGGAGATAATTCATATAAAAAACCACATTTCTTCTACTTTTTAATAAAGCTTTTTTGAAAAGCTTCCGTATTGAAAGAAGCAAATTTGAGCTTATTTTTACAACGTGAGGGTCATCAAGAAAAACAGAAACACTTTCAAAAAAATGAAGAACGTTCAAAGAAATTTTAAAAAACTTGGATTTCGCTCCGAATTCTTGAAAAAATTGCAATTTTTCCTATCGAAAAAATCATAAAATTCGTAAAAAAATCCGGCCAGAAACCCCATAAAAACCTACGAAAAAAACAAAGTTTCTTTAAATTTTCGAAATCAAGATGTGAAAATTCCAACAAAAATCGATTCATCTTTTGAAAAAATGATTTTTTTGAATATTCGAGCCGCTTTTAAAGAAAATCTTTCTTTCCCAGCAAAATTGAAAAATTAAAAAAATTCAGTAAAAACCATTATTAAAGGCGCATCATCATCAAAAATAATCTCATTTCAGCTTTTCTCAATGAAGCTCGCATGCTGAGCAGGGTAACCCCGCCGTGCTAACACGGGGTCTCTGCAGGGTGCCCCCGTATTAAACGCGTATAAGCCCAGCTGATAGAACTTTTGGCACCTTTTAGCCCAACTGAGACCCCGCTCTAGCCCAGCTGGGTTACCTATTTTTCTTACACCCGTTGTTCCCCTGTTTTAGCCCAACTGAGACTAAAATAACCTCAGAAAGACGGGTTTAATACGGGTACACCCGTTGAGACACCTGCTCAGCATGCGAGAAGTTTAGTAAAAACCATTATTAAAGGCGCAGGAAAAAACTATTATTAAAGGCGCATCATCATCAAAAATAACCTCATTTCAGTTTTTTAATGAAGTTCAGTGAAACCATCATTAAAGGCGCAGGAAAAACTGCAGGAAAAATATTACGCAGGAAAAAAACTATTATTAAAGGCGCATCATCTTCAAAAATCTCATTCAATTTTTTTCTCAGTGAAATTTAGTAAAAAAACCATTATTAAAGGCGCAGGAAAAAAACTATTATTGAAGGAGGATCATCTCAAAAATCTCACTCAATATTTTATCAATGGAGCTCAGTAAAAACACTATTAAAGGCGCAGGAGAAAACTATTATTAGAGGCGCATGATCATAAAATGTTTCTCAATGGAGCAAATTGAAGCTTCAACAAAACTTTCTGGGAGAAAGCTCTCCTAAATTAAAATATTCTCCGTTTTTCCTTCTTCAAACCTTCTGACTCTGATCTCCTCCAACATCTCCTTGATCTCATTGGACTGCATATTCGGGCCGTGGAGATAATGGCTGGAGACGCCCAAAAGCAGGGGCTTCTCTTCGCTGACACGGATCTTGTCGATTTTCTTCAAAACCTCTCTACATTTTGATTGGTCAGGATTTTCCAGGTACCTTGATTTTGATGTTGAACATCCATTCGCAGAAATTGCTCGGAGATGAGCAGGTAAAGTAGAGGAACATGTGAGGTTGAGGTTTTTCCGGTGGTCTCGCTACACTTGTATTTATAACACGCCAGTCTTCGTCAGGAATCACATAGACGGAAATTTGGCCGGTTCCTGGACAAATAATCAAAATTTAAGGCATTTATCTGAAAAATCACCTCCAGAGGTTTGATGTTAAAACTTGATAATTCTTTCCGAAGAGTACGGTATGTAATAGTCCGCATCTGGCGTGTGCGTGTTTGCATTTTGAGAGGTCCCATAAACGCATTTTTTATAGTTCTAAACTTTCTCGATAAAATTTAGGTCAAATTGGGGGAAAAAAAACGTGAAAATGTGCAAACACGCCAAGTGCACACGCCAAATTGCGGACTTTCACATACCGTACTCTTCGAAACAAGGAAAACTCGCCCCTGTCTTATTATCAGTCGACAATTTATGATAGCTAGGAGCAAAATTAATCAGGAAACCGCAAAAAATATGTATGGTCTTCTAAAAACTCTCAACAGAGCACACTTTCTCTCAATAAAAAGCTCATTTTCCTGAAAACTCACCAATGACCGAAAAAGAGTACTCAAGTGCAGGAGATCCATCAAAATCGGCTCTTTTCTTGGAAACCTGCAGGATTTTCGTCTTTTTCGGGAATTTCAGCTTTTCGGCCATTTTCTTCACCCGAATGTGTCTGAAAATCACGATTCCCTTGTCTAATTTCTGAATTCTTCAAACTTCTCTCGGATTCGATGTCGAGTGGGAAAATAATAAGGGACTTCACAATAGGGATTATTGGCGTAATGACAATCCAACATGGTATAATCTGAGGAAAAATTTCATTTTTAAAGGAAAAATCAAACTTTCATCATTCCTAACAAAGGGAATATCCTCAGCTCCACGGAAGTCGTGAGAAATCGCGTAGAAAACAGTTTCATTCGTATTTAGGCTACCATCTCGGTCATAGAACGCTTGGTTGACGTGCTATAAAATTTGATTTAAAAATGTTTTTCTTAAGAAAAATCCACAAAAAATTTTATTCAAACCCTACTTTACTGTTTCGAACCGGAAAATCTTCAACATATTCAAAAATTGATGATAAGCTTTTTGTCCAATCAGACTCAAATTTTGATATTTTATCAAATTTCTTAAAACCGCCCATTTATGGATTCTACCCCTAAAGTCTATGAGAATTTCTCAAAACCCATTTTTCTAATTTTTCAAAGTTAAAAAGTACCGCTTTTTACAAATTATACCCCTCAAAACTATAAAAATTCCAGAAGTTTTTGGTCTGTGCCCCTTAACTTTGCCAATTCCTCAAAAACCTGATTTTTCTGTATATTCTTTTTGTAAGCGCTGTTTTCTCCACCTCTCGAAGCTATGAAAAATCCTTAAAAACACGACTTTTCCCTTTTTTTTTTGAAAGTACCGTTTCCTACAGATTCCACCTCTCAAAGCTATGAAAATTTTCTCAAAAAACTCCATTTTTTTCATCGTTTGAAAGTACCGTTCTTTACAGATTCCATCCCTCGCAACTATAAAAAATCCATCAAAAACATTATTTTTTAATTGAAAGCACGTTTTTCTTCAGGATTTTACCCTTCAAGGCAATGAAAATCCATCAAAAACACAAGTTTTCAATCGAACTAAGAGTACCGTTTTTACAGATACTACCCCTCAAATCTATGAAATTTCCAGACTCTCCCTCCAAAAAACTCACGAAGAACTGTGTTCTTTTGGCAGTTGGGTACAGATCCGCGAAGTTATAGGGAGAAGGCCAAAGGGATGCGAAAACGTAGAGAATAGTCAGGGTCGAGAGAAGAACACCTCCAATAACGTAGGACAGGTTCAAAGGGGAGGCTTCTTCGATTGGCCGCCGATTTTCCGTCGAGGCAACAAGGCCGGCCTGGAAAAAGGGCGAAAATGAGGCTTTGAAGTTTTAGAACCGCTTTTCCATATTTTTAATTTTGAAACTAAACTTCCGTTCCTCTAGTAATGAACATTCGGTTTGGCAACTACGAAAGTTAGAAGGGGGTTTTTTGTTGGAAAGTTAGGCCTTGTTTTTCATTTGTAATTTGCGACCTTCATGTTAACTAGGAAGTTTATAAATATTCCATTTTTGATTCATTATATTTGGAGATCAAAAAATCTAAATCGTTTAAATTTTTTTCTTGCTTTATTGGATCAGTTTTCTTAAAAAAAGAAAATTTTGAAAAACCGGGTTTTTGTGTATTTGAAAGTTTATCACAGAAAGAAACTTTTTGAAGGTTTTTTTGAAATTTGAAGATTTGTCACGAAAAAAATTAAATTTTTCGAAGTAACCAGTTCAAGGAATGAGAAGTGAGAAAAAGAGGGGCGCAGACAGGTCAGAAGGGTTCAAATTGCGAAAAAAATTGGGTGCGAATTCCAGGAGACAAAAAGACTATTTTAGAGTTTCATATGTTCAAATTTCCCTCAAATCCAAATTTATCGTTATAATATTCTAAAATCTGAACAAAAATTTAATCGATATAGAGTTCCATGAATTTTTGTTGTTATTATCATCAACTAGAAGATCGACATCAACTTCGAAAAACAATAAAAATTTAAAAAGTCTCTAGAAAGACCAAATTTCGCCTATGAGGACAATTTTCGATCTTTTTGATTATAGATCGAGACATTGTTTATCCAAATCAGAAAAATTGAATAGAAGGACATATATAAAGTTCGTGGAACGTAGAGTTTCCTGGATATCATTCACAACAAAAAATCGTCATCAATTTTTGGAAAAACGTGAACTTTGCGAAAAAAATTTGTAATTAGGTCGGATTTCTAATGGTTGACTTAAAAACAGTCATAACTCGTTTCAGAAGGCATTTTTGACCAATCTGAAATTTATGATTTACTTTGAGAAATGAGAAAAAGCTATAGAATAGAATGAATGACCGACGTTGCTAATTTTTTTTTCAGGTCGAATTTTACTGATAAAATTCCATGGTTTCGAAAAATGTATGTGATTAGATAGTAGAAGGTGCACATAACAAAAATTTTTTCCCTAACTTTTTCAGAAGGTTTTTTTCCTAAGATTCTGGCGAAGCAGAAACTCAAAAATTTTCCTTCTGGTTATTTATTTAATTATTCAATTTATTCTAGATTTTCGGGCTCACTTTTGTCAAACGACAAGGTAACGGCTTCGGTTTCATTATCTTATAAAAAAATTAACTGGCTAAATTATGTGAACTAACTTCAGACGGCTAAAAAGACGAAAAAAACAATCATTTTAGTTTTGAGGAACTGTTTTGGAGGGTATATGTCAAAAGAGCTGCGAAAATCGAGCCACCTCACTGTTTGAGATAAAACTGCCAGCGAAAAATGGGCTGCCGAAGAAATTGCCAGGGAAAAATCAGCTGAGAGAAACGAGCTGCGAAAATTTCGCCCGCCGTTGGCAGGTTAATCGCGCGACTCTGCGCTCCATCGAGAACAGCAACCGAATTTCGTCCATTTCCGCGCATTAGTATCTTGAAATATAGTTTTTTTCTTGTTTTTATGTTAAAAAGATTTCAACTACATCGTTGGATTTTTGACAGCTATTTCTGAAATGTCAGAAAAAAACAGGACAAACATGCAGAATTGATTAAAAGTGATAGTAAAAATTATCTACATAGTTTTTTTCCGGAATTTCGCGTTAAAGGAACTATTTAAAATTTTATTTGCCCGTTGCGTATTGAAAATGATGAACATAACAAAATATCAGTTTATTACCTAAAGAAGAACAAAATGTAAGCATGACAGGGTTTTCCGATGAAAATTGTCTTCATCTCTCGTGAAGTTGTGGAACCAATACTCGAACTTCTCCTCTTCGCAAGATTTCAATCCACCCTGATTGCTTTTAAGCGTCCTGTAACTTTTTCTCATTATTTAAAAACGTTTTTTTCAGACTCTTATAGACTGACTTCGCCCGATTTCATTCGAAGCGGAAATTAAATAAAACTTTTCTGCACGAGATCACATCAAAATGAAACAAATATGGATGAAAACAAATAAGAGGCATGCTGGAGTGCGCGCTGTGCGCACTCTTTTCTCGTGCGCACGTAAGGAAAAATGCGCACTCTTTTTTTCAAATTTTGTACAGGAAATTGCGCGCTCTTTTCTAACATCAGGAAAAATGCGCACGGTTATCAAATTCCGCTCTTTTTCAAGATTGAAGTCCACATAAACCATCTCACTTTTTCTCTTTGTCATGAAGAAATCTTTCAGCTAAAGATGAATTGAACATCTTTTGATTATTTGATAATTTATGGAGAATATTTCTTATCAGGAAATGGTCTGCGGTCACTTCGAATGAGACCAGGTGTATTTTTTTGCAAAAGTGAGATGTTTTTTTTGAGACCAAGCTGATTCCAAGCTTGGTCTCAAAAGCTGCCGCGAAAAATCTGCTAAAAAAAGTGAGATGCTCTCAAAATATACAGATCTTTTCCATCTGATAACATTAAACAATACAGGGTGGAGGAATAATTACTGCGACAAAAGTTTTTTTAGCATTTGCCTCGCCGACCTGAGCTCATTTTTTTGTTCCAGTCATTATTCCTACCTTCATCAAGCCTTCTTCTATAATATGATGACCGCCGTGCCACGCTGACTTTCGAAAAGTCGTTTCTGCCTTTTGGGCGTTTATGGCAAAGCAGGCAGGCTTTGGCTATGAAGGCCTGAAGCCCCCTAGCCCTTGATTTTTTTAATTTCGAAAAAAAGCGCGGGCTCGGGCCAGAGATTCAAGAAACTTTTTTTATTTCATTAAAAAAATTTTCACCGAAAAAAATTATTTTTTTACATGTTTAATCACATTTTTTTAATAACTCAATGAAGAAAAAAATAAGCAAAAACCCCCGCTTTTCTCGTTAAAACAGCTAAAAATTTCGAAATGAAGAAAAATTTGATTATTCGATAAGGTCGCCCTGAAGCTCAGTTTGAACGTATTTTTTTAAGGTTTCGATTCTCGAAATTGATAACGATTCACGTCTATGTAAGCCTGTCAATTGACAGGAATCGAAAAAAATTGAAGGAATTTTTTTCCGAAAAAAATAGACATGTGTCTCTACTTGGCACGCTGTTTGATGCTCTTCATAGGCGAATCGAGAAAGGTTATCGCGAGACCCTCTGAGGCATATCGCAGGGTCTGAAGCCTATCGATGGTAACCCTGAGTATACCTCTGAGGACTTTGAGCAAAATGAGATAGACTTGAGGGAGACTCTAAAGTACCTCCGAGATAGCTCTGATATAGCTAAAAAGGTATGCTGGAGGTCTCACGATGGACACATTATGGGGCCTTCACGATCCATTTTGAGAGGAATTTTTTGTGGAAAAATAAAGGTGCCCTTCTGATTCGTCTGTGTTTGTACAGACAAAAAAAAAGTACATCATCGAAGCTCTCAAGAACGGTCAAAACCCCAGAGTATTTGCAGCAACACTCACTGTTGCTAATATTAATGATTGGGCTATTTTTACTATTCTATCATCCGAAATACGCTATTTTGCTTGAAACTTCGTAAAACGGCAAAACTCAGCTTTTTTTCTGAGTCTCTGTAAGAGATGAGGTCAACTCAGAGAGCAGTAAACAAAAACAATTTGAAAGGTGTGTACCTTTTTTTCTCAGTACCTTATGGGGTTTAGCAGATAGTATTGCCTGTTTTTGGCACTTTTACTTACTAGGGAACTACTCGGACTCGGGTACGCGGATCGAATTCAAACTTTAGTGGTTTATAGACCTATGGGAACACTTGAAAAACAAGTGAGAATATCTGCTAAACCCAATAGAGAACTGAGAAAAAGTTATTAGAAAATGTGAAAAATTAGACCTGAAAAATTTTCAGAATACTGCTTTTTTTACCTTATTTAATATTTTAATAAAATCGCCTTGAATGATCCGGCTATGATAAACACTAAAAAAACTTTTTTTCCAGCCAAAAAGAAGGATGAAAGCAAAAAAATTTGATAGTTTTCAAGCCTAAACTGTTCATTTTCAAAAAAAGCTTTTTTTCTCAGAAGCCTATAGGGTTTAGCATATAAACTCTCTTGTTTCCAAGTACTTTTACCCGGGTCTATAAGCCACCAAAGTTTTAACTCGATCCTTGAATGCGAGTTCGCGTAGTTCTCTAGTCAGCTCAAAGCCAATTTTCGAGTCCTTATCGTAAGGTCTTATCCGGTTAGAAGAATGGAGTCTTGTTCTTTTTTTCTGTTATCCCATTGACTCCAAAAATTTTTTTGAGAAACTTCAATGTGCCTCTTGTAACAGTACACACCAGTTTGCCTACTGACTTTTTGGGCCGTTCTGCTCAAAAAAACAAAAAAACTGATTTTCGACCATCTGCGTACCGCAGTCAATTGGGTGCCACTACATTTTCGAGCGGCAGTTCATGTTAATTTTTTTGATTAAATCCCTGTAAAACTTTATAAAAAAATAATTGTGAGTTCCCGGTCTTTATTGACTATTGACAATTGACATATTGACAGCTCCTTCATTTTGTCGCAGTAATAATTCATCACCCTGTAAATTTTCTTCAGAAATATTTTGAGCCTCGTAAGGTCCTTTTTCTGATTTGTATTTCACATATTTCCCTTTTATAATATAGTTTGTCCATATTTTGAGTTTCAAGCAGCAATCTCTGCCCCAAACAAAGCCTGTGAGTGGCTCTGTTCTCTGATTGGTTTGATCTACACATAAGAGGCGGAGTTCGACCGATGACTTGATATTCAAATTCTGAACAAACTATAAACGCCGACTTTGGCTTTCTTCGGAAAAATAACATTACAAAAATTTAAAAAAACACATTATCACGTGAAGGGTAATCAGTCTGACCAGTCTAGTGACCGCCTGGTATTATTATTGAAAAAAAGATGAATGCTGAAAAAAATCAGTTATATAAACTTCAAATAATCCGAAAGGACAAGATTTGATAACCGTGCGCATTTTCCTGTTGTTAGAAAGAGAGCGCAATTTCCTGTACAAAAATTTGAAAAAAAGAGTGCGCATTTTTCCTTACGTGCGCATCGAGAAAAGAGTGCGCACAGCGCGCACTTTCCAGCATGCCCAAATAAGAAACAATAAAAAAATAATGAAAAAATTACTTAAATTTCGAAACCTGTCTTCGGCGCGTTATCAGTGGAGCGCGATATGTAGTCAACAATTTTGCCAACGGTGGGCGAAATTTTCGCAGCTCGCTTTTCGCTTGCAGTTTTTTCGCTGGCAATTTTTTCTTCAGCTCACTTTTCTTAGCTCCATTTTCGCAGCTCTTTTGACATATACCCGTTTTGGAGTCAATCGAAAGTTTTTTTCGAACTGGAAAAATAATAAAAAAATTACAGATCTATTTTTAAAAAAAGGATTGTTCAACAGAAAATGGAAAAAAAAAATATAAATGACTGAAAAAAACTGAAAAAGAATGTCCTAATGATTGTGAGGCCGTATTTCACAAATCCAAAGCACGGCCTAACTTTCCAAAAAATTACCGTGGCTTTCTTAGTCGCTGTTTAAATTAAAAATATCGAAAATCCTACCATTTTTAGTCATAAGATTTAAAAAAAAACCCTTTTTTTCTAATAGAAACCCACCAAGGAGAGGACCAGGACGAACGCTGAGAATCCAACAAAAATCGCGACGATCGGCTCCGGATTCCCGGAAGTTCGGCCCATAATTGGGATAAAAATCGACAACAGCATTTCCGAAGTGTAAATGCACATGGCGACGCCGGGAAGGGACAGCAAAATGGTCAAAATCACGTTTTTCCAGGCATCTGAGCGGGAAAATGACATTTTTTTTTTGAGGTTTAATTTTTTTTTGTATCGAACAAAATTACCGATTTCGTGCTCAGTTTTCATGATATTTTACTATAAACTTATGATCTTTTCTAGATTTTTTCGATGTTAATATTGATTCTGGTTCAAATTTCATGCAGACAAATCTAAAAAAAATTGATATACCGATAAAAATTCACTATAACTTCGTTTTTCTTAATAAAAAGCTCTTCATAAGGCATTGAGGTACTGGAAAACACTCCAGTGGCCGCTCAAGAGGTTCCTAAAGGACTACTTAGAGAGGACACTAAAGTGGTCACTAAAACGACCTTTAAAAAATCCACTATTTTGCGTCTTAGTGGCCACTACAGTAGTTTTTAGTGATCTATTAGTACTTCTAAGGCTCCTAAAGATGTCACTATATTTAAATCACTCAAGTGGCCACTAATTAAACTTCTACAGTGACCACTAGAAAGTCAAAACTCTAAAGTGACCACTATAAAAGCCACTATTTTGCGTCATAGTGGCTACTACAGTAGTTTTTAGTGACCTAGTAGAACCCTTTGAGCTCCTAAAAAGGCGACTAAAGTGGCCACTAACTCGACTTCTATAGCGGTCACTCAAACGTCAAAACCCTAAAGTCGCCCCTAAATATCCAGAAAAAATCGAAGTTTGCATGAAAGTCTGCATTTTAAGCAATCAGCTCTCAATCGGTAACTTCGCACCACCCATTCTCTTGATACTTCTTGATGTCTGTTTCAGGAGAAGCTGCTTGAGGACAGGGATCAGCTGCAGGCCGAACAAGAACCCGCTGGCGACGTTGTTGTAGATGAACACGAAGTGAATCGCCGCGATGACCGTCAAATGGACGGTTTCGATGGCGGCTGCGAAGCTCTGTACATATAGTATTTAATTATACCAGAAACTAGACCTATTACTATAAAAAAAGTACTCAGGGACACCATACTCTGACCCCCAGGCGCCAGCTATCCGCCAGAAAAAGTCATTTCGCGAGCTCGCGCCCATCAAACTTGTGGCGATTTCCTGGCGATTCTCTGGCGACATAACCAATAGCGCGAATTTGCTTTTATTACTGTATTTTATATTTCGATCTAAAATTTTGGGACTCGCGTTTTTTGTCTTTTTGTTTTTCTATTTGATTTTTTGCTGATTTCACGATTTTTCAGTGTTCGTTTCCTGTTTTGTCCAAACTAGGGCAAAGGGTTGGTAAATAAGAAAATTCGAATTATTTTCTCGATTTAGTTTCGTGGATGATCAACCGCTCTAAAAGCTTAATGTTTTCATGCTGAACTTCTCTTTCCGTGAGGCTGAAAGAACGACTCCAGTTTAATTAGTAAGTGCTTTCTACTTTTTTCCTCAACTGCTTCCTTCAGAAAAAAAGCATCGTCAGGAAGTCCCCGTTACGGCTGAAGAATGTTTTTTTTCCTCTGACTTGTAAGTTTTGGATTTCATGTAAAGTACTTCATCGATATATTTTCGATCTCACCCGACGGCGTCATGATGTTCATTGCAAATGGATAACGATGTTTGACCAAAAATACGGAGAAGGGGTTCGACGCAAAATGTCCGCGAAATTTTTCAAGTTTTTATATTTGTAAACTTTACACGTTCATCAACTTTATGAGCCTCAAAAATATCTTGATGCACCCAAATTATTGTATTTTTGTGTCCGCCGTAAAAATTCAGCTTTAAAAAAACAGCTTATATATTTTAGCCTCAAAAATATTACTCGGATTTGTCATGCTCGCGAAATTCGGCTGACGAGTAGAGTTTTCGAAGCAGTTTTTTTCGGACTTGAAAATACGTTTCGTAGTTTGCTTTGAAAAGGGGCTGATAAATTTGAAGAACCGTGTTGTATCACTGCACAACAAAAATGTAATGCCTTGATCATAATTGTGAACAATCAGAATCTCTTCGCACTATTTTTCTTTATTTTGTGGCCATTTGAAGTAAAGTGATAAATGGCTCAAAGTTTTCTTCACGAGTAAAAAATTTTCCTCTTTTCAAAAAACTTTGTATACGAGTCTTCTGTTTAATTCTCTATAAACTAATTTCAAAAACTTAAAAAAATTGACTGCTCGTTGATATCACTTCTTAAATGCGCTGGAGCTTCAAAAATTTCTCTTCTTTTTTTGGTATTTTGAAGCAACAAATAACTCTTTGCATATTATCGAAAATTAAAAAAATTTTTAGATTATAAAATTTTTTTGGGTTTACGAGCAGTCAGCTTCAAGTTTCCTTTGTTTCTTCGGAATTTTTTGGCTTACATTTTTCCAAGATGTATTGTTTGGTAAAGTTTTTGATGTTCTGTTATTATGATCTTTTTCGAATCGAAAGATATTGTTTTAAATTAAGTTGTAAACTTTGCAAGCGTTTCCTTCTTACATCTCATTTTTCAAGTTCTCTTCATGTTTGATTTTATACGTTGATTTTATTTCCATTAAATTTTGTATTTGTGAAAATAATAAAAGTTGATGAAATATATTTTTAGTATAAAAAAATAACAATATTGGAGGAAGGGAAATGATTAAAAAAGGGGAACCTGCGCGCTATAGATAACCCTGGCGAATTTCTGGCGCGTTTTTCGCCAGCTCGCCGCGATATGGCGCGCCAGCTCGCGAAAGACGGGGCGCGCGCTGGCGAAAGATTGGCGGAAAGCTGGCGACTGGGGTCAGAGTATGGGTCCCTATAGGGTTCCGGCAGAAAAATCAGCTTCTATAGGGGGAAAATGAGCCTGTATATCATGGTAAGACCTAGGTGGCCCCTAGAGGGATTTAGTTTCGACCCCTAGAGCTCAAGTGGTCCCTACAGGGGTCTTTTGTGACACATTGAAAGCGAAAAAACTTAGACTGAAAAAAAACTTGATCGATTAATCCTCTAATGGTACTATTTGATTCAAATAACGCCAATTTATCAACTTTTCGAATAAAAATGCTTCTTTTCATAGATTCATATTATTAAACGATTATCTTGTCCCTAAAGAGGCCACTTCTGCAAGCTTTGAAGGAACGTAAAGTGGTCCCTCTAGGGGGCCTTCAAGGGCTCCTAAGGTTGCCCCTGTAGGGACCACTATGGCCTTCCTAAGGGAAGCTGTGATATAGGGGGCCACTAGCTGAACCCCTATACTTTTTCCGAGCTTAAGTGACCCCTGTAGGGGGAGATAAAGGGGCCCCTAGGGGTCACTTAAGCTATAACATTCCAGATCTCTTTTCAAAGGGAAGAGAAGCTTCCAGAAGAATCAAGATAGTTTTTTTAAAAGTCATACTTTTTCAGTCCCCTATCAATCAATTTTTGACTCTTCCCCCATTTTTTTCCACGAAACCTACCTTTCTCTGAAAGACGGGTACCCTAGCCGTGAGCAGGGCCAAGGTGGTGAGTCCAGCCCAAAGACTGGGCAGTCCGTAGGCGACGACCGCCAGCCAATGGCGGGTGTACCATCGGAGAGCCCCGTAGGTGAAGACGCTCATCAATGTCATCACAAACGTCACCAGAGTCATGACGGTTACAGTAATCACGTAGTTTCTGACGGCAATGAGATACACGGATTCTGGAATTTTCGAAAAAGTAGGAATTCGCCGACTTGGAAAAGTCTGTCTTGTCTGGACCCTCTTTTCTCTCACCAAAGCTGCTGGTGAGTGAAAAGAGGGTCCAGACAGGTCAGAAAAAAATTTGAAAATCTGACATTTTTCTCTATCTTTATCACGTTCATGAGCTATTTTCATACTCTCATAACCCTGCTGGTGAGAGAAAAGAGGGCGCAGACAGGTCAGAGAAAAAAGCCTATAAAATACTATTCGCCAAAATTTGGGGAAATCTTTTTCTCTGCTCTCTCTCTTGTTTACTTGCTATTTCCACCGTTTACGGCATCCCTGATGAGAAAGAGGAGAGTGCAGACAGGTCAGAGAAAAAAAAGCCTACAAAATACTATTCGCCACAATTCGGAGAAATCTTTTTTCTCTGCTCTCTCTCTTGTTTACGTGCTATTTCCACCGTTCTACGGCTTCGCTGATGAGAGAAAAGAGAGCGCAGACAGGTCAGAGAAAAAAAACCTATAAAATACTCCATTCGCCAAAATTTGGGGAAATCTGATTTCTCTGCTCTCTCTCTCTCTCTTGTTTACTTGCTATTTGCACCGTTTTCGGCATCTCTTATGAGATAGAAGAGGGCGCAGACAGGTCAGAGAAAAGTGGAAAAACCATAAAATACTCCAATCGGCTTGAAAAAATCTGATTTCTCTGCGCACTCCTATTTCTTACATGCGATTTCCCAGTTTCTATGACCTCGTCTGTGAGGGAAAAGAGGGCGCAGACAGGTCAAAGAAAAACAAGAACGCCATTAAAATACTCGATTCGCCATTGTTTGATAATGAGTGAAGTTTTGGAAAGTAATCGATAGTTTTAATGTGAATTTTTCAAGATTGACCCTGATTTTTCAGTTTCACAGTTGATTTTTAATGACAATTTTTTTCAAAAATAATACGTTATGAGTTCATTTACGTACGAAAAATTTTTAAAAAAAGCGATTTCTTGAGGGGAAAATTAAAAAATCAGTTTTTCTGGAATTTTTCAAGAGTTACTGGAATTTATTTCTATCATTACCTAAAGAAAATTATCAGAAAAGTGTTGGAAAAATCAGCAAATTTTCAAAAATTCGAAGCTTTTTCCGGTCTACAAATGTTGCTATAAGCTACCTCAACCTAATTTCCATTTTTCTGTATTATTTCAAAAATCAAAAAAAACCAACTCTCCACAGTCGCCTTCCACAAAAACGACCCGAAAATGTACAAAATAACCAATAAACCAATGGAATTCGCCAGGGAAAGTGGATAAATCACAACGAATAGACCTGAATTTCATGATAATTTTGGGATATTGGCCTGAAAAACCCAAGAAATCGAAGAAAAACCGTCTTCCGGTCTGCATATTCTGAAGACTGGGTTAGATAGGGCGATTCCAAGACGTGGTTCAACGTGGCGAAAAACGTTTTCGCCTGCAAAATTTTGAATAAAACCAATTTTCAGATGATAAAAAAAGCCTTATTAATCATTCTCTTCAAAAATATTGATCAAAAAGAATGTAAAAAGATTTTTTCGAAATAATTCCTATAAATTTTTTTCTTAATCTAAATTATAAAAAAACAGTAAAAAAAGGTAGAACGTCAATTTTTTTAAATTAAAAAAATGAGGTTAGTAGCCTAAAAAAATAGAGAAATTTCGAAAATTTGTTTCAAAATTACTAGAATTTTCTAGAAATACAAACTAAAAAAACCTTTGCATGCTAATAATCATTACAATTTGATTTTTGAATAAATCTAATTTTTGAAGCCGAAAAAGCCAGCATAATTTTTTTGATAAAAAAAGCCGAAAAATAATTGAATAAGGCATTATTTTAATTGAAAAATCCTTACAGCCGGAGTCCTTGATTTGACCATATTTCTATTAAAAAAATCATAGACAGAAGGTCATTTGATATATAAAATCATAGCTATATACATTATAAAGTCAGGATCCCCCTCAAAAAAATAAAGGGGGTCCTTTTTATCCATCCTTAAAGATCGCCTAAGGCGAAATGACTCATAGTCTGTTCATATTTTGAACGTCAAGCAAAAATGACATCATTCGGAAAGGCTCTATGATTGGTTCGATCTACGCATAAGGGGGCGGAGTTTGAGGTTTGACTTGACGTTCAAAATCTGAACAGACTATTTCTTTTTCTATGCTTTTGATGATTATATTTTCTTCTTCTTCGAAAATAATTCACCAGCCCTCTGCAGACTTCCCGGCATGATTCTCTTGGCCTCGTCAAACTCCGTGTGCCACCAATAGCCGTGCTGGACGAATGCCAAATCGAGCCCTGATTTTCCCATTCTTTTCTGTTTATTTGAGTTCAAAGACCTGGAATCCTTCCATGATCGCGGAAAATGCGAAAATCCGTATCACCCGGGTAAACTCCGCTTTGGAAGACCTGAGAAAATCTTTAAATCAGCACCTCTGAAAACTTCGAGTGACCACTTAAGGGGTTCTTTAAGGACTACATAGAGAGGACACTAAAGTGGCCACTAAACCACCCTCATATAAGCCACTTTTTTGCGTCTTAGTGGTCACTTAAGTAGTTTTTACAGGACTAGTAGTACCACCTAGACTTCTAAAGAGGTCACTAAACTTTAATCACTTAAGGGGCCTCTAATTCGACTACTATAGTGGTCTCCAAAACGTCAAAACCCTAAAGTGGTCACTAAAATTCCCTTGATCACAAAAATGCTTTTCCTGCCTTGTAAAAAGACATGGGGCTTTACAAATTCCAAAAAAAAACCCTTTTTTCATAAATTACAGATTTTATTGATCCATGGCTCTACTAAAAGAAAAAATTCCACAGATTTTGGAAAAATAATAAATTCAGAAGACTCACAAGACTACTCCTACAAGCTCAAATAAAAAAACTCGAGGAAAGTTTTGAAAGATTCCAAAAACCTCTTGTCCAAGGACACTACAATGCGGATGTACAGCAGCTTCTAGGTAAGAATTCAGAAGCCATTCATTTGCGGGACCTGAAAAATTGGTTCCAAAACAAATTAGTTGATTCACTTCAGTCATCATTAAAAGGGTCCTGACACGATTTAAAAAAAAAATAGAGATCGCTTATTTGGTGGAGAGTGCAGACAGGCCACGCCCCCTTCCCAAGTTAGGCATGAATCGGCTCTAATTTCATGTTTATTTGAGAATTTTTGCAAGAGAGAGAAAAATTGGGATCGCCAGAGTGGCCACTTCAGGGCTTAGAGGGAAAATCCCAGAAGGTTAAAATAAAAGCGGTCTCTATAGGGGTTTTGGATGTGATCCCTAAGCCGCTAAAGCTTGAGTGCTCACTTTAGTGATATTTCAGTTGTTTTCTAAGGAAGTCCCTCGAGGGGGGCCCCTTTAGTGGCCACTCTGACTTTGTCAAAAAAACAGTTATTCAGAATTTTTCGCTGTGAGACCCAAAAAAAGTTTTTCGACTGAAATATTACAGAGTTTTTTTAACAATTTTGATCGAAAAAAATGACGAAAAGGTGAAGATTTTGAACATTTCGATTTCGAAACAAACCAGCTTGGAAAAGCAATTCCCTTCCTCCACTTCCACTGGCTTCCAAATTGATAAAAGCTCTAATTTCGTGTCTCCAAGCGTGTTGAGTGATGAATCCGTGGGCCGCCTAAAAATGAAGAAATAAGTTCAGAGTGTAGAAAAAATCCGCCGGTCTGCAATGCGCCGTCGGGTGTATGCAGACACCGTTTCTCTTTTCGTTTTTTTACTGTACTGCGCGCATGTAATTCAAAAAATTTTTGATAAATGTGTATTATAAAAAAATAATTTACAATGATAAAAAAAGTGGAAAAAAAGTAAGAGTTCAAAAACAACGGCGTCTGCATACACGCGACGGCGCATTGCGGACTGTCGGATTTTTTTATATTTTAAATAATAAATTTCCAAAAAAATCACCAGCAAACTGGACTCTTCAGCGCCATTGAACAAAAAGATGACGTCTTGTTTGAGAAATCGGGGATTTTTTTCGAATAAATTCGGATTAGTTCTAGCATCAGGGCGCAGGAGCTCAAATCGTCAGACCCGGCTGAAAAATGATTAATTTTTTTCGATTGAAAAATTGGAAGAAAAAAATTTTTTTAATTCGAAAAATCGACCGTACTTTAAAAAAGTCCGTAATTGGGAACTATTCAAAAACAGTCACTAAAATGACCGTTTTTTTAAAGATTTTCCTCAAAAATTTATAGTAAAATCAAGATTTTCAAAGCTTTGGTCAAAGTACTTAGTGGGTACAACTATTGAAAAGCGCGCTAAAAAAATTTTTGAAAAATGATAATTCCAAACTACCGCATTTTAAAAGAGTCCGTACATCGAAACGACCTTAAAAACCACAAAAATAATTATCTTCTCAAGATTTATCGAAAAAATGCCGTAAAACTGAGTTTTTTGAAGCTTTGGCCAATGGAACAACTGTGTTTAAATTCACAAAAAAAGTGGATTTTTTTGGAAAAATGAGTCCAAACTACCGAACTTTAAAAAGAGTCCGTTCATATGTCCTGAAATGGTGATTTATGCAAAAGTTACCAAGTTCGTAGGTCGAAAAAAAATGAAAAAAAAAAAAGATTTTCTTTTTTTTAAAATCAAAAAACAAACCGCTACTAGTCGGCCAACTATCATAATGGCAATTTAAAAGCACAGCGACCCGATTTAAATCCGTATTTTCCCGCTTTCCAAGCCTCGCGATGACATTGGAAACCTTAAAAAAAATCACATTTTTAATAAATAATTAATCGATAAAAATCCACATTTCGATAACAAATCGAAAATCCGTCGGTATCATGGCTTGGAATATCGAAACAGCCGTCGACATATTGGGTATCGATTTCGAATTTCACACCATTTTGAGAAGGTTTCAAAGCAGTTTTGATGTCCCTTAAATTAAAATGAATTTGAATTCTGCTAAAATTAAAAAACCCACTCAATTTCCTTCAAAATCCGATTCCTGGTCAACTCTTCACAGTTGTAAGAACCAGCCGGTTTCCAGCCGAAATCCGATAATTCGTGTAAAATATCCATGGCTCGGATTTCAGAAAACTGCGTGTCATCTGGTGAAAATTGGGAAAGAAAATTAGAAAAACCAGAAATGAATAAGTTTCGTCAAAAATTTAGCGAGTTTCAGGCTTCTTCTTCAAAATTTTTTGTTAAACTGTTGACATATCGCGATTGAAAATTGAGAATATGGTATTTAAAAAAATCCGTATTGCAATACGCGATGTTCCTAAGAAAAAAGGTAAAATGACGAAATTTGAAAAATTTTTTTAAAAAAACATTTTTTTATTTGTGAAAATCCTCGAAAAAACAGCGATCACCTTCAAAAAAACTCTCTGAAGCTAACGAAACCGACTCTACTTCAACAACTATATAATGATAAAAAGACTGAAAACCAAAGTTAAATTTAAAAAATAGGATACGCAGTGAAAATCATTAACTGTCGTAAGATCAAATGCTTAATGTGCATTCAAGCCAAGACGTGTTTGCAGATTGCGTGCTTCACGAAAATTTATTCGTTTTTAATGAATTTCCCACCTTTATTAGGTGGTTTAGGCGTCGGTAGACTCGTGTGAAGTCGCACTGAAACAACGAGAAGCAGGAAAAATACGAAAAATACAAAAATCCAGTGTTCCGACGATAATAAGCTCGAATCTTTCGGTTTCACATCATCAATCAAATCCGTTTTTTCTTCATTCTCGCTCTTTTTCAATCTCTCTCGATTTCTCTGTCGAACGATACCCGACATACTGAAAAACTATCAGTGTACATTAATTGAAATAAAGCAAAATGCGGAGAAAATATAAAAAGACTTGATATTGCAATGGCGAAAATTGACATGGGGACGAAGGGCAAAATGATGATAGGACGGTTTACAGGCATGAAAATAGTGTGGGGAAGCGAGAGAGCGTTGAGAGAAATGAGCCGTTGGCCTTGGAGCGGAGAAAATATATTGAAATTGCTTGACCATCGGCTTAAAAATGTGCAATTTTCGGAGGAAAAAAAATGATGGCCTATAAAAAGAACAAGCCGCGACGCAAGAAATGATGCGTAGCGGTTTTTTTCTGAAGTTCAAAAATGTTTCTTTCTCGTTTAACAAAAAAAATAAAGGAACGTTAGTAATCTAAAAATCATGAATTAAAGCAGATTTCTGTAAATGACGTCAAATTTTATTAAAATTTCAGAATTTCAGCTTTTTCTTGTTCAAGGAAAGAAGTAACATCGCCAAAGCAACTAAACTTGGAATTTTTCGATTATTTTAGCCTTCATTGACGTCAGGACGGACAAGTAATCCGAACAAGAACTGAAAATTCAAAGAGCAATCATGACGTCAATAAAGCAGATGCGTGAAGAGCTCAATGACGTCATCTGATGACGTCAAGGGAGCAACTGGAAGAAGTCAGGTAAGATTTTCAGCTTCAAAAGTTTACCGGGACTGTATTTTCCCATTTTGGTATGACGTCATCAAAGCAGAAGCAACTAATGACGTCATTTTTCTACCAAGCAAGTCAGAGGAAGACCTTTTAAAAGATTTCAAAATGCAAGATAAAATCCAAAATTGGCCTGTGGATAACTTCTTATTCGATGACGTCATCAATTTGTATTTCATGACGTCATATTTTTTCTGATGAGCCAAGCAGCAGAAGCGAGCCAAGCAAGTGCTAAGACTTCCAAAACTGATCCTAAAATTGAGTTTTTTCTTTTCAATGACGTCACCAAAGCAGCAAGAGCAAGTGATGACGTCCTTTTTATACCTAGCAAATCAGATGACGAATTATCATGAGGTCTCAAAATACAAGCACGAAATCCGAAATTGATTCTGACGGTAAGCTTGATCCGATGACGTCATACTTTCTAATGAGCCAAGCAACAGAAGAAACTCAGGCATGAGCTGAAACTTCTAAAACTGATCTTTAAAATGTCGTTACTAAAGTTGCAGAAACAATTAATGACGTCATTTTTTTTTACACACTAAGACGAAAACTTCTCATAAGGTCTTTTTTCGGTCCGAAAAGCAAATCCTTATCCGATGACGTCACTAATTGGCTTTTATGACGTCATATTTTACCTAACGAGCAGTGCAACATAAGCAAGTCAAGCATGAGCTGAAACCTTTAAAAACTGACGTCACTAAAGCAAAAACACCTCGTTATGACGTCATCCATTATTCTGATGTCATCAAAGCAACATATATAAGGCAAGACGCATTTATTCTCATGCTGATGAATGAAAGGACGAAGATCATGCGGAAAGTTGGTCGTTGGCTCGGGACAAAGCTTAGAGCTTCTTCTGTTGGTTGTTCAGGAGGGTCGAGGAGGCCTGCTGAGGCTGCTGCTGCTGTTGGCCGTTGCCCTGAAGTTCATGATTTGTTAGGAAGTTCGAATTATTGAAAATCTCAGTAAGGTCCTAGAAAGCTTCTGAGCTGATAAGAAAAATTAGACTTGATATTAACGCTCTTCGAACTTAGGAACGACAGAGTGCTCCCTTGAGGGGTCAGGGTAAAAACAGCCCCTAGAGGGGTCAAACAGTAGCCTCTAAAGGGGTAAAGTTTAGGTGGTCCCTAGAGGGGTGAGGGCCTTCTATAGCTGATTCAAGCCATCGAAAAACGGGTCCTGACACGATAATGCCCGAGATAGCGCCTGGCTCGTGGAGAGCGCAGACAGGACACGCCCCCTTAGCGTCCCAAGCTAGCCGTGAATCAGCTATAAAGCTCAAGCGGTCCCTATAGGGGTCTATAAACTTTTCCAATGTTGCTTCTAAAGTGGTCCCTGTAGGGAGAGGTAGAGTGAACCCTAGAGGGGAACTTTAAGGCGCCCCTTTAGGGAGCACTCTGGAGTTCCTAAGTGGATAGAAGTCTACGTAAAACTTTGCGGAAATTCCTAATTTTAGAGAAACTTTCAAGTAGAGCCAAACATTTTTAATAAAACACCATCAGGAGATCTAAATTGAGAGATCATAAATCTTGAAAAAATCTTCTGAACAAGCTTTCAAGAGATCTATGGAGCCCCTGACAAACCTTGTTGGATCCCCATCCGGCGTAGTAGGCTGGGTACGCAGCGGCTCCGTAGTACGCGGGGTAGGCGTAAGCTCCGCCGTAGTAGGCGGCCGGATAGGCGGCTTCGTAGGCCGGGTAGGCGTACTGGGCCTGGCTGGTCAGGGCCATGGCGGCGACGAGGGCGACGAAGAGCCTGGAAATATGGTTCGGTCACGTTTTTCTTGGTTTTCTTGTTATTCTCGAGCTTCTGAGAAGTCCTAAAAGTGCTTAAAAATAAGTAAAACAGCTCAGGAACATTTAGAAATGTTTCAAAAAAATTAGAAAAAAATTAAGAAATTCCATAATTTCCCACACAGACTGGACGGTTTTTTTGAGCGCTTAGGATGAATTTTGAACTCTTAAAATTGATCCTGGACCCTTTAAAAAAATTATAATTTTGATTGAATCCAACGAAAGGCTTCAGAAATTTGGTTAAAAAAATTTTTGTAGTGTCCTAAACAGACTCTAGAGGGTTTTAAGATCACTTAGGATGATTTTTAAACTCTTAAACTTGATCCTGGACCCTTTAAAAAGTTATAATTTCAATTTAATCCAACGAAAAAAATTCGAAAAAGTTTTTTTAGTGTCCTTAACAGGCTCTAGACAATCTTGGGATCACTTAGGATGATTTTTAAACTCTTAAAATTGATCCTGAACCTTGAAAAAGCCAGAAATTTTATTTTATTTACCAAAAACTCCGTTCAAAACGTCCTAAACAGACTCTAGACCGTTTAAGATCACTTAGGATGGATTTTTTTAACTCTTTAACTTACTCCTGAACCCTTTAAAAAGTCAGAAATTTAATTTCATTCACCAAAAGCTTCGCTTTCAAAATCCCAGACAGACTCTAGACTGTTTTCAGATACTCAGAACGGGTTAAAAAAATTTCAAACTTCAACAATATTTTTCAAAAAAATATTTTCTTCAACAAAAAAACTCACATCTTGGCGAACATGTTGAACGGAAGGTTGGAAGAAGCTGAGCGAGCAGTACTCCGTCGAAACTTCCCACCATTTTATACCTCGGAAAGAAGCCGGTTCTGTCAAATAATTGTGTGCAAACTCGGGATTTTTTTCGATCGCTAAAGAAATTTTTAGCGCCTTCAGCAGTACTACGCAAATATGCGGCGGTCTTTGACGGGAAGTTGAGTCAATAAATGAACTTTTCTGATGGGCAAAGGGAGAATAAATAGTGCCGTGATGCTTTGAATAGGTCTTCTTTCGAAAAAGAGTTTATTTGAAAGAAGGCCTAGACCAAACTAAACCCAAAAACTGGCTTTAAAATGATCTCGGTTTTAAAAACTCAAAAAAAAAAAACGGGAAGATTTTTAGTGGCCATTATAGGGGTTTGACGGTTTAGTGGCCATTATAATAGTCAAATTAGTGGCCACTTAAGGGATTAAAAATTCGTGGCCACTATAGAGGTCTTATTTCTACTACTAGACCACTAAGTGGCCACTTTACGGGTCAATGGATCAACATAACAGGTCCAATCTGTTTGCTTTAAAATTATCAAAGTTACTACTGGATGACAAACTACTGAAGTGGCCACTTAAACGAAAAATAGTGCCACTATAGGGTTTTGACGTTTCAGTGGCCACTGTAGCAGTCAAATTAGTGGCCACTTCAGGGGTTGGAAATTAGTGGCCACTATAAGGCCTAAGTGCTACTACTCGACCATTAAAAATTTTAGTGGCCACTTTAGGGGTCAATTGATCAACATAACTGGTCCCATTTGTTTGTTTTGAAATTATCAGAGTTACTGGAAGGAATACTGGATGAAAAACTACTGAAGTGGCCACTAAAACGGAAAACAGTGGCCACTATAGAGGTGAATTTAGTGTCCACTTTAGTGTCCTCTCCAAGTAGTCCTTGGCGAGCCTCTATAGTGGCCACTAGAGTTTTTCCCAGTAATGCTAGGATCATTCTAAAGAGATTCCATGTTTTTTTGAAGGTTTCTGGCCCCTTAAGAGGCCACTTTTCGGAAACTTTTTTCAAATTTTACTCTTTTTCATATCAATTTTCATAAACAATTATTCAAAAAAATCACAGAAAAAAAGACAATTTTTTTCAAAAATTAAGAAGCTTCAGATAAAATTTACTGTTGTATTTTTTTCAAAAAAATCTGAAAAATTTCCTTTAAAATTGTCCGAAAAAAACCTCAAGTGGCCACTTTCTTAAGTATCAAACTTGGATTGAAATAGTCAAAATCAACGGATTTCTTGAATTAAAAATAAATTGAAACAACTCTTTTTGATAGGAAAAAAACTCATTTTTTTGTATTTTAAACTTCCTGCGAAGCCCCTAAAATAGCCACTTTTCCGATATCCAATTTTTTTAAATCTCACTTTTTTTCAAAATCAAAGCAAAAACCCTAAAGTGGCCACTTTTCCAGGCATAAAATTCATCTTTAAATGACAAGAATCGACGGAATTCCTTCCAAACTTCACAAAAACCGTAGCTCCAATAATTTTCAAACATTTTATTGAAAACCAGGAAAAAACATGAAATCACAAAAAATGAGACAAAAAAAAACGAATGCCTAGAAAATTATCAAGGAAAAATTGAACAACTAGCAAAAAAGAGAAGAAAAAACCAGCAAGAAAAAAGACGAATCAGACAAAAAAGTGGAAAAAATGAGAAGAAAGAGCTTCAGGGAGTGATCATCAAATTTTTACAAACAAGCGACAAAAAATAAATAAATAACGAGAAATGAAGAAATACCAGGATTTGTCAGACTCGGCATTGCACGAAAAAAATAGGAAAGAGAGAATTTTTTTAATATAAAAAAATTGTTGGAAATTGGCAGTTTTTTTAATTGCCGCACACAGTACGATCCTACTAGCGTCCAGGCGTCACACCAAAATTGGATTATTATTTTTTTCAAGAAATGTACAGGCGAATTTGAGCTACAGTAATCCAAAAAGGGTGTTCGCGCAGACCGTTCAGTGCCCGGTGGCATTCTTGAAAGACAGGATGAGAGCGACGCAGAACAAAAATACAGCACAAGAAATAAAATGCCTAGAAAAAATGAACAAAAAAAATCGATATTATGAGGAATGAATGAGCGATTTTTGTGTGGTTTGTGTAAATTTGATCGATTAAACTTTCAGAAGAGGGCAGTGATAAGCGAAAAAAAAAACGGGGCACACAAAGTGATAAAACATGAAAATGATAATGATAAAGCGAGTAGCATGGGGATGGAAAAGGCTGAAAGACGCCGGGTAGTTCATTTTGTGAGAGACGAGGGAAATTAGGAAAAAATGGGCTTGAAGGGAAAAAGTTTGGCCGGAGGTTGGGCTTCTCGAAAAGTCGAGTTTGGAAGTTCGGAGGTTTTTTGGGCTTGTTAAGAATTTCAGAGAGTTCTGGAGATGTTTTTTTTGAAGTTTTGAGCATGATAAAGCTCCTACGAGAAGCTTCAGATCCGCTTTTCCGAAAATCTCAAGAAGCTCAGGCTCAAGTTGGAGCTATTGAACGCTTCAGATCCGCTTCTAAAGGCGTTTCTGACGGTTCTAACTTCACTTAGAGCTCCCTGAAGCTTCAGCAAAGATTTCCAGAGCGTTTCTAAGAACTAGAACTCATTTTTGAGCTCAAAGAAGCTTCAGAATCCTTCTCCAAGCACTAAGGAGCCAAGAAAAATCTTCAGATCCGCTTCTAAAGGCGTTTCTGACGATTCTAACTTCACTTAGAGCTACCGGAAGCTCCAGAAACCTTCCCAGAACATTTCCAAGCCTCCTAAACCAATTTAGAGCTCAGACAAACTTCCTAGAACTTCCAAACTCCACCAAGAGCAGCTCAACCCAGCCCCTTCAGAAAGACTATCACGAATCGAAGAACCAAAAGAAATTGAATCTAGGCATCACGGAGCATGAGCAAGGAGTCGCTGGCGACACGCATCAGATGAGAAGCCTGCTGCTGCTGTTGGGCGGTCAGCACGGGCGGCGAGGACGGCATCAAAAGTCCGTTACGGCGTTTTCGGGGCGGCGGCCACGGCCAAGAGTCGATTGTAGGGCTCGGCCGGGGCTTGGATCACCGACTCGGCGATGGAGAGCCGAATCGGTGCCGGCAGCTCCTTGACCGGCACCAGTTTCGGATGGACCGTCGTGAAGGCCGACGCTGGTCGGACTTGATTTTCGACGTCAGACCGAGGTGGCTGCAAGTCCGGGTCGTCCACCAGAGGAGTGTAGGTGATCTGGAAAGGCTTCAGGTTAGAATTTCTGTTTTAAGGAGTCCAGATGATGAACCTGGTAGTTCTTTCCAGCCGGCGGTGGTGGATTCGGGGCGAGGCTACGGTAGAATTCTTGTTTCTGGGCCAAGGTCCAGTGGAGCGGCGGCGTGGCGCAGACGTTCGGTCGGTGTTGCTTCACCGGAGGTGGGGAGCAAGGCAAATCGTCGCTCAATCGCTTGAGGCGTCTGAAAATTGAGAAAATTGAGGATTTTTGATCAGGATCAGTTCTTTTTCGCATAAAATTGCTTCCTTCATTTTTCTGGAAGATCTTTTTTCATTTTTCATTCAAATCCCTGCTTTTTTTATTCAATATATAAGCAGATTAAATTCTTAAAACTCAAAAATTTACTTTTTTTAATAATTTTTTTGAAATAGAATATTACCCAGTAAATGACCCTAAAATTGACCTTAAACAAGGGAAAAAAATGTTTTAAAAGTAGAATTTGCTCCATTCAAAGCAGAAAAATCACAAAAAAGGCAATATTTACCGCGCGGAACCGTAAAATATTGAAAATCAAGAAAAGTCAATTAAAAAGAAAAATAAAAACTCACAACTCCTCAGAAAACATAGGCAAGCCAATTTTTCTAAATTCTGACAGTCACTTTCCCTTATATAACAGACTATTACTCATTGAAAAAAGCGTGGGGACACGAAAAAACATGTTTTTATCAGGGCAAACAAAACAATGAAGCAAATATGGGTCAAGGAAAACAAAAATAATAGAAAAACGAACCGGTTCCAGGTATCCTTGCACTCCTCCTCCCAGCGTTTCGTGTGTTGAATGAGAAGCTCCCGGGTCAGCGGCAACGATGGCGTTGTTGGCTTTCTGAAATCGAAGAAAATCATTATTCTGTTAAGTTATCGGTATTTATGATTATTCAGAGCCTCTACTATTAGAATTAGGGTCATGAAAAGCTCAAAAGGAAAGCTAAAAATGAAAAATCTTCAGAAAAGTAAGGATGAACGCCACATGACTGACAGGTAATCAAGGTAATTGGCCAGTTAATCAGATAATTAGTTGATAATAGTAAGCACTTATCCCGCTTTTTTTCGAGTTCCCCCCCCCATGAAAAAAACTTGTTCCTCCTTTAAAATCAGAATAAATGTCTAAATTTGGTTTTTTTTTTGGATTCATAAGCTTCAAAATGGCTCTGAAGCCTTTCAGAAAGCGATTTGAAAAAAAAATTCTAAGCAAAAAACTTCAATAAGATCCAGTAAAGTCTCTTGAGCCAAAAAATCAGACTTTGGGCTAAATTTCACCGGAAAAAAACCTTCAAAAAAAGCTTAAAATTTTGACCGGAAACGCTACAAAAATCCATAATACAGATCCAGGAAGTCGAAATCTTCTCAATAGTCTTATGAAAAATGTTAAAAAAGGTTAAGACCTCCTAAATTTACAAGAAAAACCCTCGGAAAGCTTCCAAATTTCGATCAGAAACCCGAAAAATCCGCAAAAAATCCTTAAAAGTCAGATTTCCTCAAAAATTTTAACAAAAAACGGTACATTTCCCAAAAAATTCTTTCAAATTCAAAAAAGGATCCATAGGACTTTCCAATTAACAGAAATAACCTCCAGAAAGCTTCCAAATATTTATCCGAAATCCAAAAAACTCCAATGAATCCATAAAAATACGTCAGAACAGCTTGGAGAAGCTCAAATTTCTTTGAAAGTTTTGAAAAATCTCTTATCTCCAGTTCAAAAGGATCTACAGGTTCTTCAAGTTTACCGGGAAGCCCTTAAAAAGCTCAAAAACCCGATATCCTCAGAAGCTGATAAAGAACAGATCCATAAAGCTCAAACTTCCTCCAAAATTGAACTAAAAATGCAAAATTTCACAAAAAATTCCCTCATATCTCAAAAAACCACGTAAAGTTATTAGAAAACGTATCAAATTAGTCTTCCCCTCCAAAATTCTCGTCTCCAGCTCAAGCCCCCCGTCCAACCATCTCATAACACTGCTGCCAGGAGTAGGTTGATGTTGTTTATCCGTTAGGTCTAGGCTAGGGTCCTTTAAACTTCTAGAAAAAGGCCAAAACGTTTCAAAGTTTCGACCAGAAACCCCACAAAAAAATCGACAAAAGTCTCCGAAGATTAGCTAAAAAGAATGATCATCATATAAAAAAATTCTAAAAGTTCCAAAAATCCTCTCATCTCCAGCTCGGAACCCCCCTAACCATCTCATAACACTGCTGCCAGGAGTAGGTTGATGTTGTTTATCGGGTCAGGCCATTGGGTCGATCCGGAGAGGGGAGGAGGCTGTGTATGTGTTCGCTGCCGCGTGCTGGCGGTACGTCCTTGCGCGCCGCCGCCGCCACGGATACCGATCCGCCAAAACATACGACGGCTGCGACGGCGACTGCGACGACGCTGCGACACCGGTAAACAATTCGTCGCGCGCAATGCCAATGGGAATATGGAGATTACTGGTTTGGAAGTTTGTAGCGGCTTATATGGTTTTTTTGGTTATGTCCAAGTTTCTAGAGTAATCAGAAAATTATCTTCGTGCTTCTGGGGTAGTTTCTAGCCTTCTGAGTGCTAGAAAAGTTAGGAGAAGCTCAAAATATTTTTGGAAAGCCTCGAAAGTGTGTTGGAAGCTGGAAAAAATCGAAAAATCTTCATTCAAAACTAATATGGAAAGGTCCGAAGCGAGCCCCCCAAAAAATTTTTTTCTCAAGTTTTAGAAGTTTTCAGTAGACAAGTTTTTAAGCTTATAAGGTCATTTTCAGATTTCAAGGGGCTAGAAAAAGTTAGGAAAAAGCTCAAAAATACCTCCGGAAAGCTGAAAAAGTCTGTTAGAATCTGGAAAAAATCAAAAAAATCTTCATTCAAAAATTAATTTGAAAGGTAAAAAAAGAAGCTCTAACAACCTTTAAAAAAATCCTAAATCATTCAATGAAAAGCCCAAGCAGCCCAAGAAGAAGCCGAAAATCTCAAAATCATCAAAAAACCCATTTTCACCAATTTTCTAGCTCAAAAGCTTCACAGAAATCGCTTTTCAAAAATCCAAAAAAATTCAAATCGACTGGTCCCTGACCTCTAACCTTATATAAACCTTTCGGACCCCTCTAAAATGCGAACAGACCCAACCAGGAAGCACAATCGCGCAGCACAGGTCTGCCTCTCGTACGCGAGAATGAGCAAATATACAAAGGTAGAAGAAGAAGAAGAGGCCCGAACGCAATCGGCTTCCGGCTCACCTTTTAAACCCACCTAACCTAATAGTAAATTTACTGATAGGTAGTTTGACTAATTTTTGATGATATCATGTGGTAAAAGTTGGAAGTTACTCATCTTTACGCCTTAATTGGTGGAAAATGCGTGGGCAATAGTTGAATTTTCCGGGTAAAAAAATCAACAAAAAAATTTTTTTTTCAGTGGTTTTTGAGCTTTTTTTGACCTCGAAATAGGTGATTTTGACGATATTTTCGGTCTTTTTTTGAATTTTCAAGCTCAAAAAGTAACACGATTTTTTTGAAACTTTCGACGCTTCTCGGTAAATTTTCTGCCCAAAAATTCAGAAAAAAATTCTATGTGACTTTTTTTCTACTGAAAAAAACATTAGAAGACCCAAATTATCATGTGAAAATTGCAATTTCTAACCAAATAAGGGTGTTTTTGAAGCTTCAAAAGCAACTGACATTTTTTTTTTCAATTTTAAAGGTTCTGTAATGACAATTTTAGATGAGAAACTTTGAAAAAACCCATCGAAAATCCACTTTTTCAGGTTCAAACCAAAACGGACCCTTGTAATGACAAGTTTGAATGGAAAAATTTGAAAAAACCCCTCAAAAATCCACTTTTTTCAAGTTCAAACCAAAACGGACCCTTGTAAGGATAATTTTGGAGGAAAACTTTGAAAATACCACTCAAAAATTAACTTTTTCAGGTTGTAACCAAAACGGACCCTAGACCCCTTCAAAAGGTCCCCAAATCCCATCAAAATGTTGCACCTAGCCGATCAGAGTCTACTGACCAAATCCTTGCCTCCAGCTGGCACGTGGGGGATGCAATCTCTTTCTCTCCCTCTCTCGCTGTTCTCCCACAGGGGCTAAATGTGCGTATGTATGTGCCACCCGTCGTGCCTGTCCCTCTCCTCTCAATGCACTTGGATTGTCCTTCCTTCCCCCCGTTCGTCTTCTCCTCAGGCGGTACTGCCTGTGACGCCGCGCCCGTTTAAAACATCCCAAATTTGGTGGTCTGATTGTTGGATCGGATCGATTTGAAGCTCATTTTCGTCAAAATTCAACGTCTTTATAGCGTCTCTAAGGTTTCGAATGGAAGAGAAACGGTTGGAAAAGCTAAAAATCTTAAACTGTGTGGTCTGATTATTGGATTTTATCGATTTTAAGCTCATTTTTGTCAAAATTCAAGGTCTTTACAGCGTTCTAGGGGTTTCTAAAGTACAAAGAAACGGTTGAAAAGACTGAAAATCTTAAATTAGTTCTCATTGTTGAATTGGATTGATTTGAAGCTCATTTTATCGAATTTTAAGTTCTTTAAAGCTTCTCAGAAGTTCAAGAAGTGAAAGAAAAAGTGAAAAAGCTGAAATTAACCGGCAAAAGCTCGTTCTGAAAATTCAGAATAGGATGATCTTTGGATTAAAAATGACTTGGAGCCAACTTGAAAAATCCAGGCTCTCCAGAGCTTCTCAGAAAATTCAAAAATCCAAAAATTGAAGCTTAGTGCATTCATAGCTTATATAAGCAAAACGAACCTTAAAAACCGAAAACTAGAAATTTTATAAACTGATTATTAAAAACTATCCAAAGGCTCATTTCAACGAAAAACGTTTTGAAAAATCCCGAAACCCTCTAAAATTTGATTTTTTCTGACCTTGAGGATTTTAGAACCTTTCTAAAGGCTCCCTTAGCACTTAAAATTTCTTAAAATCCCTAAACTCTAAAAACTTCTTTGGTGTGTAAAAAAACATGACTAAGGATCTTCAATGACTATTATTAAGCTAGGATCCTTTGAAAGATACCTTCAAGTGGTCACTTAAGGCTCCCCAGTGCATCCCTACTTAATACGACCTAACCTTACAAAAAGTGAAAAAAAGTGAAAAAAAAATGAAAAAAACGAACCGGTCATCATCGAACTTGCTCATTGGAGACTCGGGCCGCGATTGGGACTTGAGCAGGCGGCAGACGTTCTCCAGGGCGTTGATTTGGGTGTAGGAGAGGGGCAAATCGCCGTCCTTCGTCGTCGGCGCCGTCGCTTGCGTCGCCTGGAAGGAAAGAAGAGATTGAAATTGAAAATATAGGAATCCTCTTGAAGCTATGGAAAGCTTGACTGAGACTGTTGGATTCTTAAAATTAGCTTAGGAATGGTTATAAGGAATTTCAAGCTTGTAGTCATTCTGAATCATTTGGGATCTTTTGAAGACTATTTTGAGCTGTAGGAAGCTTGAGTAATGCTCCAAGATGACTGAAATAAGACTAGGATCTCAAAAAGCTAAAAATTATTCAAGGAAGATTTTCAGAGCATAATCCGAGAGAAAAATGATCAAAACTAAATTTCTCCGTTCCACGTGATAATCCTAACCAAACTCATGCTAATCTTCTGATCCAGAACTCCAAAAATGATGTCAAAACCCAAAAATTCCGAATCAAAAAAGAGCTAATCTTCATCCGAATTGAAGAAGAAGTTCTAGAAAACTAGAAATCAAGACGAAACAGAAAAGCTCCCCCTAACCTTCACAGCCGGCGTGCTGTTCACGACCAACGTCTCGACGAGCTTGTCGATGTACATGCCGAGGTTGGCGCCAGCGGCTGGCGCAGCCTGGACGACCGTGTTGGTTCGGCCGGCCGGCGCCACCACGACCGCCGCCGCTTGCCGATGATGGTGATGGTGGTGGTGGTGGTGGTGGCTGCGCGACGACGACGACGACGACGACGATGAGGACGGCACTGGCTGGAAAAGAGGTTTCCTGAGTTCTTGGAACAAGAGCTTGCTGGGGGAGATTCTGACCAAGAGGGGAAAAATGGAAGAAAGTGATTCTAAGTGGCGCTAAACTCAAAAAAATCACTCTGACCATTGTCCTGCTACACAGAAGGTCTTTGAAGTCGGTCCTACTAGAATATTTTTCAAATTTACAGAAAAAAAAATCTTTTCTTAACCTTCCAGTAAGTCTTCAAGACCAATCACTTCTACCAAAACTTGAAAAACATTTTTTTAAAGAACCAAATCTTCAAGTTCTTATAAGTAAGTCTTCAAAGTCAGTTACACTACCAAAAACTTCAGAATTTAAAGAAAACAGTTCAAAATTCAATTCTTAAGCTTCCACTGTGTCCTTCAAATCTTAAAGACCAAAAAATTCTCAAATTTTTCCAAAAATCAGGCCCGATAGGTTAAAAATCAACGTCTCTAAAAGTACACCCGACTGCGCGAAAAAAGGATCAAATTCGGGTCGCAGACAGAGTCCAACGATTGATCTCAGACGATCAAGTTGTCCTTTTAAAAAGTTGAAGTCAAGGTCTCAAATATTTTTTTTGAGATGAATTTGAAGCTCGAGAAGCTTCTTAAACATATAGAAAAACTCAGTGAGGATGCAAAAAATTCGAGAAAATCTACTGAAAACCCTTCCAAGAGGCCACTAGAGTACATCAAACCCGGAATTTCTGTTCCTTCCGAAAAAAATTGCTGAAGCTCAAAAAATGACTCGAAATTCGGAAGGCCACTAAAATTTGAACTAAAAACTTCCAAAGTGACCACTTAATTGAAATAAATCGAAAAATCTGTATCCTTTCGGAGGCATCCCAAAAGCACTAGGAAAAATTCGGTGAAAATTCGGAAACCCTAAAAACGCTTCAAAGTGACCAATTAAGTGAAAAATATTCTGAAAAATCTTCAAATTTTCTTTCTACGGTATCCCTAAAGTACTAGGAAAAATTCGGTGAACATTCGGAAACTCTGAAAACGCTTCAAAGTGACCACTTAAGTGAAAAAATCACGAAAATCTGAAAAAGTTTCAAATATCCTTTCAGAGTTATCCCAAAAGCACTAGGAAAAATTCGGTGAACATTCGGAAACCCTACAAACGCTTCAAAGTGACTACTGAAGTGAAAAATATTCTGAAAAATCTTCAAATCTCCTTTCGGAGGCTCCCCAAAAGTACTAGGACAAAGGTATCGCTTCAAAGTGGCCACTTAAGAGAGAAGAAAAAAAAAGTCAAAAGCTCTCACAATAGACTTCCTCTTTCTCGAGCGCAAGGTGATGGGCTCGAAGAGGAACTCGGGGCAAGGGTGGGCGAAGAGAAGCTCCATCATAGTAGGTTCAGTTAGGGGGGTGGATAGGAATCGGGAATAGAAGGACCTCCAAGGGACTAGATCTAGTGGTAGTGGTCCTGTCTGTCTGTGTGTGTCTGTGTGTGAGTGAGTGTGTATGTTGCCTTGTGGTCGCGGTTCTTAGGGTGGGCGGAGCCTGAGAGGCGGACGAGTGGTGCCAGGAGAAAGTCGGGCGGCGGCGGCCGTCGCGGCTGGTACCCTTCCTCCTTCACCAGCCGCCGCGACTGGCACCCGACCGACTTCCTCTTAAGGTCCTACTTGGAACCACCCGCCCGATTTTTTTTTTCTGGTTCAAAGTCGTTGAGAACAAGAGAACCATAATTTCAAGATCAAAAAGTTGTCTAACATGAGCAATATTAGGCTTCTCTTGAAATTCGTAAAAAAAAAATCCCCCTCTTAAGGTCCTACTCGGAACCATCTACGGACATAAAAATTATTAATCCTTTTTCTTGAAAAAAGTTTTCTAACATGAGAAACGCTAATTTTCTTCTTCGGCCCTTCAAAAAGAGAAAAAAACTGAAAGTTCTCTAACATGAGCAACATCTTCACTCCTCTCTCAAAAAAAGGTATTTTATTTCTGAAGAAAATTCCAAATTTTTTGAAAAAAGCTAAAAACGTGCTAACATGAGCAATGCTTTCGTAAGCCTGATATTTCTCAAAAAGTTGCGCAAAATCTTATTCTGGTCTAAAACTGCTTAGTGGAAAATTTCGAGCTGCGAAATTCTCTAACATGAGCAACAAATCTCTCCGAGGGTGCGATGAGAAAAACTCTTGGACTTGAGAATTTTTAGGATGTTAAAGAAAATTTTCAACCTGACTTTCTTTAACATGAGCAATGTCAGTTTTAAAAAAGTTCTCTAGCATGAGCAACACGACTTTTTCAAAACTTATATCTATCCGAAATTGGAGAAAATCCACATGTTCCTGGATCACAGAAATGTGAAATTCCAAATTTTCAAGATCGAAAAAAATCTTAAAAATGGAGTTTTATTTTTATGAAAAAAAGTCCAAGATTTTGAGCCCTAGGTATAGTTCGAATTTCAAAAAAATCTTTTTTTCCTCTGAAAGCCTAATCAACTTCAAAACTCCTGTAAAATTTGAAAATTATGAGCTTTTGGATCAACTACAAGCTTCATGGACAATTCAAAATATTGAAAAACTAAAAAAAAGTCCCCTGAAGTCCCCTATCTCCAGCTTAGGACGAGATTGAAAATTATCCTAAAAAATGAATAGTCCTCATTGATCAACTTCAAGCTTGAATGATCAATCAGAGAAATTAAAAAATGACCAAAAAGGATGAAAAGAAAGGGAGAACCGGGGGGAGAAGCCGGGTGCGCGGCGACTCGTATGGCGGCGGTGGGCGGAGTCGCGGCAGTCGCGGCCGCGACTCGCACGCCGCGACACCGAGCCCTCGTGCCGCTCACCGCCAAGCCGCGTCAGCCACCCGCCGGCAGGCGCGAACGAACGTGCACTTTTCCCTCCTTCGAACTCCCCAAAAAGTGCATTTTTCGCGCCGCCGCCGTGCTGGGTTCCGAAACCAACGGCGGCGTTTGATAACGACGTCGCGACCCATAAAAGTGCAAAAGCTTTCAGCACTCGTGTGTTGCTCATGTTAGGGAAGAGGAGGCTTCATCTTTGAGTTTCTGCTCGGAAGAGTTCAAGAAGCTTATCTTGATATGTGAGGCCGTGAAGAAAATGAAAAATTTAGAAGATCCAAATTCCAAAACCCTATTGCTCATGTTAAAGAAAGCGAGGATCCATTTTATAAGTTCCATTCGTAAACAGTTTGATAAGAGATTGTTAACGCTTTAACTAAAATAAAAATATTTAAATTAACAAAAAAAGGTGAAGAAATTATTCTGTACGGAGTTAGCACTATTCATCAGAAGCTAGACCGACCTCAGTTATGAGAAGACATAAGGATTGGATATAATTTGGATTGAATAGCTCAAAAATCTCAGGTAGTCACATAAAACGTCTTCACGGTAACCGATTCAAATTTCTTCGCAAAGTTAGATTCTTCTCAAAATCCGTATTGCTCATGTTAAACAATCTCAGCATTAGCGTCGTCGTCAACCCAACGGACAGTTTTGAAGTCTTCGGAAATTTGGATGATCTAAAATTTCATGGCAAGGTCCATTCAAGCTGATTTGAGGATTGATTCACCAAGTCCTGCCATTCCAGAGTCATCTAGAAGACCTAGTATCCTCCGATAGAAACCATCAAGACTTCGGAAAACTGCAGAGAGTCTTCTCATCATCCCGATTCTTATGAGACTCTGTAGAGCCTCGCAAAGTCGGTATGGCTCACGATAAGAGTCATCCAAGCTTTAACAGGGTTGAGAAAAAAAAATTCCTACGATCCACACTTCTTGTTCCATTTCAGAATTTCAGAGCTACTCAGTAAGAGCTCTGGAATCTCAGTCTGGGTTCGATAAAGTCTTCTCAGAGCTCATAAATCTCAGGTCAATCCAGAATCGGTCTCAATAAAAAAGCCAGCAAGTCTCCCACTAACTCAAGAAAGTCATCTCATCCTTATTGCTCCTTTTAAAAGGACCTGGACCTTTCAGAACCGGCAGCACCCATGTCGTCATCTAACTAACAGATGCCTTTAAATTTCTTGGAGGTTTGGAATGATCCAAGACTTCAGAGCTGAACCTTGGTTCATTCCACTATGCCAGTCTTCTCTTCGAACCACCCTTATTGCTCATGTTAGTCATCTCAGAGCGACCTCGACTTTCTAGCCCCGACGTCGTCACCTACCTAACAGATAGCTTCAGATTTTTAACAATTCAGAACGATCCAAGACTTCAGGGCTGGACCTTGGTCCATTCCACTGTAGTCTTCTCTTCGAATCACCCTTATTGCTCATGTTAGTCATATCACAGCGACCTCGACCTTTCAGCACCGGTAGCAGCGACGTCTTGGTTTAATTAATGGATAGCTTAAAAATATTTCAAAGCTTAGAACGATCCAAGACATCAGAGCTGAACCTTGGTTCATTCCAATCTTGCGGTCTTCTCCTCTGACCATCCTTATTGCTCATCCTAGTCATCTCAGAACGACCTCGACCTTCCAGCACCGGCAGCACCGACGTCGTCGCGGTCACCGGCTGGCGGCACCAGTCGCGGGGGCGACGTCCGTGTCTGTCTTTGCACTTTCGCCCGACTACCGCCGTGTTCGCTTCTCTCGGGACGTACGCCTCGCACCGACGTTGCCCTTTGTGTGTGCGCTCAATCGCGTGTGTGAGAGCGAGGATGTTGCAGAATTGAACTCCTCCTGTTCTTTTTCAAATGTTTCTTTCTGCTTTCTCAGAACCAAAATCCAGCTAGGACAGGATACAGATCGAAGCAGATATTTTCAGCTTCTCGTTGCTGTAACATGAGCAATAAAGCTCGCGTGTGAAAAAAAGGGTGTAGCAAAACTGAACTCCTCCCGTTCTTTTTCAAATGTTTCTTTCTACTTTTTGGTCTCTCAGAACCAAAATTCAGCTAGGAAAGAATACAGATTAAAGCAGATATTTTTTAGCTTCTCATGGCTGTAACATGAGCAATAAAACTCGCGTGTGAAGGAGAGAGAGGGTGTTGCAAAAAGGAGTTCGATCATTTTCTCTTCTTTTTTGATCTCCCCGAACCAAAACTTGGCTGATCAACGTGATCCGAGTTTAAATCTGCATCATATACTATCGCCGTGTAACATGAGCAATGCCGACGCCATGTGAGCAATTTAAAACTTCAGCTTTTTGCTCTCGTAAGATGAGCAACAAAAAAATTTTTCTCGAAAAAAAGTGAAAAAAAGTCGAGTTATTTTTCTTATTAACAACGCCATTTACATGATTAACATGAAAACTTACTACCAAAATTTTTTTTTCTATAACATGAGCAATAAAATTTTCTATAACATGAGCAATACTGCGCAAAAAAACTTCTCAGAATTATTTCTTCGTGACCCTATTAATTTAAAAAAATCAAAAAAATAAAATCAGTTTAGTGAGCTTTTCAGAACTAAGAAGAGAAATCAGTTTAGAAAAAAAAATTTTTGATTTTTTATTTTCTCTATCTTCAGTACCTTAAGCGAAAATTTCCTTTTTTAATAAATCCGGTAATTTTTTCTCAATCACCCAAAATGAGAAAAGTCCCCCGAAGGTGTCAAATTTCCAAAGGAAACACGCCAAAAACCAACAAGTCACTTGCACTTTTTTTTCTCCTCCTCCCGACTCTAATTTGCTCCAACGAACGCCTGGTACGATGCTCCGTTGCGTACGTCGTCGTGACATTCTCTTATCTCGCAACATAATAAGTTCACTCGTACTTTTTTCCTTCCTGAAGTTGAGTGGTCAAAGATGATTTCGAGGACGAAAACATGGACCTTTTGTAGTCGAAACTATAGTCGACTAGGAGGAATTTCACAAGATGACGTTTTGAAAACGTCTATGAAATATTTTTGTAGAGCCAAAGATAGGAACTAGGACAAAATGATGAGTTGAAATGGAAAAAGTTACTTCAACTTCAAATCCTCTTCCCAGGGTATTGCTCATATTACCAAAAAATTTTCGATTTTATGTCCATTTTCACTTTCAAAAAGGGGTTCCACTTAAGTTCATGAGAAAAACTTTAACTAACATGAGCAATGAAACGCAATCATTCGTGAGATTCCCTAAAATCAAGCTTTCAAAAAACTTGAAATTATCAGAATTTCGCAAAAAGCAGTTCCAGGCCATCCTTGCCCCATTGACAAAAATTTGAACTTTTCCTCAAAAAATTTAAAATTCAAGCTTGGAACTTTATCTGAAGCTTTGTATTAGTCAAGTCAATCTAATAATAAAAAAATACACTTCCCTTTATAAATTCCAAAAACAAAAAAATCGCCAAAAAAGTCAGTTTCAGGCCATCCTCGCCCCATGGCCAAAAATCTGAATTTTCCTCAAAAAATTCAAGATCAAGCCTGGAGTTTCATCTGAAGCTTTCTATCATTTTTGTCAATCCAGTAATGAAAATACACTTTCCTTTAAGAAAACCAAAAAAAATAAATAAATCGCCAAAAAATCATTTCCAGGCCATCCTCGCCCCATGGCCAAAAACCCTAATTTTTCCTCAAAAAATTTAAAATCAAGCCTGGAATTTCATCTGAAGCTTCCTACCAATCTAGTCAATCCATAATGAAAAAACACCTTCCTTCCAAAAAATAAACAAATCGCCAAAACAACCAGTACCAGGCCATCAATCAAGCTTTGCTCCATGGACAAACATCCCAACTTTTCCCGTTCCGAAGAGCCTGGCACGGCGCCAGGAACAACAACAACAACAGCGACAAGATCAAGAAGACGACCGAGACGTTCCCTTTGATAACCAATCAGTCTTTGATAAGAGCCAATCCGCCGTATCGATAAACAACTGTTCAGGGGAATTTTGGGGGTCTTCTTGGTGCCAGGCACAGGAAAAAGTGATTGACGAGTAGGACCAGTCTTTTTCAAGGTAAGAACAAAAAAACGGAGCAGCTGATCTTATCAATGATGATTTTGGTATTGCGAAAAATATTTTGATAGCTTTTTCGCTTAAAAATCAAGCTCTAAAGGGGAAATTTCGAAAGTTCTAGCGAGAAAAAGTGATTGAAAAATCAATAAAATTGTCGATTTTCTCATATTTTTGGTTTCAGAGAAGCTTGAATGACAATTTTGTGTTCGAAAAACGGGCTGAACTTCAAAATTAAACCAAAAATATCAATATTGACTCATTTTATGAAGAAAAACAAGCATAGGGAAATAAAAAAAAAGCTAAAATATCTATATTTTTGAAAAAATTCAACTTTTTAAAATTAAAAATGTGAGATTTGTCTTCAAAAATTGTTTCTTTAAACAGCATAATCGAAAACCTCCTATAACATGAGCAATACAGAAAAAAACAGGCGTCTATATATAATGCCGAAATGTGAACTAAATTTCAAAAATTAGGCCGAAAAATATTAATATTGACCTATTTTATGAAGGATAAGGAGCATAGGGAAATAAAAAGCTAAAAATATCCATAATTTAGAAAAAAATGTCTACTTTTTTTCCATTTGAAAATTTTTTCTCTGCAAAAATTTCATTTCTGCCTTGAAACTGAGTTCAAGAAAGCCAAGAAAATTGAAAAATTAAATTCAATGTTAAGCTCTGATTAGTTCGAAATTGACTTCTGCACTTAAAATTGAGTTTCAGGGAACAAATACATAAAAAAATCCTAAAAAAGACCATCTTTAAACCTGAAATCTCTACACCTAATTACATATAGTCCAGTTAACCTGATCTTAACAAAAAATGCATAGAAAACAGTGAAAGCCCGAAAATATATACCTTATTCATGATGATCCTCAGCTCGTCCTCGAACGCCTTGGCCATGACGGTCGGCAGCACGTTCGTCGTGTTCGTCGGCCCCGCCAAAACGTCGGCGTCTGGAAAATAATCATTCTATCCAGCCTTGAAGTTGAGCGGATAAAATTTGAAAATAAAAAAGATACAGGTCTCTAAATTTCGACTATAACAAATTTTCAAATTCTCTTTCCTTTTAAAATAATTCCTTCAAGCTGAAAAAAATCCAATAATTTTCAAAAACCTCAATCTGACAGTTTTTTCAGATTATTCAGGAAGTTATAACTATTTCGAATCGTTAGAAGTGAGATCATATATCCAATTTTCCAAATTCAAACAAGGATGGTTAAGCCAACGTTGAAATATTAAAGAAAACAGATGGAAGGTTGATTTTTACTGACCAAGAACTATATACCCTCCTAAAAATGGCTATGAAATTTTCGATTTTTGAGGGTCCATAACTTTTCTCACAGGCTTCTGAGACCGGATTTTGAATCAAAATGGTCTCATTCAGCAGTCCCACTGTGAGCTTGAGACCATTCCCTGGTAAGATATTTTAAAATATCTTACATCCATGTAACTTTCTGGATTTTTGAGAAAGCTCAGAGATGGAATGAACTCTAACTTGAATTTTTCCAAGCTTCAAAACTTTCCTGAACTTACTGTACCTCCCTGACCTAATTTTCCGCTAAAAAGGAGCTTTTTTCCACCCTATGTACTCCCGAATAATGTAAATACTACATAAAACCAAAAAAAGGTTCCCTACAAAAAATCTCACCTCCAATGGGAACACTACAGATGCGATGTCTCGCCACGACGAGCTCAATCTTCTTGGTCCAGGGGTTGACGTAGCCGCTCCATTCGGTTTGGGATCGGAGGACGGCTCCGTTGTGGGCCACCAGCCGCAGTTCGGCCACGCTTTTCACCACCTTCCCTCGGGCGTTGTGGACTGGAAATCGTTGTATAAGGATGGCTAGAAAGATATGAAGAGTGGTCCCTAAAGGGGTATGGAAAACAGCCCTTAGACTGGGAAAATTTTTAGTGGCCACTATAGGGTTTCGACGTTTTAGTGGCCACTATAATAGTCAAATTAGTGACCACTTGAGGGGTTAAAAAATCAGTGGCCACTATAGGGTTTTGACGTTTTAGTGGCTACTATAGTAGTAAAATTAATGGACACTCAAGGGGTTAAAAACTAGTGGCCACTATAGGGTTTCGACGTTTTAGTGGCCGCTATACTATTCAAATTAAAGGCCACTTAAGGGGTTAAAAATTAGTGGCCACTATAGAGGTCTAAGTGCTACTACTAGACCACTAAGTGGCCACTTAAAGGGGTCAATGGATCAACATAACTGGTCCAATATGTTTGTTTTAAAATTATCAGAGTTACTGGGAGGAACACTGGATGAAAAACTACTGAAGTGGCTGCTTAATGGATAATCTCTATAGTGGCCACTAAAACGGAAAAAATAGTGGCCACTATAGAGGTGGATTTAGTGGCCACTTTAGTGTCCTCTCTAATTAGTTCTTGGCGAGCCTCTCTAGTGGCCACTAAACATTTTCCCAGTAGCGCTCCCTAGAAGGTTAAGGTTAAGTGGTCACTTTAGAAGCTCACAGTAAGATTTTGACTCAAATCCGGAAAAATCTTCGGATTTGAAGATTTCTTGGTTAAAAAAAATTTTAGGCTTATTCACTGTTCAAAATTTCCTTTTTTCCGTTTTAACCGATTCTACAAAAACTCTTCTTTCAATTTCTCCTACTCATTGTAAGCTCCTTGAAAAAAACTCTCTCCATTCCAAAAACTTCATTTTTCGATGGCATGACTCTCAAACCCCCTCCCTATCTCCTTCCAAAATCAAAACATTTCACACTTGGAAAGGCGATTTTTCTCCAACGAAGACTGGATGGTCACACACGTATAAATATAAAATCTGTTCTGCGGAACGGATTCCCGACAGACACCCGCCATTGTTCCGTCGTCGAGAGGCGCCGCGTCAAAACGCCATTTTTAATGGCTTATTGTCTCGAGACAGCCACTCAAAGATGTGTATCAGGACTTCAAGATGGTACCGTATGATACCGTATTTTTCGACACAGAACATGTTTTGAGAAAAGAAGGGAAAACTTAGGATTTCTATTTTTCGTCGGAAGTTATGGATTTTTAAATTTCAAAAAATTAGATTGAAAAATCTTCAATCTTTGTATAGTCCATTCATTGTGAGCTTGGTGAAAAAAAAAACCCTAAATATCTGTCTGAATCTCTTCCTTTTCGCACACTCTTTCTCTAAACTTGTAAGGAGTCAAAAATTCTTCTTCAAGCAAATTTTTGAAAAAAACCCTTGGTCGCACGTAGAATGGCTCAACGCGTCGCGGTCGCGTTGCAAAAGGCGACGCGTAAACCGTTTTCAAGTCGGTTGCACTTTTTTTCGAATTTCTAGGCAATGAGAGCCATCCCCAGGTGTTTTTAGATTGAAGACATTTTTTTCTATAGTCTGAGCAATATTGAGCAATATCGTTCCGGGTTGAATTTTTGGAAGATCGAGCACGTTAAAAAATTAGAAAAAAAAGATTGCAATTTTTCAAAAATTGACAAACTGATTTTTCGATTTTCTGAAGCTTTGAAGCTTTTTTATAACCCTAAGTGAAAAAGTATCGAATTTTCTGATCTAAAAGGTGAATTTCCATGAACCTAAACTCTATTGAAAACCTCTTCCCATTTTTTAAAAAAGTCCAGAAATCCAAAAAATGAAGCTCACGATCAATATGAGCCTGTCGGACGACGTGGACGTCAGGCGAGTAGACGAAAGACAGAAGAGATTTGCCGATGAGATCAGTTGGGAGGCGGCCGAGGTACGGTATCGAGCTGTAGATGATACTGTAGAAGGGTTACGGTAGATACTTACGCATAGTCAATATGAGTGAGGGCGCAGCTGGACGAGTGCTTGGTGGTGAAGGTGAAGGTGTGGAAGGGGACCGAGGGGCCGAAGGCCGACCTCAGGGCCAGAGCCGTCACTTTGCCCCGACTTGGCTCCAGCTCGCAAAGGAGCTCGCAGGCACGAGCCGATCCGTCCGGCCTGTAAGAAACATTTTGTGAAAGTTGAATTTTGCCTTGAAAATTAACTTTGAAACCACTGGATTGGAATTTTTCAATTTTCTGAAAATAACCATAACGTCTCATTATCATTGGCCGATATTATAAAACCTCATGATCATTTTCAAAAATACCTTCAGAAGTACTGAAACGTCCCCAAATTTCTCAACCTGTCTTTTCCTATCCGAATAGTTCATCAAGAGTCGATTCACGGCTAGCTTGGGACGCTAAGGGGGCGTGGTCCGTCTGCGCTCTCCATCAACCAGGCACTATCTCGTTTTTCATCGTGTCAGGACCCATTTTTCGATAGTTCAAGCCAGCCGTGAATCAGCTATAGAATTGACCCAAAACGTTTCGAAAATGACCAAAAAAACCGACTAAAATATTGGAAGCTTCTGATGACCACTGCAAAGCTTTGAAAAATTACAAAACTACCTAAAATCCAACAGCGCCCTCATTAATCGATCGGTGATCTTTAACAATTATGCTTTATTCTCAAAACGTCAATTTTTTCCCAAGAAATCCGTCTGAAGTTCTCCATAAGCCCCTCCAGCGCTACCAAATCCAGTTAAATCTAAAAAATCCTTACTGGAAGCCATTCTGGCTCAAAATCTGCTACAAAAGTCTTTCCCACCCTCTCTGAACCATAAGAATCCCATAAAACTGAAGAAAATTCTCTTCTGCCCCCTCTCCAGAATCCCCCCACTGTCCAGTTAAATCTAAAAAATCCTTACTGGAATCCATTCTGGCTCAAAAATGTGCTCCAAAAAGTCTTCTCATCCTCTCTGAACCATAAGAATCCCATAAAACTGAAGAAAAATTCTCTTCTGCCACCTCCCTCCAGAATTCCCCTGTCCAGTTCAATCCAAAAAAATCCCTACTGGAAGCTATTCTGGCTCAAAAATCTGCTCAAAAAGTCTCTCCCATTCTTTAAACCGTAAGAATCCCATAAAACCGAAAAATTTTCTTCTGCCGCCTCCCTCCAGAAGTCCCCCCTCCCCCCTTCTCTTGTAAAACCACTGCTTCGTACTCATAATTTTCAGAAGCCCTGCTCTTTTTCCAATCCATATAAAATCCAAAACCAAACTTCACTCTCTCCAGAAGTCCCCCGACCTCTCCTAACCCACTCCGACCCAATAAAAATCCCTACTGGAAGCCGTTTCTGATGCACTTTCTCCACTTGACGGGCGCCAAAATCTGCATAAAGACCAGTCGGTTGGGTACCAGTCGGCGGCTGCTTCCGCGTCGACGTCGTCCGCCTTGGCCGCCCCAGATAGGCCGTCGTGCGGATGAGATAAATGAGATCCGTCCGTGAATTCGAGCGTGTTCGGCGACGGCTTTGAGGTCCGGCTTGGCTTTTTGAGGAACATTTTGGACGAGGTCTTTGTCTTGGATATGTTGCTATTAGAGAGGCAAGTTGAGGTCGCTTGGGCAGTCTTAAATCTTCAAGGAGCTACTAGAGAGATTCAAAAACTTCTGAGTATCAAAATTCAGAAACTATAAGATATTCAGAGCGGTATGATCTACTGGAAAGTATGATTAGGTCGAAGTTTTTTTTCTAGATTTAAGGGGGAGGGGAGAAAAAGCCAAAGTTTTTTTCAAGCTTGGGACTTTTCGCACTGCCTGTTGCAGCGCAAGTATCATTTGCTGGTCCCAACAATTGGGATGAATCCAAAAACTTTTTTCAAGCTTGGGACTTTTCGCACTGCCTGTTGCAGCGCAAGTATCATTTGCTGATCCCAATAATTGCGAAGAACCCAAAAACTTTTTTCAAACTTGGGACTTTTTGTAATTCCTGTAAAAGCAACGCTATCATTTGCATGTTTGAGAAACGAGAAATCAATTTTTTTTTTTCCAAGCTTGGGACTTTTCGTACTGCCTGTAGCAGCACAAGTATCATTTGCTGGTCCCAACAATTGGGAAGAATCCAAAAATTTCTTAAGCTTGGGACTTTTTGTACTGCCTGTATCAGCAGTGTTATCACTTGAAGATCCCAATAATTGTGAAGAATCCAAAACTTTTTCAAGCTTGGGACTTTTCGCACTGCCTGTAGCAGCCCAAGTATCGTTTGCTGGTCCCAAGAACTGGGAAGAACCAAACTTTCCCACTACAGCAACGTTATCATTTGTTTGTCGCAATCAAAAATGCAACAAACGTTTTTTTTTTCTTCTTCCACGGGAAATCGTTTCGAGAAGAGTCAGGCCATAAAAAGCGTTGCATTTTCGGAAGGCCGACGGCGGTGCCAGACCGTGTCGGCCGATAAATTGGAACGGCCCTCGTGGTGGTGCCGCCGCCGCCGCACAAAGTAACTGATAGAAGTGACCTTCCCGATTAGTTCATCAACACTTTTTTTTTCTCTTTGATACGCCTGACTTTTTTTTTGCTTGATGGAAGAAAAAAAATGGGGACCGGGCGGTTGATTGTTATCTTCCGGGCAAAAAAAAAGAAAATCAAAAGTTCTCTTTCAGAAATCGCCAGAAAAAATTCCTGATGAAAAAAAGATGAAACGCTCAAAAAACAGGAATACAAGTCCACTGCCTGGTAACAGGTCGTTGAGAAAAATCCAAAATTTGATTTTTTAATTAAAAAAAATCCCTGCATCGCTTCTAACGCTTATTGAAGACTTACAGTGTTTGATTCCTTAAGTGACTTCTTCAATTTGAAAAAAAAACCCTCGAAAAAATTCAAATCACTTCAACGATCACTGGAAAACTTCTGGACCCCTTAAGTGGCTCCTTGAGCTTGAAAAAACCCTTAAAAAGTCTTAGATCACTTCAATGACCTCTAGAAATGTTCTGGATCCCTCAAGTGACTACTTGTGATTAAAAAAAAAATCTCAAGGAATCTCAATTCACTTCAATGACCTCTAGAAATGTTCTGGATCCCTTAAGTGACTACTTGAATTAAAAAAAAATACTTCAAGAAATTTCAATTCAGTCCAATGACTTCTAGAAACATAAATTATCAGGTTTCTGGCATCGATTCGGAATCAAATTTTCCTTTCTTACTATATCCCTTAAATGGCCCCTCAGAAACTCTTCTAGCTCCTTTAGGTGTTCCAGAGACTCATTTTCACCATATAGTCCTTAAAAAAACTAAAAATCAAGCCTCAAAAATACATCAAAGGCCTTAATTTCGACTACAATTTCCTTAAGGGGTCACTAGAAAACCTACGCATTTATGTAATATTTAGACCTCTTAAGTGACCTCTCGAGAAGTCTCAAGCTTTACCTCAAACTCATTGAGCTACATTGAAAATTAAAATCCCTTAACTAGCCCCTTAAAAATCGTCAATTTCCCTGCACTTTCCCATGACGAGAAGCCCCCCTTTCTCTCCAACCGTCTCGTCGCCTGCGTCTAGCGGTCACTCCACGCTCTCTCACATCAACCGTCAGCCCCCCTCGGCAGCTCTCTCGCAGCGCCGAACTCTCTCAGCCTACTCGTGTGAAAGTTCCCACGGTGGTCGTGTGTGCGTCCGACTCGCGGCGGTTCTCCGCTCACGACCTCGTACCGCTTCTTTCAATCCCTTCTAAATTTAACCCACTTACGACGACACGCCTCACCACTTAACCGCACACTTGTCTGCCGCTCGGCGGCGCAACATTTCAAAGTGCAAAAATCTTTTTCCGTTTTTAGCCTCCGTTTTCAGAAAAAAATTTCTAGAGCCTTTTTTTGAACAATTTTCTATCGATTTTACCACTGACCACCCAATGAAACCTTTTTTTAAAGTTTTTGAAATGAAAGAAAAAAAGTTTCTTATTGCTCATGTTTACAGATTTTTTCATTTTCGAAACTTATATTTAGGAGAAAAAAAGTTGATTTTTGCTTAAAAAGAAATGGATTTTCTATGAAAAACATTGAAAAACTTTAAAATTTTATCATTTTTTTGAAATTGAGAAGCAAATCTCATAACATGAGCAACACTGAGACAGCCTAGTATCAAAGGAATATATTCAAAATCCACAGAAAAAGCTCTGAAATCGTTGATTTTTATCTGAAAACTATAAGATGATAAATTTGTAAAACGAAAATTTTTCTTGACCATCAAAAAGATATTTTCTATCGAAAAAAATTCAAGGAAAAAAACTTTAAAGTCACAAATTTTCTTCAAATATAAATGATTTACCTGCTAAAAACCTTAATTCTCCATTTTTTTCTACCTGATTCTGAACGCGAAAAAACCCATAAAAACCAAATTACACCTTCAAAACCTCCTAATAATAAATCAAGAAGCACATGATCTGTGTAGAATTTTCCTAGATTTCTCTTTTTGAAACTAAACAAATCTAACACTCTACGAAAAACTGAAAAGACGCCGCAGCGCAACAGGTTGTGTGCCTGGCTACGGTCCAAAGGGTCCTTGGTTCGATCCCCACTGTGAACCAACCAAGGGGTTTCAAAAATATTGGTAGTGGGGAAACCAGGAATTCAAAATCGTCGGAAAAAAGGGCATACTGCGAAAAATTTTAATGGCCACTATAGAGGCTCGCCAAGGACTACTTGGATAGGACACTAAAGTGGCCACTAAACCCACCTCTATAGTGGCCGCTACTTTCCGTTTTAGTGACCATTTCAGTAGTTTTTCATCCAGTATTCGTTCCAGTAACTCTGATAAATTTAAAACAAGCAGATTGGACCAGTTATGTTGATCCATTGGCCCCTAAAGTGGCCACTTAGTGGTCTAGTAGTAGCACTTGGACCTCTATAGTGGCCACTAATTTTTAACCCTTTAAGTGGCCACTAACTTGACTACTATAGTGGCCACTAAAACGTCAAACCTTATAGTGGCCACTACAAAATTTCCCGGATGATCCCTGATATTAGGATAAAAATTTTCTAATCGACTTGAGGTGCCGGCGCCAAAGGCCAGAAGAAGAAGAAAATTTCTGAAACTAACATGATGATCCGGGCGAAAATGCGCTGTTTGGAAGAGGTGGCCGAGGCGGACAGAATGAAAGACCTTCCACGGGCCTCGAGTTGCTCCATGAAGCAGCCACCCACCGCCAGGTACTGAAATGCTGCACTTGTTGGCTGATAAGAGAGGTTATCAGTTCGAGAATCATCATGATTTTGATGGAAAAAACGTTGGTTGAAAGTCCATTTGGGGTGAAAAAAGTCAGCATTTCATAAAAGTTGATTTAAATTCCATTCTACACAAATTCGGTTAGGAAATGACACAATACACCTGTAGCAGGTGGAAAATTATGTTTTATAGTTAGATTAAAAAGTCCATTTGACCTGAAAAACACCATTTTTAATTTTTCAAAAATAAAAATTTTATCACGTGTGGCAATTTAAAAAAATCATGATAGAATCAAGTTTTGAAGATCTATTTTCTATTTTTTTATTCAAAAATCGAGCTAAAAAATATGGCAAGAAGGTCAATTTTGCACATGATAATAGTGTTACACAATTTTTCTCAGTAGAGCAAACTTGCGAGATTTTTTTCTGCCACTCAATTTTTTTGGATTTTTTTAAGATGTAATGTTCTAAAATTATATTTCTGAAAAACACTCTAATTACGAAATATTTTGAAATATATAAAAGCCCATATAAAAACACCTTTTTAGTCGTTCAAAAATCAACTCATGTGGCAAGTTAAAAAAACCATGATAGAATCAAGTTTGAAGATCTATTTTTATTCAAAATCAAGCTAGAAAAAAAGACAAAAAGGTCAATTTCGTACCTGAAAAATAGTGCTACACATCTCAATAGAGCAAACTTGCGAAATTTTTTTGCCGCTCGATTTTTATGGATTTTTGTAGATGTCATACTGTAAAAAATATTTCTAAAGACCATATTATCACCTGGCTTCAAACCGTTTTTTAAAGTATATAACTCAAAAACCCACCTCCAGAGGCAATAAATCGGTGTAGAGGGTCGTGGACAGGACCCTTCCTTGGGGCAAGGTGAAGGTCGAGGTGAAGAGAAGTCGGGATTCGCCGTCTTCTTCCTCGGCAGTCTGCTCCGTCGTCGAGGTCCAGGTGTTCGGCGGCGACATCGTCGCGCCGATCTTCTCGGGTCGGCTGCAAACATCTTTTTGATGTAATTTTCTACATTTTTGATCATTTATAAATATTCTATAAATCTGCCCGAAAAACTCTCTAGTGAGTTGAGTTATTTTAGGCTTGATGTCTACACTTTTACTAATATATTTCTGATTTTTAAAAATTTTGTTGCCGATATTTAAATTTTTATCATTTGCTGTAAAAGCTGAATTATTTTAAACTCGATTCTTCGGCTAAAAGTCTAGGATCTAATCGAGTGAACTTTTGAGACAAAAATTTTCAACTTGTATATGTGATTTTTTTCAATAGACACGGACTATGAAAACACATTTTAGGTATTGCGGTTCTATTTATTCTAAAAACGTCAACGATAAGATTTAAAACAAAAAATCAAGCTGAAAATGAATCATCTTTATAGAAAAATGATAAAAAGAATTAACTTTCGAGAGTTTTTTTCACAATGAAACTTTTGAAAAAAATCAATAAAATCAGAAATATTTTTCAAAACCGAAAAATCGAGTCTAAAAAGGATTCAGCTCTATAACAAATGATGAAAAGTTAAAAAATCGGCAACAAATAGTTAAAAATCAGAAATCTATTAATAAATGTGTAGACATCAAGCCTAAAAATACCTCAACTCAACCCCTCAAAAAATATCCAGCTTTGAAAAAAATATCGAAAAAAATCAATAAAATCGAAAATCCATAGCGTCTGAGTACCCAGACTTCACATGAAAATGGTCAAGAAGATGACAATTCCAGAAAAAAAGAACCTCAGTCTGGTGGAGGACGGCCTGAGGCGGGGGCAGTTGTTGTGACCCCTCGTCGCATGATTCCATCTGATCACGCCGTCCTGCAAACAAAAAGTTATGAGAAAAAATATTGAAACTCTCGAAAAATCTAGGAAAATCGTACGTTAACAAGCAAGGTGTATAATAATTCCAGAAAAAAGGGGCGGAAATTCCAAAAAATTCCCAAAAAATGCCCAAAAAAGGGTATAAATTGAGCTTCAACCTCACGGAGTTAGTTTAGACAAAAATAATCTCAAGTTTCCACTTAAGGGACGTAGTTTTGGCCCAAAAATATTTGGAATAATCGGAACCATAGTTGCGCAAGTAATTAGCTCAATGAAGAAGAGTGAAAATTCCAAAAATTTTGCAAAAAATGCCCAAAAAGGATAAAAAATAAGTTCCAACCTTTAAGGAGGTGGTCTCGACTTGAAGAAAGTTGAGTTTCCACTTAAGGGAAAATTTTCTACCCATATTTATGGAAGAAGCTTTCCAGGAAAGTCAGTATAAGTCGACTTTTCGAGAAACTTTTTCCGAAATAAATTTTTCTTATTGAAAAAATTAGTTGAAATCTATGATACGAGCTGGATAACGCGACGAGATTTTTGGAATCAAAAATACAAAAATAAAAAAATCTGAGAAAAGATCAATGGTTTGCAGTTGAAAAAAGGACATTTAAAACCTAAATCTTCAAAAAAAGGTCAAAAAAAGGGTTCCTGTAATCCCTCTAACCAGTGGAAAAATGTTCAAAAAACAAACCGACAAGAGAAAAAAAGAGCAAAATTTTTCTTGAGCCTTAAAAATGATTAGTACTACTCCAAAAATCGAAAGAATCTTCAAAAACCTTAAAAATAGCCTTCAATTTCAAAAAAGGTAAGGAAAAATTAATTCATGAAGAGAAAAAAATGAAAAAAATGGTTTTCTGGAACTATCTAATAATCATCCATAATCTGTATTTTTTCTAATTTTTCCTTTCTGAGAAAAAATAAAAATGGATTGTTTTTATTGTATTCCCTAGGAAAGATCAGAATTTCAGACGTTTTCCCACTAAAAATCAAAAAGTCCTAAAAGCTTTGAAAATTTGGTTCCAAAACACAAAAAAATCCGCACAAATCGACACACACACACACGACCATACGAGACCGAACGGAACGGGATTTTTTCGTCTTCTTTTCTCCTCTCGGTCTTTCTTGACTTGAGACGCGCGCGCTCGACCAATTTCAGCAAAGCACGAAAAGACGGGTCAGGTCAAGTCGATGTGGAAAAAAAAAGAAGAAGAAGAAGAAAGAGAAGAACAGAAAAAATCGTCTAAGCTTCCACTCCACCCCCAGGGCCTTTTTGACCGTAAGAAGGAGACAAAAAGGGCCGGACGAGAGGTTTCTTTTCACTCTAGTGGCCACTTGATCGGGCTTCTGGCCTCAAAAAGCTAGCTCTCTTTTTACTGGAAATGTTACTAAGTTAAATAAATAACAAAAATGTCGGATGAGGGGCTTTTTTTCACTCTAGTGGTCACTTGATCGGACTTTTGAATTTCTAGAAGGCAAAAAAATATTAATGATACATTTATTTCTACAGTAGAGGTCGCGTAGGTTGAATAAGAGACAAAAAAACTGAATTTTTTTTTGACCGTAAGAAGGAAACAAAAAGGGCCGAACGAGAGGTCTATTTCACTATAGTGGTCACTTTTTCGGGCTTCTGGTCTGAAAAGCAGAAAAAAAAAACAAAAGCTAGCTCTCTTTCTACTGGAAATGTTACTGAGTTCAATAAATAACAAAAATGTCGGATGAGGAGCTTTTTCACTATAGTGGTCACTTGATCGGGCTTCTGAATTTCTGGACGGTGAAAAAAATATTAATGATAGATTTATTTCTACAGTGGAGGTCTCGTAAGTTAAGTAAGAGACAAAAAAATACCGAGTTTTCTATTTTATTTTCACTTGAGTGGTCACTTGATCGTGCTTCTAAAGTCCAGAGAGCAAAAAAATAAAAAAACCTTTCTTTCTGATGGAGATATTACTGAGTTAAAAAAAGGAAAAAAAAGCCGGATGAGAGGTTTCTTTTCACTATAGTGGTCACTTGAACAGGCTTTAAAAAATACCGGAAAAAAAAATGAAGAACAGTTCTTTTTCTATTGGAGAGGTCACAAAGAAGGCCTTCTAACACACGAAAAAAAAAGAATAATTACCCTCAAGTGGTCCCTTCAACAGGCTTCTTTTTTTTTGACTTTTACATGAGGGAGAAAAACTAAATGAGGTTAATTCACTCTGATGACCACTTGGAAGCAGATTCTAAACTTCTAACTCAGAAATTTGAAAAAAACTTCGAAAAAAATCAGAAAATTGAAGATAATTTGAACTACAAAAACTTCCAATAAAATAAAAAAAAATTTAAAAAAATCCGTTTGAAGCTTACAAAAGTGGCTGATAAACTGAATTTTGAAAAAATCGAAAAAAAAGCCAAAAATTTCTGAAAATTCAACAGAAAGGTCGCAAAAATTCTGAAAGAAAAAAATTCAAAGGTTGGGACAAATAAGTCCGAAAATTCGAAAAAAAAAAGCAATAATTTCTGAAAAGTCAACACAAAGGTCACTTTAAGAAAAGTAAATTAAATTGTTTGAGCTTCAAGAAAGTAGTTCCAGACTCTAAGCCCCCTCCCCCATTCCACTCAAAACTCCAAAAAGAACAGGTGAATTGAACTAGCCAATCAAAAGTGGGTGGAAAAACGACTGAGAGAGAGAACAACAAAATCAAGTTGGTGGCGTTTTGGGAGGACGTCGGACAGCGGGAGGGTGATAAGCGGGTGTCAGTCCAGAGGTGCCAGGCACCACCGCCAAAGCTCCAGTCCTTTTTTTTTCTTTTTCGACATTTTTTCGTTGATAAGATGGATAACCATCGTAATGTTCTTGTTGAATGTGGCGGGCGGGACCAAGATTTCAGTCTAGTCCAGGATTTTTTGTTAAAAATAAAACTGAGCTTCAAATCTTTCAGAAATCTATAGATCTAGATTAAACCTTTCCAAAAAAACAAAGAAATTTTTTTCAAGTTCGAAGCTTCTAAAAAAATAGAAAAATGTATTTTTTTCCATGATAAGATGGATCGTAATGTTCTTGTTGTATATGGCGGCGGAACCAAAATTTTAGTCTGGTCTTCATTTTTTTGGATCTCAAAGACTGATTCTTCATATTATCTACAACTTCCTTAACTTGATCGGTAGTTTCAATTTTTTTATCACCATAAATGAGAATTTTTTTACAAATTGTAGTTGATTTGATAGTTAACAAAAAAGCTATTTTCCTTCAAGTGGTCACTTCATTTGAACGGCAGTCCATTTTTTTTCATCGTTAACATTTTTCCGTGATAAGAGTGCTAGAATCTCAACGTTTGAGTCCAGTTACGATATTCCTCAAAAATAAAAAATGGGCCACACCGTAATGTTCTTGTTGACTGTGCCGGAGGGACCAAAAGTTCAGTCTGATCTTGAAATTTTGAAAAAAAATTGATTTGTTAGCTTCACTTCGTTGTAACAGCCAATTAAATAAGATGTACCTATGGAATTCTCCTAAATTGTTGAAATATTTGACTTCGAAACGTAGGAAGATGATAAAAAGTCAGTGCCAGGCACTGCAGAGCCGCAGTCATTTTTCTTTTCCAACATTTTCCCCGCGTCTTTCGTGATAAGATGGATAACATCGTATCGTAAGTGATCGATGTAGCGTCTGAACCCAATATTTTAGTCTGGTCTTTTTTTAGAAGCTTTTTCCAAAGGTCACTTGAGGTTTGATCCGAAAGGTGAGGTTTAGGAAAAATAATTGAACTTGATCTCGAATAGTGAAAATGATACTGTTCGATGTATCGTATGAGCTTGGAAAATTCATTTTTCCAAATAAATTATTGATGAAATTTTTTTATCCAAGTGAAAAACTCAAGGGCATATTGCAGTGTATAATCTTTAACATCCCTTCAACTTATTCAAAAATGTTTTGAAATGAAATTTGAAGTTTAAAAATGGTAGAAAAAAATTTTTTTGATCGAAAATCTATCTGGAATCGACGTGATAAATGATATTCTTTCAAAAAAATTCAAATGATTAGTCCCTTGATTTTTTTCTACTCAAAAACGCCCAAAAACTTCATCGGGCTTGAAAAAAACTTATATCATTTTTAATGAGCTAATTTGGACTTGTAAGTGGCTCGAAATCTTTCTAATTATCAATTTGAAATGCTCTGAATTGTCTCAAAATAACATGGAAAAAAAATTCGAAATTCCTAAAAAAAATCAATTGATCTCAATTTTGGTCCGTTTCGCGTGAGAAATAGACTTCTTTTTGATCTTTTTGATTCGTTTTCCTTGACTTTTTGTGAGCCTAGAAGAACATTTGGGCTCAGAAAACAGGCCTAAACAATGTTATCTACGCACAAAAAATTGAAAAAAAAATCCTAGCTCCAAAAATCAATTTCTTTCAATTCCAGTACATTCAGCATGAAAACTGGACTTTTTTTGAACTCAAATAGGCTTTCGAAGGCTAAAAAAAAGCTCTCAAAGTTCATTAAATAGCAAAAGATCAATATTCCAAAAATCAGATCTCATCTCAATTGTTCAGCGTAAAAACTAGATTTTTTTAAAGCTCAAATAAGCTTTCGAAGGCTGAAAAATAGCTCAAAATTTACTCAGGCTTTAAAAAAAAATTTGGCCAATATTCCAAAAATCAAGCCTAATCTCAAGGCTAGTACGTTTTTCGGGGCGGCTGAAAATTGTCGCGATTTGGCGCTCGGCCGCACCACAAGAGTGCAGGACAGTGCTTCTCGGCGTGAAAAATTCTCTCGGTCTCGTCGCGCAAACAATGGGTGTCATCCGTGTGGCGATTATCTGGGGCCCGTTTTGTGTGTGTCGGAGTGGAGTCAAGAGGGGAGGCCCATTGGTCATGAATAAATATTTGAAACGAGTGTGTAAAGCTTGAATCGAATTATCCCGGGTGGTCGCCTGCTATTTATAGCCATTTTTATTCAAATAGACTTTTTTAAAAGCTTCGAGATATTTTTGATTACTGACCTGA